CCGGAGCTCATCCTGTCGCGGGGATTTGAACCGCCGACCTTCTGATTGGCAAGTCCTAGGCTCAGTGGTTTAACCCACAGCGCCACCCGCGTCCCTTAACAGTGACATCATAGGCATGTGTACTCAGAAGTAACCCTTGTTGAGTTTACTGGGATTTAGTCCCAGGTAAATGAGCATAAGATTGCAGCCTAAGCCTCAATGGGCTTGATAAGGCATATATGGAATCAGGCTGCAAAAATATTGCAGAAGTATATTCTAAATCCATTTAACTGGATTTTCATTCCACTTGGAATGAATAATAATTTGTACTCACAATATGTTTTACAGTGTGTGTGTGTGTGTGTGTGTGTGTGTGTGTGTGAATGTTGAAATCTGACTTTGTATGTTGTTTGGTATATTACGGTTCTTAAGTTCATTGAAAATTTTATTACAACTATCCAAACTCTCTAAGGAAACAAAGAAAGTAATTTCATATAAATCCACAGATACTTCAGAAATAAGAAGTAAAATCAACTGAAACCATTGTTTGTTTACTCTAAACCAATATTTTTAGATATCAATATCAATTTATTGTGTAAGTCTAAGACCCTGTAGCTTGAGATTGAACAGCAGAGAAGTACAGGAACAAAACTCACTTTTCTTGTTTCCTAGCACCAACTTTATTGAAATCAGTCTAGAGGCATGCAGACTATGTCAGGCTTTTCCCCTCTTATTCTTGCCCTTTGCTATACTCACCATTCTGGGGCAGGAAGTGGATGGACATACTCATTTTCCATTGTTAATGAACTACTTCTACATATTAAAAACTGCTTAACCTCTGATGCTACATTGGCTACAATTATAATTTTTTATACTTATATGTTCCTGTGACTGAAGGACTCTAGAACCACCTTTCGGTAACCACTGTTATAGCTATCGATCATTTCAACCTCCACCATTAAAGAGAACACTATTTGGGGGGTGGGTGGAATAGATGCCACTTGGCATGCAAATATTCTGAAAGACCTTGTGGGGGACATAGGTCTCTCTGGATAGATCCAGTAATTAATGGTGGAGCTTCATGCTCCGGCACCAGGGGGTGGAGAGCAGGTGGGAGCATGGTGCGTGTCCCAGGGACATGGCACGCCACCCGCAGGGGCGTGGTGCCCAGCGCGGGCGGGGGGCCAGCCGCAATGGCACCCCACCGGGATTGCGCTGCCAGGGGTGGTGCGCTCCCCCCACTCCCCTCTTCCTCCGCCAATGCCAGTAATCCAGAGATGGGGAAGCTTTGACACTCCAGATGTTGCCGAGCTGTAACTGTTATGTACTGAAGTTCTCACCCTGGGCCAGCAGGGGGATACTGTAGATAGTTATGCAAATGAAGGATCGATAGTGACGTTCAGTGATTGGATAGTTTGTATGCAAATGAAGGATCGAAAGTGACGTTCAGTGATTGGATAGTTTTAGAAAGTTGCTACAGTTACGTGGTTCTGGAGCTCTATATAAGCAGGCTGACTGAGCTCCTCAGTTCAGTTCTGTTCTGGCCTTTGAATAAACAAGAGCTGTTTGAAGAATCGCTGTGTTGTCTTATATGTTCGCCCACAACTTAACAGTAACTCCCATCCTGACCATTGGCAAATCCACACTGTGATCAACTCCCGCTCGGAAACCAATGTCCCCATTGTGGAAGGACGTGTGGATCCAGAATTGGCCTCCACAGTCACTTACGGACTCATTGTTAAAACCGTGTTTATGGAAGACAATCTTACTCGGCTACAAGGGATCGCCAAAGAAGATGCTGATGAGGTGTGATGGAGGCAGAATCCAACAAATCTGGAGTAATATATGCCTAAATCGATCATTTTAAATTTATGCCTCTGTGTGCTTCCTGCTAGGAGGCTGCAGTCTTCTTATTTATAATTCTTGTCTCTGAACACTGGAAACATAGTGCACAAGTGTTTATGTCAATCTCCATTTTGATGCTCGTGTCAGTGAAGAAAGCGGCTGCTTTTTCCACCGCTTATGTTTTTTCTCATTTTTTCCAAGTACTTAAAGCTCCAGCTGAAGGACTGAGTAGCAGAATATTGCTAAATTGGGATTATTTGATTTACCCCCTTGTAGTCATTTAAGATTGGCCGAGGGAGTCTGGCTCTCCAGCTGGAGAAGTTTACTGTCTCTAATTTAAAATGTGCTGAATCCTTTAGCTTCTTACAGTGTGATAGGTAAAGGTAAAGGTACCCCTGACCCTTAGGTTCATTTGCGGACGACTCTGGGGTTGCGGCGCTCATCTCGCTCTATAGGCTGAGGGAGCAGGCGTTTGTCCACAGACAGCTTCTGGGTCATGTGGCCAGCATGACCAAACAGCTTCTGGTGAAACCAGAGCAGCGCATAGAAACGCTGTTTAACTTCCTGCCGGAGCGGTACCTATTTATCTACTTGCACTTTGACATGCTTTCGAACTGCTAGGTGGGCAGGAGCAGGAACCGAGCAACGGGAGCTCACCCCGTCATGGGGATTCGAACCGCCGCCCTTCTGATCGGCAAGCCCTAGGCGCAGTGGTTTAGACCACAGCGCCACACGCGTCCCAGTGTGATAGCTGACTTTATTAGAGATTTGTTTGAATAATTATTAGTTTACCGCTGCCAGAAAATAAAGAGAAAATCTTATATTAAAACAACTTCTGTTGGTGTAATAATACGCAAGCTTTTGAGTTACCGCACATATCCCACTGAGCCTCTTGGGGGCTTGCCAATCGGAAGGTTGGTAGTTCGAATCCCTGTGATGGGGTAAGCTCCTGTTGCTCTGTCCCAGCTCCTGACAAACTAGCAGTTCAAAAGCATGCCAGTGCAAGTAGATAAATAGATACCGCTGTGGTGGGAAGGTAAACTGCAATTCCATGCGCTCTGGCATCCATCACAGTGTCCTGTTGTGCCAGAAGCAGTGTCCTGTGATAAGATCTGCTCCATGTTTTATACATTATAATTCATAAACAGTATTGTACACATTTGGATTTAAAAAGAAATGACTAGCACACAAAAAAAAACCACCCAGTGTGGCTGGTACTGAAACATGATGTACATTGTTGATTTTCCCAATAAATTGGCTCTTTGGAAAATATCATTTTGATGATTTAAGTTAATTGTTTATGATTATATTTATTTAAGTTAATTGTTTATGATTATATGGACCAATGATGTATGATCATATTTTTAAGTGGAGATGTTGAGAGATTTTCAGAGTGTTTAAATAGTCACAAATTCTACCACAGGGTGGTACCTTTTGTTTATGATAGGAAGTTGTTGTAGTGTAGACTCCAAGGTTCTAATCCTATGCAAACTTACTTGGGGGTGACAATGCAATGAACAGACCTAGTTTCAGCACCAAGGATCTTTGGGCAGTTGCCAGAACCCCTGGGCCCAAGTGACGATGCTTCCTCTGCATCCACTATGCCTGCTCTTAGGGTAACACCAGTGCTACAACAGCATAGCAAAACTATTGTGACAGGCAAGAATCACAGCTTACGTGCAACTTGATTTTTCAACCAAGTGTCTCTCAAATTTTGAAGGCCTGTTATCCTAGCACTGTCCTTCTGCCTAGGGGATCATGAAAAAACAAGTGAACATATTAGTATATTATTCTCATTTGTATAATGGAAGATTTCGTCTACAGATGAGCTTGCTATATATGCAGATTTTTCCAACGGTATTTCTGTGCGTCTGGTTTTAATCATTTCTACATCCTGCCTCAAAATATATACATATAGTGCAACATAATTTGTCTTCTACAGCACATGCTCTTCTTTTGTATTTCACAATACAAAATCAGAAGGTTCTGAACTGCAGATCCACCTTTTCAGAGAGAGAAGGGAACTGCTTAATGCCAAGTCCAGGGTTAAAGAGCAAAATGCAGAATAACCTGCAGGACCCTAGAATCTGGTTTTCAGTTAACAATTTGTGTTAATGACTTGTTGCCACATCTGCACCAGGGCTTTCTACCAAGCAAATGACATTTTTATTGTCACTGTACAAACAAAAGTGAGTTACAGAAGGAATAGAAACTGCATAATGAGAGATAAGGTGGTCTCACTGGACTAGCATTGCCGTTGCTGACTCCGTTGCAGAAATGCTGCTCCCACTATATATATATATATACAGCTATAGGTCTGTTGAAAAAGTGGGGGTAGGTATTAAAATGGCTATCTCTGGTCTTAATATTATAATCCTTATATTATTATTATTTTTATAACCCATATTTGATCCAATAGAAATGTTTACGATGCAATTTATATGTGTGTCAACTCAAAAACTTCATTGAATTCAAAGGGAGTTATTCTCAGGTAGGCGCGCATTGGACTGCGGCCTTAAAGTGCATTCCTGTGCACATATACCTAGAAGAAAGGTCCATTATCACAATGAAATTTATTTCCAAATAAACATGCATTGCTAAAGTACCATATCTACTTGAATCTAACGCTCACCTTTTTTGGCCAAAATTAAGGTGCACTTTAGATTTGATGGCGCATTTACTGTGAGTGGTCAGACTGAGTGGCAGGGACTGGCCCAAGCTCACCTAGTGAGCTTCATGGCCAAGCGGACATTTAAACCCCGGCCTCCACAGTGCTAGTCTGGCACTCTGACCACTACACCAAACTGCCGCTTCACCAACGTCAGTCTAGACGTACTGAAATCAATGGGGAAATGACAAAACTCATTTTATTTCAGCACGTCTGATAATCATAGCTGTCAACTTACAGATTTGAAAATAAGGGACCAGCAGCCTCTAAAATAAGGGACCAGCAGCCAAAATAAGGGATTTTGCTATTGTAAAGAGTTACATACATTGGTAGGATTGACAGATGCTGTCAATCGGCATGAGGCGGTTGCGGCGCCGCGGCGGCCGCTGAAGCGCCGCCCTTCTGCGTACCTCCCCTTCCCCTCCTCTTCCTCAGGCCGCCTCCTCAGCTGCCACCACCGCTGCTGCCTCCAGGCTCGGGGGCGGCGTGGGCGAGAGTCTCTTTCCATCCCCCTCTCTCTCGGGCAGGGAAGGGCTGATGGAACTCCTTGTGCCAGGACGACGGCGCCAGTGCGCTCTCTCTCTCTCGCGGCAGAGGACCCCGAGCCGCTGCTTCCCTCCTGAGCCGGGTGAGCATGAAACCTGGGAAATTTAAGGGACATCATCAATAAGGGACAGCAGCGGGACACGGCACTGGGATAAGGGAGTTTCCCGCCAAATAAGGGACGGTTGACAGCTATGCTGATAATGACTCGTGCCCTTTGCGTCCCGTCCCCCCTGCTCCATTGGTGGGTAGTGCTGAGGCGGAACGGGTTTGTGAGGGGAGAAAGAACGGGAAGCAGTAGCCAATGAGGCGCAAGACGGTCGGAGGGGGAGGGAGAGTGGACTGTGTGAGGGAGGGGCGCTCGGTGGGTCTCCTGAGCGCAGCCGCTGGACTTGACACGCGCTGTCGCTGCTTGGAGCCTAGTCTCCCTGTCTGTAGCAGCTGCCTCTCCTCCGCTGCCAGCTCCCAGGGCGAGACCCGGGAGGAGGGCGGGCGGGGGTTTGTGGATGGAGAACAGTTTAAGGCGCCTCTCTCCGCCTTGGCTTTTCCCTCAGCTGGCGGGGAGTGGGGGGTGTGGCGAAGGAGGCACTGTCCAACTCTACTTCTGCTGGTTGTAATTAAGGACACTTCCAGCCTGCTGCTATTTTTTGGTAGAATTCAGTCATGTACAGTGGTACCTCTGGTTACATACGCTTCAGGTTACATACGCTTCAGGTTACAGACTCCGCTAACCCAGAAATAGTGCTTCAGGTTAAGAACTTTGCTTCAGGATGAGAACAGAAATCGTGCTCCGGCGGCGCAGCAGCAGCAGGAGGCCCCATTAGCTAAAGTGGTGCTTCAGGTTAAGAACAGTTTCAGGTTAAGTACAGACCTCCGGAACAAATTAAGTAACTAACCTGAGGTACCACTGTACTGAGAAATTCATACAGTGCAAGTAAAGTTGAGTTGATGATGTTGCACAACAAGCCCATTCCCAACCATTCCAAAATCAGACTTTTGGTAATAAGGAAACTGGGCATGCAATGGAAATTGCAGGATTAACTTGCTTGATGTAACATACAGTGGTGTAGCATGGGTTGTCAGCACCCGGGGCAAGGCAAATAATTTGCGCCCCCTAACCCGTGGATTTTAGTAGGGGCAGAGAGCTGCGAGTGCGAGTGCGCCCCCCCGATGTTGCGCCCAGTGCGGCCGGCCCCCCCTGCACCCCCCACGCTACGCCACTGGTAACATATACATCAACATAACATTGTTGTTGTTGTTGTTGTTTATTCGTGTCCGACTCTTCGTGACCCCCTGGACCAGAGCATGCCAGGCACTCCTGTCTTCCACTGCCTCCCACAGTTTGGTCAAACTCATGCTGGTAGCTTCGAGAACATTGTCCAACCATCTCGTCCTCTGTCGTCCCCTTCTCCTTCTGCCCTCCATCTTTCCCAACATCAGGGTCTTTTCCAGGGAGTCTTCTCTTCTCATGAGGTGGCCAAAGTATTGGAGCCTCAGCTTCACGATCTGTCCTTCCAGAAACCAAAGGCTGATTTCCTTCAGAATGGATAGGTTGGATCTTCTTGCAGTCCATGGGACTCTCAAGAATCTCCTCCAGCACCATAATTCAAAAGCATCAATTCTTTGGCGATCAGCCTTCTTGATGGTCCAGCTCTCACTTCCATACATCACTACTGGGAAAACCACAGCTTTAACTATACGGACCTTTGTTGGCAAAGGTGTGTGCACTATGTGTGCACTAGTTCCTTGCAAATCCCTGTTTCAGCTGGATTTATAAGATCCCAAAGCTGTTTCAGTCACTGAAGGGCAATTGGTACTGGCACATTAAACAACGTGGATGTTCCTGTGTTCCAGAGTACTTGGGTTCTCCTGAGCAGAAACAATTAGGAAGGGTTCCCTTTCAAATATTGTGATCTGTACCCACCCCAAACCTTTGCAGGTGCCTGTTGGATAGGTAAAGCTAGTTTTTCTTGCCAAGAAATGCCCATGGACAGGCACCTGCTGGTTTGTAGGTGCTAAAGTGAATTAGTTACACACCCAAGTCATGATGAGGCTGTGGCGGAAAGTCCAACTATCAACCTTCCTGCATCTCAGTGGATTACGTCTTGTGGTTCAGAACTCTGTGTCTCACTCTGCCACTCCTAATGGCACTTGTGCATCTGCTACCTGAGGCAGCCCCTTCACTTTGCCTCATGAATAGCCACCTCTGAATAGAGATGGGCAGTCTCTTATCCCTTTATTGGAGGTGTGGCAATGAATTAAGTCGAATACATAGCTGCTGGCCCTTGTCTTCCAGTACTGACGCCAGTGCCTGGCTAGCAGCTTCATGTACTTCTTGCTTTCAGAATTTCCTTGCAAAGGAAGATTCCAGCAGGAAATCCCTTGACCATTTGCCCTCCCATTCCAGATACAGTGGTACCTCCGTTTGCTGACGGGATCCGTTCCAGAGGTCCGGCCGGATCCTGAGGTTTTCACAACCAGAGAGACTGCTTCCGCACATGTGCGCTCGGCAAAAACCCGGAAATATACTTCTGGGTTTGTCACTTACGTATCCCGAAGTTTACGTAACCAGAAGGATATGTAAGCGGAGGTACGACTGTATAGCTATCTTGGGTAACACTGAGAGTGAGAAAGCTAATCGCAGTTCTGACACTCTTGTTGCTGGCAGTGTCTTGTGTGACACTCATACTGTGGCTGTGTCGCCGAAGGACCCGGATGAGATGGGCAGCCTGGCGCGGCCTATGAATTGCTGAGGAGCCTTGAGAGGAGAGTGAGGGCAACCATAGAGAAAGCAGTTCAGAGAGAAGAGGAGGAGGCGGAGGCACGGGCAGGTGTTCCAAGGGCTACAAGGGAAGGACCGCAAGTGCTTCTCCCATAGATTTGTAGTGGTAGACTAGCATAGTTTACTTCGGGCGCTATTCCCCCCCCTTCCTCCCGCCCCACCTGATGGAACCGAGAGCTGCAGATGGAGCACGAGAGAAAAGATACAGAACTGCAGCAGCATCTTCGTAGCTTGGACTTTGTTTTGCGCGAAAAGTGGTTGCTGCTTGTAGTTATTTAATTGCAGTGTTTCATCAGCTGGTGTCTTGAGCAGCAACCTCTGGAAACGAAGGGCTAAAAACCGGCGCTGCTCTCCAAAATTATCTGGTCCCTTTTAACTTCGCATTTCAGCTGGTTGACTAAAATCCCTTATTTGGGCTGCTGATCCCTTATTTTCGAGGCTGCTGGTCCCTTATTTTCAAATCTGTAAGTTGACAGCTATGTTCAGAAAGAAGAAACAGAAATAGCATTCCTTAAAGTTAGCTGTATGATGGGAAAGTAGCCTGACTTCCTATGAGCTACCTTATTGTTTCTTGCACGTTAATTTGAGCTTGGCAGATCCTGTGCCTGTTTTTGCACGGACCCCTCTTTCAGTTCTTCTGGAAAAAATCCGCCCCCTGATATTTCTCAGGTCTCTATGGGCTCTGTTGAATTCCTGATCCAAAAAAGGGGAAAGGGAAGCTTCGCTTGATGGAGGGAGGGAGAAAGGGGATCTTTTGAGACAAGATGCCAGGGCCCCAAAGATGCCAGGGCCCTCCTGCTGCTGCTGCCTTATGGGGCGAGAGAGGGAAAGGGGATCTTTTGAGACAATATCCAAACAGCTCCTTTAACCAAACACCTGATTCACCCAGCAGCTTGGCAGCCAAAGAAGAGAAAAGAAAAAAGTGGCAGAGGCAGCTCCCAGACATCTCCATGCAGTAAACAGTGACCCCGTGTGGCCATTGCTGGAATAGACATCGACAGGAAAATGAACAGTGACCCCGTGTGGCCATTGCTGGAATAGACATCGACAGGAAAATAAACAGTGACCCCGTGTGGCCAATACTGGAAAAGAAAAGACATCAAAAGGAAAATAAACAATGACCCTGTGTGGCCAGTACTGGTATAGAATTCATGATAATTTCTAGGTGTAAGTTATTTCCAAGTAGGAATTTGAATTTGGCTTTAAAATTATTTCCCCTTTTAAACTTTAATTTATCTCATTTGGATTCTGAAGCATACAAATGAGCTTTATCTCCTTTTATCATCACAACAATAGTGTGATGTACATTGGACCAAGAATTAGTACCTGGCCCATGGGTGTAGCCAAGGGGGAGCACGGGGGGCAGCTCCCCCCCCCCCCGCCGATCAAGTAAAGCAATAGAAATACTTAACTCACTGACTAATCACATTAGCTCTTCCCCCCTTTCAAAAATCCTGCCCCCCAACAAAGATCCTGGCTACGCCGATGACCTGGCCCCAAGCTTGATGGCTGAGTAGAATTTCTCAACATTTCACATTATGTGTAGTTTCAGGATTCTTCACATTAACACCAATTATGGTTTTGAGCAGACAAATAGCTAACAAAACTTTAAGCAACCTTCTCTCCCACCTGCTACCCACCACAAATAAGTTCTCCCTTCAAGGTCGCAGCCTCCTGTGGGAGCATTTCCTTTAAAAATGGAATCAGAAAATGAATTTCACAACATTTAGTTCAGCCCCAAATCTACCTCTAACCACTCAGTTACAACAGCTGAGGAATGGAATTTTATCAGGAATATTTTATCTGCTTTTAACTGTGTATATCCACAACAACAGCCTAGAGTCTTAGGAAGTGAGAGCTGTCTCTTTCAGATGTTATACGAATGGTATAGTACTTTGCTTCTGAAGTAATCTAGCAAATGCTTCATGCACTGTTTCATTTCACAGTAAGAGTATTTCCATTCATGTAGGTGACCTGTTCAATACAGCTTTGTCCCCAGATAAACCAACCTTGGGTCGCTTTCCTCATAAGTACAGTGCACAAGACTGAATAAACATAAGATTTAGAATGTTGTGCCTTGATCAGAGGGGCGCGGGTGGCGCTGTGGGTTAAACTACAGAGCCTAGGACTTGCCAATCAGAAGGTCGGCGGTTCGAATCCCCACGACGGGGTGAGCTCCAATTCGTCGGTCCCAGCTCCTGCCAACCTAGCAGTTCGAAAGCACGTCAAGTAGCACGTGCAAGTAGATAAATAGGTACCGCTCCGGTGGGAAGGTAAATGGCATTTCCGTGCGCTGCTCTGGTTCACCAGAAGCGGCTTAGTCATGCTGGCCACATGACCCGGAAGCTGTATGCCGGCTCCCTTGGCCAATAAAGCGAGATGAGTGCTGCAACCCCAGAATCAGTCACAACTGGACCTAATGGTCAGGGGTCCTTTACCTTGACCTTGATCATCTTTGGATTTATCAGCAGCAATAAAGCCAATTTACCACAAGTTCCACTTCCACTGAAGTCCTTAGCACACTGAGCCCTTATACAGGTCTGTCAGGGTTGAGAACACCTTTATTATTTATGGTATAAGTGGCAAACCCTTTTCATCCTGAGGGCCACACTGAGCGTCAGCCACCTGTCCAAGCAGCATTGGGCATGGCCAAAGGACATGTGTGCGTACAGGCTCACTACAAATACAGCCAGTAGTAGCCAGCATGGCTGAGTCCGCATTGCTCTTCCACCTCTCCAGCACCGTGTGTCACTGCTGGTACCAAAAGGGAGAGAGGAAAAGACAAGGCAGCATGGAACTCAACATGGTTTTTGGCTCAGCAACACAGCTAATCCAAGGCACTATGCAGAGCTTCCTGTGACTGCATCCAGCACAACACAGACAGCACACATGCACTCGCTACGCAAGCACATTCACCACACACAGTTTTTTCACCAGACATGTAACCACAAAGTACACTCGTCCTTTTCTCATTCTCCACAGTCATGTGCATACGCAGCCTTGCCAACCACTCCAGTGCTGGGATGAGAGTGTCTGGAAATGTTGTGCTTTATACTCTCAAAAATCAAGCTCCAGTCTTAGTTCCATGGTGCTCAGTGCAAAGATCAGAAAGAAAAACCCTCTATGTGCGCTTTTGTTTTATTTCCTGGTCAGAAATAAAGGCACTGGTGAGCCACTTCTCATGGCATGAGGGGCCAGATCTGGGCCACAAGTTGGCCACCCCTGATTGATGTAAACACTCACCATGACAAGTGAGAGAACTGAGATAGATTGCACTGAGCCCCGGTCTCATTAGACAAAGCGTTCCACCAAAAAGGCTCTGGCTCTGGTTGAGGACAGCTAGGTATGTTTTGGGCCAGGGACCACCAGCAGGTTGCTGTTAGATGAGCATCACACTCTTTGGGGGGTGTATTGGAAGATAATTCCCACAGATAAGAAAGGTCACAGACTGTTTAGGGCTATAAGGTTAGCACCAAAACCTTGAAACTCATTCGATACTCCACCTGGAGCCAATCCAGTTGATGAACAACCAACTGAATGTGGGCTCTCCACAAAGTCCAAGTAAGAACTAGTGCATCTGCATTTTAGACCATTTGGAGTTTCTGGAGCAGTCTTGAGGGTAGCCCTGCGTATCTCTCTCTATCGCATTTATACCCTGCCCTCCCCGGCTCAGGTGTAGAGCAAGTTAAAGTAGTCTAGTCTGCAGGTGACTGCTGCATGGATCACCATGGATAGGTTGGAAAGGGACAGGTACAGTACCAATCGCCTAACCTGACATAGATTAAAAAATGCCAGTTTGGCTACATTTGTGACCAGTGCATCCACAGAGACAGAAGCGTCCAGGATCACACCGGGACTCCTGATAGCAGCTACAGGTGACTACTGTGCCCCATGAAGAGCTGGGAGCTGGAAACCGAAACGAAATCATTCCGGCCCAGCCATTGGACGCCCATCCTTAATGGATTGAGATTCAGCTGACTCCGTTTCCTCCATCCCAGCACACCCACCAAAAAATTGGCCAATATATCCACGGTAGCATCTGGCCAGGGCCACGAAGCAGTAGATCCATGATGTTTGTGGTCATGTACAAGATATTTGAATAAAGGGTGAATTTGGGGTTCCCCAATGCAAAAAGCATGATGATCCATGAAGATCCATGCTCCGAAACCACGTTTTTGGGCCATGAAGTGGCCATAGAACCGTGGATCCGTGATTTTTGTGGTGCAGGCTGTGCCCCTGGCTATGATGTGTGATTTGACGGTGAGTTTGGGTTGGCTCAATGCGAAATGCGTGAGGATCCATGAGGATCCATGCTTCGAAACCACGTTTTGGGGCCATGGTGTCACCAGGAAGCTGTGGATCCATGATTTTTGTGGTGCATGCTGTGCTCATGGCCATGATATTTGATCTGATGGTGACTTTGGGCTGCTCAAGTGCAAAAATCATAAGGATCCATGAGGATCCACGTTTTTTAACCATGTTTTTGTGCCATTGCTGCACCACAAAACAGTGGGTGCGTGATTTTTTTGGTTCTGCCTACAGACTAAGATGTGGTCTACAGTATCATGGTGTTTTTATTTTCTTTCAATATAAAAATCATATGAATTCATGAGGATCCATGCCTCGGATCCATGTTTTTGTGGTGCTGCAGCGTGGCAAATGTTGGATCCATGTTTTTGATAGTCCAGTCCGTAGGCGTGCCTTCCAGGTGTGATTTGACACTGCATTTGTTGGAGTTATTTTTTTAAAAGTGGAGGATCCATGTAGATCCTCCTTTAACCCAGACCCCTCTGATTACAAGCTCACCACGTTTATAATTGAAGCAAGATATAAGGGAATCCTTGGTGGGGAGTGCATTTTTTTTTATCTCATCGTAAAGGGAGAGGCAAAGAGCTGATATAGGACTTTAATGAAAGGTTCTCCCGGGCTGTTGATAAAAGTAATTGGAGCTCCACGTGCCAATTGCTCTCCTTATGAAGCGGGGTGTAACTCTTTCCCTTTGAAGGAAGTTACTGAACTGCAAGGGAGGTTGTGCACCAGCAAAGGAGCGAGATAAAGAAGCGCTTGGGCTCCCAAAGTTTCAAGCTTGCTGCTGCCATTAAACACGGTATTTGTACATTCAGAAGTTCCACAATCAGTATAATAATAATAATAAATTTTTATTTATACCCCGCCCTCCCCAGCCAAGACTGGGCTCAGGGCGACTAACAAGCAATAATAAAATCAAGTTGATGAAAATACAATTTAAATGATTAAGATACAACATTAAAACAATTAGGGAGCAATCTCATCATAGGAGAAAGGAAAAAGGAAAAGGGGGAGGGAATCAAACTGATTCTGAGCCAAAGGCCAGGTGGAACAACTCTGTCTTACAGGCCCTGCGGAAAGAGATCAGATCCTGCAGGACCCTGGTCTCATGAGACAGAGCATTCCACCAGGCCGGAGCCAGTGTTGAGAAGGCCCTGGTTCTGGTTGAGGCTAATCTAACTTCCTTAGGGCCCGGGACCTCTAGGGGTTGCTATATATGGACCTTAAGGTCCTCCGTGGGGCATACCAGGAGAGGCGGTCTCGTAGGTACAAGGGTCCTAGACCGTCAAGGGCTTTAAAGGTCAAAACCAGCACCTTAAATCTGACCCTGTACTCCACCAGGAGTCAGTGCAGCTGGAAAAGCACTGGGTGAATATGCTCCCATGGCAGAGACCTTGTGAGGAGCCTCGCTGCAGCATTCTGCACCCGCTGGAGTTTCTGGGACAGCTTCAAGGGCAGCCCCGCGTAGAGCGAATTACAGTAGTCAAGTATGTAAAGGGTGCTTAGGATTCTGGCCTAAATCTTAATCCTTTACATATGGCTTATCCCCATTGCTTTAGCTCTCTGTCTTTCTGTCTGCAGACTGAATGAGATTCAGAAATCAATTAAAGGCGGGGCAATAATAAGAATAATAATTCCTGCTGCCCCGGCGCTGCGCGTAAAAGTGAACCAAAAAACCCCAGAGTGCAGAAAGCATAGGAGCCAATCCTAGGGGCCAAGCCCCCCAATAAAAATTTGAGGGTGCAGGGGGCCCTCCCAAAGTTGATGGGCATTGGCATTCAAATAGTGTCAGGTGATCGCTTATGTGGGGTAGGGCTTACTTGGCGCGCCCCCCCCCCCATATTTTATCCAACTTGGCGGAAAGACTCGGCTAACGCAGTTCTTTCACTTGGGGTCAGAAAGGGGCTAGTCCTCTTTGGCCTCGTCCCTCCGTAGTCTCGGCGCGGAGTTCCCCCTTAGACGTAAGCTGGCAGTTACCCCGGAGTAAAAGAACCGCAGCAACAACCGTTGCAGTTTCCTTCCGGGGGCGCAAAAAGCCCAGGGCCTGTTTTACCCGCAGGCGCAACTCCGCCTCCAGCCCGCGAAAGCCGGAGGGGAGGAGAAGGGAGGAGGCGCCGGGGTTGCAGAAGAGCCGCCGGGCTGCGCCGCGATGGAGGGCGAAAGCTGCTGGCTGCTGCTGTGGTCGACTGCAGTCGCCGGGCTCTTGCTTTTCTACCTGGGCTTCGTGCGGCGCGTCACCGGGGCTGCGCGCACCGCCTTTCCGCGAAGGGAGGCCGGCCGAGTCGCAGGGGGAGGCGGGAGGCCGCCGCCGATGCGGTGAGTGGGGGGCGTCGGGGCGATCCGCTCTCCGCTGGCCCCGCGGCTGGGGGGCCTCGATCTCGGATGATCGCCCTGCCAGCCCAGGATACTTAAGTGCTCTGCGATAGGAACCTCAAACAATAATGATAATGATAATGGATAATAAATTATTATTAAAAGAGAAGGTTTCATAGCTGTCAACTTTCAGATTTGAAAATAGGGGATCAGCAGCCTCAAATAATAATGATAATGATAATGAATAATAAATTATTATTAAAAGAGAAGGTTTCATAGCTGTCAACTTTCAGATTTGAAAATAGGGGATCCTGGGGACAGTCTACAGGATATCTAACAATCCGGGATAGCAGCAGGAAACGGCGCTGGAATAAGGGAATTTCCTGCAAAAAAAGGGAAGGTTGACAGCTATGGAAGGTTTCCAGTCTGAATTTGGGGCTTCCTGTTACCAAAAACTGCACAGCTACCACGGAATAATGGGATAATACCACGGGACAAATGCAAGGTTGTGCGCTTAGGCAAGAAGAACCCGATGCTCCAATATCAGATGCATGGGCGTAGCCAAGAGTGGCAGCTGCCATCGAGGAAATAAAATTTGCTTAAGTAAGGGAGGTTCTGCTCCCTTGGCATATCCTGTCTGCACCTTGTGATCATAGCTGTCAGATTTGAAAATTAAGGGATCAGCAGTCTCGAAAAGAAGGGATCAGCAGCCTCACCCGTCCTGGGGACAGTCTACAGGATATCTAACAATCCGGGATATCAGCGGGAACAGGCGTTGGAATAAGGGAATTTCCCGCAAAAAAAGAGAAGGTTGACAGCTATGCTTGTGATAAGATTGGGAACACCTGGCTCACTAGCAGTACAGTGGTACCTTGGGTTACATACGCTTCAGGTTACATACGCTTCAGGTTACACACTCCGCTAACCCAGAAATAGTGCTTCAGGTTAAGAACTTTGCTTCAGGATAAGAACAGAAATCGTACTCCGGTGGCGCGGCGGCTGCAGGAGGCCCCATTAGCTAAAGTGGTGCTTCAGGTTAAGAACAGTTTCAGGTTAAGTACAGACCTCCGGAACGAATGAAGTACTTAACCCAAGGTACCACTGTACATGTGAAAAGGATCTTGGAGTCTCCCTCCCTCTCTCTGGCCAAACTCTGTGCTCTCTCTTTCACACCCTGGCACAAACTCCCTGCTCTTTCCATGGGGTGTGGTGCTGCGCACTTGCCCCCACATTTTGTGGGCACCTGGTCCCTATATGGGACATATTGTGGGTGCCTTGGCACCCAGGGTCTTAGGGAGATGGCGCCTAGGTAGTGGACCACAAGCTGAACATGAGTCAACAGTGTGATGCAGCAGCAAATAAAGCTAATGCTATTCTTAGCTGCATCAACAGAAGTATAGTGTGCAGAACAGGGGAAGTAATAGTACCACTCACTTCTGCCCTGGCCAGACCACACCTGGAATACCAGTTCTGGGTGCCACAATTTAAGCAGGATATTGACAATCTGGAACGTGTGCAGAGGAGGGTGACCAAGATGATCAAGGGTTTGGAAATCAAGCCTTATGAGGAATGGTTGAAGGGGTTGGGTATGTTTAGTCTGGAGAAGAGGAGTCTGAGAGGAGATAGCCATCTTCAAATACCTAAAAGGGCTGTCACATGGAAGATGGAGCAAGCTAGTTTTCTCCTGCTCCAGAGGGTAGGACTCGAACCAATGGCTTTGAGTTACAAGGAGATTCTGACAACACATCAGGAATAACTTTCTGACAGCAAGAGCTGTTCAACAGTGGAACAGTGGTTTCTCCTTTGGAGGTTTTTAAGCTGAGGTCGAATGACCATCTGCCACGAATGCTTTAGTTGAGGTTCCTTCATTGCAGGGGGTTGGATTAGAGCATGGGTAGGCAAACTAAGGCCCGGGGGCCGGATTCGGCCCAATCGCCTTCTAAATCCGGCCCGCGGACGGTCCGAGAATCAGCGTGTTTTTACCTGAGTAGAATGTGTCCCTTTATTTAAAATCATCTCTGGGTTATTTGTGGGGCCTGCCTGGTGTTTTTCCATGAGTAGAATGTGTGCTTTTATTTAAAATGCATCTCTGGGTTATTTGTGGGGCATAGGAATTCATTCATTTCCCCCCCCCTTTCAAAATATAGTCCGGCCCCCCACAAGGTCTGAGGGACAGTAGACTGGCCCCCTGCTGAAAAAGTTTGCTGACCCCTGGACTAGAGGATCCTTGCTGATGGAGCCATGCCATTTTGGAGCCATGACAAACACCACTTTTGAGTAACATAATTCAGACTTCTTTGTTTATTCAGAGGAAGGGCAATGGACAAACGTTGCCTAAGCAAGCTTCAAGTCAGACTTGATTTAACTGTTAATTAACCCTGGCGGCAGAGTGGTTTGACTGGTCGGAGCATTTTGTTGCAAACTGACTGCCGTCTCTCGCCAGAGAACATTTCCTAAGAGTTAAAATGTCAGACGTAGGTTAACACATCATTTTGATGTCCCAACGAAACAAAAAGTTCTTAAGAGGTTTACATCATACCAATTAAGAACTAAAAGCAGTCATTATTTTGGGTTTACTTATAAAGCCCGTGACCCACTTACACGGGCTTTGGGATCTACCTGCGGGTTGCGATCCCCAGGTTGAAAAGACTGCTGTATATGAGAGGATTCCTCAGAACTGTGTGTTCAGTTTCTGTGCCATCATGCTGCTTTTTTTTGCCTCTGGAAAGAAGGTTTATCAGGTTTTATACTTGATAAAAGGTAAAGGGACCCCTGACCATTAGGTCCAGTCATGGCCAACTCTGGGGTTGCGGCGCTCATCTCGCTTTATTGGCCGAGGGAGCCGGTGTACATCTTCCGGGTCATGTGGCCAGCATGATTAAGCCGCTTGTGGCGAACCAGAGCAGCGCACGGAAACGCCGTTTACCTTCCCGCCAGAGCGGTACCTATTTATCTACTTGCATTTTGACGTGCTTTCGAACTGCTAGGTTGGCAGGAGCTGGGACCGAGCAACGGGAGCTCACCCCGTTGCAGGGATTCGAACCGCCGACCTTCTGATTGGCAAGTCCTAGGCTCTGTGGTTTAACCCACAGCGCCACCCGCGTCCCTGTAGTGGGACAAAATAAATGCGCGTGACACTGTGGGAAGTGGCTTTTCTTTCAAGCTACTTTCTCTTCCCTTTAAAACCTATTCTGTCTCTAGCCAGAAAGAGCATATGATGACTGGTTTGGCTGCTGTGTATAGCAAACACTTTGAATGTCGACACCTCAAGAGCTACGTCTTCTCTGTGCAAAGATCATTTTCAGCCTTCCTTGCCCAACCACTACTGCTTTCCTTCAGAGCAGCAATTTAAATTGGTTTTTGAATTTATCTGCTGTTTTGAATTACGACCTTTGCCGGATACGTTTTGTATTTTTAATCCGGTTTTGTATTATGCTGATTTTTGTAAACAAAGATGGGGGTGGGGTATAAATGGATAGTAAAATAACATTACTCCTTCCCTCGGCTTCTTACCTAATACAGGAACCTATGACTGAGAGTATAAACTGCTAACCTTATGCTAAATGGCATTCTCTTATATTAATTCTGTAATGGAATTAAAAATTTGGTACTAAAGAAAAATATTTGAACATGAGTGGACCCACGCCTATAGATTTGGAAGCAAAATGGCACCGCCCTAAAATAAAGTCATTTTGGGGAGGGGAGGATTCCTAGTACCTCGGTTGTCGAACGCTTTGGAAGTCGAACGTTTTGGTTTTCGAATGCTGAAAACCCGGAATCTGCAAACTAGTTTCCTGCTTTATAAGGGAAATATGCTCTGCTACTTGACTCACTAGCGTGAGGGAGGAAGGATAATATTTAATCAAGATATCCTCTCCTATTATCCATAGCATTCCCACAAAAACATTTCCCACAAAAACAACCCAGTATCATTCCAAATCAATATGCATGTGCATCTACCTCCTTTCCCCAAGTTTTGCAGTCCAAACCTCTGTGCAGAAGGGGAATTTATCTGTGGGCCATACTGACGCAAGGTCAGTACAGTGCCCTGTAATTTCCTCCAGGTCAGCAGCAGTGTGTCTTAGAGGACTGAAATGTTCTTCTGCTGGTTTTTGAATGCTCTTGGATTTAATGCCTGGAGAGTTAGGGGGGCTATCGGGGCAACACTAACCCTAAACTCTTCTGTCTCCCCTTCCCCTCTTTTCCCTCACAGTGGAGTCCCAGGTTGTCTGGCTTCTCGCTGCGGCTTTGCGTACACTTGGCCAACACTGTGAGTATACAGCCATTCCAATCTGATTAGTCTCTGTCCTTTTTAAAAGTATCCTGTGCATATCTAGAACTCCTATCCTTGTTCTCAGTGAAGCCAGACCCTCCCAAGATGGAGCAGTGATAAGGAAGGAACTTGAGCAGCCTAGAATGGCCCAACCATGCTTTGTATTTTGAGCACGGCTGCAGGAACTTGAGCTGCTTGGGCTTGGGCTCTGGTTGTTAAGCAATCATTGCACCTGTTTCCAGAATTCTGGTTTTCCATGCCTTCATGTGGGTAGCCAGGACAGCAACATAATACCTCCGGCACAAGAGGGGGAGGTAGTAGCAGGCTGGGATGAATTTGAAGATTTGCGGAAGGACAAAAAAACCACTAGCTGTTAAACCTTAAATGGGAGGGGAACCCACAAAAACCAGCCTGATAAGGACTCAGCAGCACAGAATGCTGAGTGGCAAAGTGGCGTGCGGGATGGGAAAACTGGGAGGCGACGCAGCATTTTGTTGTGGCTCCCACTTGCACTAGGAAAGTGAAAGAAGAACAGGAGTTGGCAGTCAAAAGGAGATGTACTTTCAGTTGCTGCTTAGCAGTAGTTCCTTTGACTTTCATGAAAAAAACATACTACACTGAAACATTTCATGGTTTCAGGGCATGTGACTGACTTAGAGAGACCAAGCAATCTAGCTCAGTCTGGGTTTGATGTGCAGAACTGTAAGGACTGCATCTTCTTCTGCTAGTCTCAAGTTATTTACATTTAACTGCAGAAAATAAGGGAAGGAGTGGTCCTGTGCTGCTTTTGCTTTTGCCATGTGATCTAAATTCAGGGTGTGGTTGTGCTCAGTGTTTCTGGTTCCCTGCAAACTGCATGCCTTTGAGACAACAACAACAACAACATTTTTTTATATAAAAAAAAATTATTTCTATCGCACCCTCCCCAGCCTACATGGGACCCCCTTTTCCTAGCTGAAGGGGTCTCCTGAAGGAAGTCCTTCAGCTGCTGCCAGGGCTGTTCTGCAAGACACTTCAGTGTTCGGGAGAAGTAATCAGAACACATTTTTTGGTGTGGGGCTAAAGCATCCAACTTGTTATGGTTCCTTGATGAAAGTCCGTCCCTGAAGCTAGGCAAGTTCAGGCTGGCCAGCAGCTGGATGAGAGTCTGCTTGAGAACCCGAGGGATGATGCTGAGAGCTCTTTGGAGGGAAAGTTGAATTCCGAAACAATGCCTTGCAGTTGGACTAGACTGTAGGAGAACCTTGCCAACCACTGGGATAGCCGCTTTATTTCTGTACGTTGGTGACGAAGCTCATATACTCATTTTGATCAGATAAAGCTTACACAGTTGCCCACAGCACTGCAAAAGTTCCTGTCTGTAGGCAAAAAATGTGTGGGCTCCCTGAGTGCATATATTTTTAGGACAGGCAAGCCATCATCAGGACGCGGGTGGTGCTGTGGGTTAAACCACAGAGCCTAGGACTTGCCGATCAGAAGGTCGGTGGTTCGAATCCCCACAGCGGGGTGAGCTCCCGTTGCTCGGTCTCTGCTCCTGCCAACCTAGCAGTTCGAAAGCACGTCAAAGTGCAAGTAGATAAATAGGTACCACTCCGGCGGGAAGGTAAACGGCGTTTCCGTGCGCTGCTCTGGTTCGCCAGAAGTGGCTTAGTCATGCTGGCCACATGACCCGGAAGTTGTACGCCGGCTCCCTCGGCCAATAAAGCGAGATGAGCGCCGCAACCCCAGAGTCGGTCACGACTGGACCTAATGGTCAGGGGTCCCTTTACCTTTACCTTTAAGCCATCAAAACTGGATTGCGACTAATTGTACTGTTGAACACAATAGAATGAGATGCATCTAAACCAGATTTGGCACACAAAATGTGTGTTCCACTTATTACTCCTGTGGGGGGAGGACTGTTTCTCTGCCTCTCCATCATTGCTCCTGCGATGAGACACACTGGGGTCCTAGTCACATTCTTTTTTAATGGCTTGTCTACACTTCACAAACGGTTCCAGAAACAGTGGAGGGGGCCTTATCATTGATGCAAGGCCTGACCAGTCAATATCGTACAAATCTGGGTCCTGCTGAAAGAATGAATTTCTGCTGAATATAATCCCGGAGAAGAGATGAGCCATATGCCCAAAATGTGTTGAATGTGCAGCAGGTTTGCCCTTGAAATTATGTGTATATTTAAGCAGCTCAAGAGAATCGACAGCAAATCTACTAGAACTGCAATTATTTTATTTGTTTTTATACCCACTTATAGGCTTTCGGACAGCATTTTTTAGTTCCACTTCTAATGCGGTGAGTATTTTTTCATTTTAGAGTTCAAACTGGGGAGCAAATCTGTGTTGCTGGAAGAAGTGGATTGCATTCAACATAGCGCCAAGGAGACTATTCTGTCTGCGCAAGGATTTCTCTTTGCGCAATGGAATGCTCTCCCCTTCTTCTCCCTGTGCACCCTAATACAGTCATACCTCGGGTTAAAGTTGCTTCAGGTTGAGCGTTTTCGGGTTGCGCTCCGCGGTGACCCGGAAGTAACGGAATGCATTACTTCTGGGTTTCGCCGCTCACGCATGCACAGATGCTCAAAATGACGTCACATGCATGAGCAGAAGCAGCGAATCACAACCTACGCACGCGCAGACGCGGGTTGCGTTCTCTTCAGGATGCGAACGGGGCTCCGAAACGGATCCCCGTTCGCATCCTGAGGTACCACTGTATCTTCAAGAAAGGGGATCATCAACTCTCCAGAGCAGATTTGGGGACAGCGCAGTGCATATGTCAGAGAAAGCGAGGGTGGAAATTTGTTGTTGCTTAGTCGTGCCTGACTCTTCATGACCCCATGGACCAGAGCACGCCAGGCACTCCTGTCTTCCACTGCCTCCCGCAGTTGGGTCAAACTCATGTTAGCAGTTTTGAGAACACTGTCTAACCATCTCGTCCTCTGTCATCCCCTTCTCCTTGTGCCCTCAGTCTTTCCCAACATCAGGGTCTTTTCCAGGGAGTCTTCTCTTCTCATGAGGTGGCCAAAGTCTTGTAGTCTCAGCTTCAGGATCTGTCCTTCTAGTGAGCGCTCAGGGCTGATATCCTTAAGAATGGAGATGTTTGATCTTCTTGCAGTCCATGGGACTCTCAAGAGTCTCCTCCAGCACCATAATTCAAAAGCATAAACCATACATCACTACTAGGAAAACCATAGCTTTAACTATACGGACCTTTGTCAGCAAGGTGATGTCTCTGCTTTTTAAGATGCTGTCTGGATTTGTTATTGCTTTTCTCCCAAGAAGCAGGCGTCTTTTAATTTCGTGACTGCTATCACCATCTGCAGTGATCATGGAACCCAAGAAAGTAAAATCTCTCACTGCCTCCATTTCTTCCCCTTCTGTTTGCCAGGAGGTGATGGGACCAGTGGCCAGGATCTTCGTTTTTTTGATGTTGAGCTTCAGACCATATTTTGCGCTCTCCTCTTTCACCCTTATTAAAAGGTTCTTCAATTCCTCCTCACTTAATGTAATTTGTTACATTAGTGCTAATCCTTGCACTAGTGCAAATAATTCATAGAATGCTGCCCAGTGTCTACACTTTACAGATTTTCCATAGGCTATATATGGAGGAACTTGTGGATGGTTGTTGCTTTTCAGCATCTTCTGGGGCTCTGATTTGATTTGGCTCCTGTTTCCAGTTTTGCTGAACTCTGCAGTTATCTGGGTCAGCACCTCTGTTGAAGAGATGAGCCTGCGGGGTCTGTTTCCTAGTTTGACGCCTTGCTTGCCTTAATACATACAGTGGTACCTCAGGTTACATATGTTTCAGGTTACAGACTCTGCTAACCCAGAAATAGTTCTTCAGGTTAAGAACTTTGCTTCAGGACGAGAACAGAAATCGTGCTCCGGCGGCGCAGCAGCAGCAGGAGGCCCCATTAGCTAAAGTGGTGCTTCAGGTTAAGAACAGTTTCAGGTTAAGTACGGACCTCCGGAACGAATTAAGTACTTAACCCAAGGTACCACTGTATTCTGTATCAAGCGTGGTGCGCTTGGTAATGCCTGACACAAGCTATTGGCATTTTGAAGGTGCGGGTCTGAACAGAAGCAGCCTCGTATCCCAACCAAGGCATAGTGCAAAAGATGAGTGGCACTTTGGCACTTCTGGGGGGTAATACTAGCATTTTAAACAGATGGTCTAAAATTCTTAAGATGCCAACTCCTCTATCTTGCATGCATACTGAGCGCAGCCAACTTTTTGCAACAGCATCGTGATGCATTTATACACCATAAAGTTGCGTTTTGGGGTATATCTATGTGGTCGGTTTGATTAAACGGTTCAGAATTCACAGAAAACTCCCATGTCCCACTGCAGGGAATACATCAGACAATTTTAGCTGTGCAGACATGCAAAACTAACTGTGCGTCTTGTGTTTTCCAATTAACTTTTAATCAATTTGGCGTTACAGTGGTACCTCAGGTTACATACGCTTCAGGTTACAGACTCTGCTAACCCAGAAATATTACCTCAGGTTAAGTACTTTGCTTCAGGATGAGAACAGAAATTGTGCTCTGGTGGCGCGGTAGCAGCAGTAGGCCCCATTAGCTAAAGCAGTGCTTCAGGTTAAGAACAGTTTCAGGTTAAGTTCAGACCTCCGGAATGAATTAAGTACTTAACCTGAGGTACCACTGTAATGGTACTCAATGGGGGCCACTTCAACAAGATACTGGGTACAAGGGGTGAGATTCAACTATGCTTTACTCAAGGCAGACCCATCAAAATTAATGGACCCAACTTAGGTATGTTCATTTATTTCACTTGGTCTGAATAGCAACTTCGGCTCACTTCTCACATGTGATCACAACCTTATTTGGGTGGGGAGGAATAAATAAACAGAGAGTTTGGGAAACCAGCTGTTTCCTTCTCTTCGTTACTTGGCATTATAACAACGATCTGGCACAAGGTTTGAGAGCCAGTGTGGTGTAGTGGTTAAGAGCGGTGGACTTGTAATCTGGGGAACCGGGTTCGCTTCCCTGCTCCTCCACATTCAGCTGCTGGGTGACTTTGCGCTAGTCACACTTCTCTGAAGTCTCATCCTCACTCACCTCACAGAGTGTTTGTTGTAGGGGAGGAAGGGAAAGGAGAATGTTAGCCGCTTTGAGACTCCTTAGGGTAGCGATAAAGCGGGATATCAAATCCAAACTCTTCTTCTTCTTCATATGCTCTCTCTGTCCTCTGGGTACAAAGGAAGGAGATATGAAACTTCCAACCACAGTTGCCTGGTTTACCCAAACATGGGAAACTGTGGTTTGTTTGAAACCATGATTGGAAGCGTCTCCTCTTGTGGATGAAGAAGTGTGTCAGGGAAGATGGCATTGCGCCTCATGATGGTTTCTATGCTTTAGAGGATCCTCTGAAGGTAGCCTGGATGTTGGAGGTGTGGGAAAGTGATTTAACTTGTGACTTACAATCTGTGGATGCAATGAGACAGCCTTCCGAGTCTTGGTACCCTCCTGATTTTTCTTTTTCCTTTTTTCAAATTAAAAAAAAAAAGCTGTTTCTTGACAGTCATGGAACTACTGGTGTAAAAATTGGTCTTCTCTGATAAAATCTGTTTGCCAAGATACTTTTTATTGGCCGGATCTGCAAGACCTTATTTGTAGCATCTTGTTGAAGGAAAACTATCAGTGACAGAGAGAACGAGTGCAATTCTGAATTAAAATGTTGCCACGCTCCTTTCCCTTTACAAGCTCCCATTTCACACACTTATTTGCAGGGTCAACAACTTTACTGCCCTGCGCTTCCTTGATCTTGCCGAAGACCCTACGTTTGTGCCAGTAGTCGCTGAGGAAGAGAAAAACGACCATCCAGAGTCTGAAAATGTCTTGGAAATTCTCCCCAAACTGATGGAAGTAAGGCAAGTACAGAAATGGAAAGGGGTGGGAGATCTGGGGTGCTGGGAACTGGTGGAAAGGAGCTGTGTTTGGACACTAGATAGCTCGGGGGAATCATTTGCTGGGAAAGTGGAAGAGGCATTTAGTACATCCCTCAAAAATTCCCCGCCTGCGTTTCCATGCTGGTGATGGAAGGAACAAGCCGCCGAAGACCTCTTCTACACGACCAATACGGAACTGCAGGCTGTTACAACATTTTAGCCGGCCAACAAAAATATTTGCTTCTACAAAGCGGATGTGGAACGTTGATCCACCACTTCTGAGATATACTCGGAGTCGACTGTGGCTTTCATGCTCTTTATTCAGCTCATAGTAGTGAGGAATTGGAAGTTCCCCCGAATTGTCTGCTTTATATACATTATTTACACAATGAGCCCCACGTGATTGGCTAATTCTGGGATTCTCCGGTAGGCCAATCAGGTTGCGGATTCACTCCCACCTGGAGTTGGATTGGGTGGCTCCTGCGGACCAATCAGACTGCTGCATTCTGGATCCTATTGTTCTAGGACCAATCAGACTGCTGCATTCTAAATCCTATTGTTCTAGGACCAATCAGACTGCTGCATTCTGGATACTATTGTTCTAGGACCAATCAGACAGCTGCATTCTGAATCCTATTGTTCTAGGACCAACCAGACTGTTGCATTTTCGATCCTATTCAACTTAGTACATAACAACTTCCCTGCCAATCCACTCAGTTGTCTGTGTGGAATTCTTGGTCGCCTATGATTCCTAGGCAAGTGGTTAAATATGCAGCTGCTTCTGTTGAAAACAGATGTTTAGGTAAGAAGGGCAGGCATATTTATAATATTGGCTCCTGTTCTTTATGTATATGGAACATATAGGCGTGTATGATGCTTTTTGTGACTTACTGAATCCTTCCAGAATGGGTGAGGGAATCTTCTTCCTGTCAAGTGCCATGTTCCCTTGGAGGGCAATTTTGGAGGTGGGACCAGAGCCCAGAGTGTCACTTACCGTATTTTTCTGTGTATAGCACCCCCCCCTGGTGTATAAGATGCCCCCTATTTTGGGGGACTCAAATTTAAGAAAATGGGGAGAGATTGCCCCCATGTATAAGACTACCCACCCTTTTAAACATTTTTTTGCAAAAAACCCTAGTCTTATAGATGGAAAAGTACGGTATCCCCCCCCCTTTCGCTCTCTCCCCCCTCCTGCCCTTCTTCATTGCAAGGTCTCACGTGTGCTAAGCAGAGTATTTTCTTTATAACATTAATAAAAAGAAGAAGTGTATGCCACCCATCTGACTGGGTTGCCCCAGTCTCTCTGGGTGGCTTCTAGCAAAATATACAAGCACAATAAAACGTCAAACATTAAAAACTTCCCTATACATGTGAATTTGGGGCATCTGCCAGCAACATGCAGTTGCTTCCACAAAGTCCTAACAGGCAGCAGACAGCGAAGCGTTATTGGTCATCGGCACAAGTTGTTTAGCTGTGGATGATGAGAAATGAGTGCTGGGTCCACGATGGCTTGATCATCAATCTCTCACTCTCAGGCGACCGGCAGTGTTCTCTTTTGGTCTTTACCTTTCCTTTCTTTACAGTTCACGTTCTGCTCGCCCTATGTTCAACTTCAAAGGGATCCAGGATTATTTGAACTGCTACCGGTAAGTGACTGCAGGTATTCAGCAAAACTGTCCCGGGTCACCCTCCTCCTTTGTTTGACAGAAGCGGGACTTTGTAGCCTCCCCCAAAACAGAAATGGGCTCCCAGTGGGTGGAATCGAGGCGTCCAGCTCTTTGGAGACCCAGGGATTGATACCTACATGGAGGCAGTGTGGTGTAGTGGTTAGAGTGTTGGACTAGCACTTGGGAGACCAGCGTTCAAGCCCTGCTCAGCCATGAAGCTCACTGGGTGATTTTTGGGCCAGTCAGATTCGCTCAGCCTAACCTCCCTCTCAAGGCTGTTTATGAGGATGAAAAGCACGCCTTGGAGGAAAGGTGGGATAGAAGCATAACGAATAATAGAGACTCTGCCATTTAGAGCGGGATTTAGGTACAGCTTCCCATGGCCCCAGCCTGACTGTGGGGAAGTGAGCAGGCTTACAAGGAGACTGTTCTCTGTTTGCTAGATCCGGTGAGGTTACACCACTTCAGGTCGCCAAGAACATTATTGCCACGTTGGAAGATGACGAGAGGTCCAGTCTCCCCCTCCAAGCAATTGTTCAGTGGGACCGCAAAGAGATCCTCAAAGTAGGTGGGCCGAAGCTGTGCTACTTTACTTAAAGGGCTCATCTAAACATTACGCAGGTGGCGCTGTGGGTTAAACCACAGAGCCTAGGACTTGCCAATCAGAAGGTCGGCGGTTCGAATCCCCTTGACGGGGTGCGCTCCCGTTGCTCGATCCCTGCTCCTGCCAACCTAGCAGTTCGAAAGCACGTCAAAGTGCAAGTAGATGAATAGGCACCACTCCAGCAGGAAGATAAACGGCGTTTCCATGCGCTGCTCTGGTTCGCCAGAAGTGGCTTAGTCATGCTGGCCACATGACCTGGAAGCTGTATGCCGGCTCCCTCGGCCAGTAAAGCGAGATGAGCGCCGCAACCCCAGAGTCGGTCACGACTGGACCTAATGGTCAGGGGTCCCTTTACCTTTACCTAAACATTACACCAGTGGTTCGTTTCCCAAGGCTGTGGTTTACCACACTGGTGTGGCAGAAGAGGATAGCAAGTGTGGAGGGAAGGTTCAAGGGCAATCAAAGAGACATTTCAGTGTAATTTAGTATAATATCAACATAATTTATTTATAAAAGGTTAGTTTCAGCCAAAGGCGACTCTGGGGTTGTGGCGCTCATCTTGCTTTCTGGCTGTGGGAGCCTGCGTTTGTCCATAGACAGCTTTCTGGGTCGTGTGGCCAGCATGACTAAACCGCTTCTGGCGCAACAGGACACAGTGGCGAGTGCCAGAGCGCACAGAAATACCATTTACCTTCCCACCAGAGCGGTACCTATTTATCTACTTGCACTTTGACGTGCTTTCAAACTGCTAAGTTGGTAGGAGCTGGGACAGAGCAACGGGAGCTCACTCCGTCATAGGGATTCGAACTGCCGACCTTCCGATCGGCAAGCCCAAGAGGCTCAGTGGTTTAGACCACAGCGCCACCCGTGTCCCTACACACACACACACACACACACAGTATCCATGTTATAGCAACAGGGGTAGGCAACTTAAGCCCGGGGGCCGGATGCAGCCCAATTGACTTCTCAATTTGGCCCGCGGATGGTCCAGGAGTCAGCGTGTTTTTACATGAGTAGAATGTGTCCTTTTATTTAAAACGTATCCCTGGGTTATTTGTGGGGCATAGGAATTGGTTCATTCCCCCCCCCCATATAGTCCGGCCCACCACATGGTCTGAGGGACGGTGGACCGTCCCACAGCTGGAAAAGGTTGCTGACCCCAATATAGCAGCTGGATGGAGCATGGTGTTGATAATGCCAGGGTTGCAGGTTTGATCCCCATATGGGACACCTGCATATTCCTGCATTGCAGGGGGTTGGAGTAGATGATCCTCAGGGTCCCTTCCAGTTCTATGCTTCTTTGCTTCTGTGCCTCTCTTTGAGAGCCTCAGCTATTTTTCTACAGTTCTCCACAGCATATTGTTGTGAGCAGGGATTTTAAACTCTTGACAAAGATGGGAGATCAGAAAAGAGAAAGGCTTCTTTGTGGGGATGAGATGAGTTTGTTTCTCTCAAGTGAGACGTCGTATAAATGAGATGGCTCAGCAAAAGCAAGCGCCACACCTCTCCTTTAGTTTGTATACCTACTTAAGTTACATATGTAAGAGGCCCGTTTATCATTATATTTGGGGAAGGATTCATATTCTTCTGTAGCTACATTGTTTTGTACTTTTATCATCATATTATAAAGTAGTTGTGTTCTGTGTTATAAATCAAGCTTGTTCCTTTCTGCTTTCCAATGTATTTTGTATCAGGGGGAAAAAAATCAGTGTGGTGCGAGCAAATTTTTGTTCTGAAAATGTGGCCCAGAGGAAAAAAAAGTTTGAGAACCACTGCATTCATTGCAGCTTTTGGCCAGGGGGAAGGAGGGTCTGATTATTCCCTGTTCAGGGAAGTTTTCAGTGTGTGACATTTTAATGTATTTTTAATTTTTGTTGGAAGCCTCCCAGAGTGGCTGGGGAAGCCCAGCCAGATGGTAGGGGTACAAATAAATTATTATTATTATTATTATTATTATTATTATTATTATTAATGCTGAAGCCTTTGAATCAGACTTCAGGTTGGGACTACTTCGGTCTGCCACTTGTTCCTATCTCTCTTCCTGCTCAGCAATTATATTAATGAATGCTACGTGACATTATAAATCTCTTCCTGCTCAGATGGCGGAGGACTCCACCGCTCGCTATCAAAGCAAGCAGACCCTCTCTCTTTTGGACGGGATCCCAGTGTGCTTGAAGGAGGAGATTAAAGTGGTAAGCACAGTCCGCTTAGTTGCCTTTGCTGAATAAGGCTGGTCTTAAGAAAGGGAGGTGGTGGTCTGCCTGAATTATAGCTGCTGGGTTTGGGATTGATCTGAAGAATCCTGTTTGGACTGCCACAGGGGGAAGAAAGGGGCAGCTTGACTGCGCTCACCAGGAATCACAGCATACAGTGGTACCTCGGGTTACATACGCTTCAGGTTACATACGCTTCAGGTTACAGACTCTGCTAACCCAGAAATAGTGCTTCAGGTTAAGAATTTTGCTTCAGGATGGGAACAGAAATCGTGCTCTGGCGGCGCAGCAGCAGTGGGAGGCCCCATTAGCTAAAGTGGTGCTTCAGGTTAAGAACAGTTTCAGGTTAAGTACAGACCTCCGGAACGAATTAAGTACTTAACCCGAGGTACCACTGTATTGCAGCTTGTGTGTTTGTTTAATGAGAGTCTTGTGACACCTTAAAGACCTAAGACGTTTATTATGAAATAGGCTTCCTCGGATCACAGTCCACTTCATTAAATACAATGAAATGTAATCCTAAACTGGCGAGCGTATGAAAAGAACCAGCAGCGGAACATGAAACTCTTAATAACTTTTAATTTTTTTTAATACTTTTCAAGTTTATACATTTCACTAATTTTACAATCATTTTGACCTTTTAAAACTTGACTTGACTCCTCCTTCTTTCTGCAGTTCCTTAAATTTATATTTAATATCTTCTGCATATCCAAATTCACTTAAGTTGCTCATTTATTCACCTACTTTAAATATATACTCTTATAAAACTGCAGGTTATTACAATAACCCTGCCAATGTTCTTATCTGTTTACAATTTATCTGTAAATATCCAATAAACCATTTCCATTCTTTTATAAAAAGTTTGTTATCTTGGTTTCTTATTCTTCTGGTAAGTTTTGCCATTTCTGCATATTCCATAAATTTTTGTATCCATTCTTCCTTTGCTGGGACCTCTGCCTCTTTCCATTTTTGGACGGGTAATATTCTTGCCGGTGTAGTAACTTACATGAATAAGTTTCTATACATTTTAGGTAGTTCTGTCCCTATAATTCCCAAGAGAAAAGCTTATGGGTTGTTTTTTTTACAAAGGTTATTTTAAACATCCTTTTCATTTCATTATATATCACTGAAATGAAATGAGACTCTTAATCTCAGGAGTGTGGGTTAGAGCTTCACGTTGGGCAAAAGATAGCCCTGTTTTTCAGGGGGTTGGACTAGATGACCCTCATGGTTCATTCCAACTCCACAATTCTGTGATTCTTTATATATACAGTGGTGCCTCGCAAGACGAAAAGAATCCGTTCCGCGAGTCTCTTCATCTTGCGGGTTTTTTCGTCTTGCGAAGCAAGCCCATTAGAGGTTTAGAGGCTTAGCGCTACAGTATTAGCGGCTTAGCCGGCTTAAAGATCAGCTGATAAGCGGCTTAAGGATCAGCTGATAAGCGGCTTAAAGATCAGCTGATAAGCGGCTTAACGATCAGCTGATAAGCGGCTTAGCATCAGCTGTTAAGCGGCTTAAAGATCAGCTGATAAGCGGCTTAGCCATCAGCTGATAAGCGGCTTAGCGGCTTGGGAAAAAGGGGGGGGAAAGGAAAAAAACCCCGCAGGAACTCGCAAGACATTTTCGTCTTGCGAAGCAAGCACATAGGAAATTGCTTTATGAAGCACCTCCAAAACGGAAAACCCTTTCGTCTAGCGAGTTTTCCGTCTTGCGAGGCATTCGTCTTGCGGGGCACCACTGTGTATATATATATATATATATATATATATATATATATATATATAAACATACCAATTATTATACATTCCACAGAACTTCACATCTTATACAATCTTTTTGGACTTCCATCAGCACCTCTGATGATCCACCATTTTTATCATTTCTTCTGCATTTCTTAAATTCCTATTGCCTTTAATTATCTTAACTCACAATCCACCTCTTTAACCGTTTTTGCAATAATTCAAATAATTTACCTCACAAAACTTCTTGCAAACCTACAAACGTAATCTGGTCATCACAATTACTTTTCAAATAGTCCGTAAATTTACACCAGTCTTCTGTGAATCTCTGGTCCCGCAGGCTTCGAATTCTTCCGGTTAGTTTATCCACTTCTGCATAGTCCATCAATTTCATCCTCCATTCTTCTTTTGTCGGTAATTCTTCTTGCTTCCATTTTTGTGCCAATAATATTCTTGCTGCTCTCATTGAACTACAATTCTGTGATTCTATGGGGGGAAAACCTTTGATTCCCTGCATTTTTTTAGGTGCCCTATCATCACCGAAGTGGAACGCAATACCTGGGCATGGAGCCAGAAACCGAAGATGCCACTGCCGCCCAAAAACTGCGAGAGGCTGGGGCCATTATTATCGGTGTCTCAAACATGCACGAATTGGGTATTGGAACCACTGGTTGTAACCCCAACAGGTAAAGTAGCTCACATTCATTAAACGGGGGCTTGTTGATAACACTGAATGGAGCTTTCTCTTTAAAACGTGAGTGGAATAAGAAAGGTAATAAATGTGGAGCAAAGCATTATACAGTGGTACCTCGGGTTAAGTACTTAATTCGTTCCGGAGGTCCGTTATTAACCTGAAACTGATCTTAACCCGAAGCACCACTTTAGCTATTGGGGCCTCCTGCTGCCGCTGCGCCTCCGGAGCACGATTTCTGTTCTGATCCTGAAGCAAAGTTCTTAACCCGAGGTACTATTTCTGGGTTAGCAGAGTCTGTAACTGAGGCGTATTTAACCTGAAGCGTATGTAACCTGAGGTACCACTGTATTGGAATGCTCAAGTTAAAAGGTTGGTGAATAATTTTGGTCAAAAGGGACCAGACAAAGTCTGAATTGCGATTATGTTTAGAACCACTAGCTATCGCTGTCAGCAGTAAAACTCACTTTAAAGGAAGAGACGTGAAAAAGGAAGAGTTTAAAGTAAGTCTTTATGGTATTAACACTGAATTGTGTGGTTCCTTAAATGATAGTATGTGTGGTGTTGTTGTGAATTAAATTTGTATACCACCCTATACCTGCAGGTCTCTGGGCGGTTCACAGGGTAAAATCGCAATATAAAAACAAAATGTATAATAAAAATAAAAGCAAGAATGACCCAATAACCCCGCTGCCCACTAAAGAGAAAATAGAAGGTATTGGAATTTGAGGAGACTGCCTTTTACCATTTGCATGGTCTCTGCCCAGTGCACCCACTGCTGAGGTCTCGGTGGCTCTGTGAGGCTAGGCCAGTGGTTTCCAACATTTTTGGCCATGCCCTACCTATGCAGGCTGTGCAGCTTTCGCTGAAGCTAGGAGAGCAAGAGGGATTGGTGCACACCGATCCCTCTTGCTCTCCTGGCTTCAGGGATAGCCTTCCGAAGCCTCCTGAGCAGAGCAGGAGTGCTCTGTTTCTCCTCCCGCTTTGTTGGAGAGGCGCTGAGCAGAGAGGGAGAGAACATTTTTTTTCTTGTTCTCCTCCTCTAAAACTAGGTGCGTCTTATGGTCGGGTGCGTCTTATAGAGCGAAAAATACAGTACTTATTACAGTGGTACCTCAGGTTAAGTACTTAATTCGTTCCAGAGGTCCGTACTTAACCTGAAACTGTTCTTAACCTGAAGCACCACTTTAGCTAATGGGGCCTCCTGCTGCCACCGCGCCGCCGGAGCCCGATTTCTGTTCTTATCCTGAAGCAAAGTTCTTAACCTGAAGCACTATTTCTGGGTTAGCGGAGTGTGTAACCCGAAGCGTATGCAATCTGAAGCGTATGTAACCTGAGGTACCACTGTACTCAAAAAATGAACTCCTATTCACGTGGAAGAAACCTAAAAGCCCATTAACCTGGTCTAACCCATTCTCGAATTGCCCCCTTTAAAAATCAAATTGCCCCCCTGTGGGGCGTGTGCCCCATATTGGGAACCATGGGGCTAGGTAGAGCATGGAGACTGGGTGCCATACCTCGTGGCCTCTGCCTTGAACCTCACCTGTGTGTCAGGATGTTGAGATCCTTCGCTTCCTCCAACTGTCTTGGCGGCACTGCCTTCAGAATCTTTCTCTGTCTCCCTCCAGATACCACGGTACGGCGAGGAACCCCTACAACCCCCAACACTTCACTGGGGGCAGCTCTAGTGGGTCAGCAGCAGCCGTGGCTTCAGGTGAGGTTGTCCAATGAGTTGGGGAGGCGGGAAGAAGGAGAGCGGCAGTTCAACAGAGGCATCGATCGGTTCCCTTGTGCCCTTGGCAAGGAAATCTATCCCCTGTACACAGAGGCGTAGGAAGGTCAGGTGGTACCTGGTGTGGAAAATTTCTTGTCACCCCCCCCCCCACACACACACATTGATTTTTGTTTGCCTGCAAAAATGGTTTTACGTTATTTCATATTTTCTTACAAAGGAATGTGGATTCTGGGCGACTGTGGACAGATACTTAAATCTACAGGATGGGTTGTGTTTTGGCTCCACTGAATTGAAATTTTAGCCTTCACGACATATAAAAATGGCCAAGTAAACAATTATTTTTGTGGAGGCGGGTCAAGATATTAACTGATATGCATGAAGTTTCAAATATGGCTGTATAATCCCTAGTGTAGTAAGATGAGACCTTTGGAGCAGGCATTTTTTAAAAAAAGGTTTTTTATAACTATAATTATTTTTTATTTCCAAAACCGAAAAAAGAAAAATTACAAACATCAAATTCAACATCCATATTCATTTTCTAACATAAACCTATTATATAATTAACCAAATTAAAATATACCTAATTACTATAAACTTCTTTGCTGTATACAAATACAACACAGTTAGAAATTTTATATTAAAGCTTTTATATTATAATAATATTTCAAATTCCCCTATACCCCCCCATTCCTTCACCCATGTGTGATCTCATTTTTATTTTATTTTTACTTCTTCCGTCTTGTTGTGTTGTTATAATTTAATCATTGCGCAGCAGATTTTTTTATTGTTTGCTTGCTTACCACTCATGTTTTACACATTATCTATTAATATTCTAGTTCCGGAACCATATTTTTTCATATATTCCTTCACTCCCTCCCACTCTTTAATTATTCTCTGATTTGAAGGGCCTCTAATAGTTGCCGTCAATTTTGCCATTTCCATAAACTCACAGAGTTTACTTTGCCATTCTAATAACGATGGTATTTTATGAACCACCCTAGTAGGGCAGTAATCATTCCTTGATAATTTGTCACCCCCTCCATGATGGAACCCGGGGCAGAACGCCCCCCCTTCCTACGCCCCTGCCCATATACATACCACCACAATGGACCAGAAACTCAACAAGTTTGCTTTACATAACCTTTTGCACTCCATCAGTGATAGAGCTGGGCGATAGCTGGTTATTGCCAGCTAAATATCACGATATCTCAATATATCATGATATATATCGGCAGCAGCGGAGGGCATTGCTGGGCCTCCCCGCGGCGGCAGAGGGTCCCACCATACCTCCCTGCAGTGGCAGGTGTGCCACGCTTCCCTGCAGCAGCAGGGGCCTTCCCATGGAGGCAGAGGGTCCCGCCATAACTCTCTGCAGCGGCGGGGTCCCTTCCAACTTTACAGTTCTGTGATTCTGAGGAGATTGTGTGGGGGAATGCAGAACTAGATGGTTTCCCTGAACGGAAGGCTCGTAATTCTGCTTCTTTTTGTAGGCCTTTGCCCGTTGGCTCTTGGTACAGATGGGGGCGGCTCGGTGAGGATCCCTGCGTCTTTCTGTGGCATTGTGGGACTCAAAGGTAATCATCTTCTTTGGAGATCACTTGTAGCCGAGTAAGATTGCCTTCCATAAACACGGTTTTAACAGTGAGTCTGTAAGTGACTGTGGAGGCCAATTCTGGATCCACACGTCCTTCCACAGTGGGGACATAGGTTTACGGGCAGGAGTTGATCACGGTGAGGGTTTGCCAAGCATGCCTTCCTCTTAGCACGTTTCTCCCTTTCATCCTGAGTTTGAGCGTCTTCAAAGCCCATGACACCTGGTAAAGGCTGTTCTCCAACTGGAGCGCTCGCAGGCCAGTGTTTCCCAGTTGTCGGTGTTTATACTACATTTTTAAAGATTTGTCCTGAGAGAGTCTTTAAACTTCTTTTGTTGACCACCAGCGTTACGCTTTCCATTTTTAAGTTCGGAATAGAGTAGTTGCTTTGGAAGACGATAATTGGGCATCTGCACAACATGACCAGTCCAGAGGTACCAACGCACCATTAACCAATTAACTGTAGCGAGAGGTCTAACTAGAGATGCATAATTCTCTGTTTATCATGAGAGCCAGCCGTGGCACCACAGCCACCGCGGGAGCTTCATGGCTGAGCAGGGATCAAATCCAGCACTCCATCCTTGGTACTAAGACCCTTGATTGGTTTGGTGCTTGAAGCAGGGGAAGGAGAATATGATGCCCTTCCATATTTCCCCTTCTGTAGGCTGCTGCTTGGAGCCTGGCATGATCCATCGCTCAGGCCAGACTAGCCTCTGGCCTCTCCTTTTGGCCACCTGCTACTTCATCATGCCTCTAATCCACTTGCTTTGTGTCATCTGAAGGTACCTTTGGACGCACCAGTGAATTTGGCTGTCACCCTCTCTCATATTCTACCGTAAGCCTTGGTAAGAAGGAGGTTTTTGGAGTTGTCTGTCTAGCTGAAGAAAGTGTGTGTGCACCTGCTGAAAACTTGTTCCGTCATGCCTTTGCAGGCAGTTAAGAAAATAATAATAATAATAATAATAATAATAATTTATTTGCACCTCGCCCATCTGTCTGGGTTTTCCCAGCCACTATGGGTGGCTTCTAACAAAGATTAAAAATACATTAAAATGTCACACATTAAAAACTTCCTTAAACAGAGCTGCCTTCAGATGTCTTCTAAATGTCAGGTAGTTGTTTTCCTCTTGGACATCTGACGGGAGGGCGTTCCACAGGGCGGGCACCACTACCGAGAAGGCCCTCTGCCTGGTTCCCTGTAACTTTGCTTCTTGCAGTGAGGGAACTGCCAGAAGGCCCTCGGAGCTGGACCTCAGTGTCCAGGCAGAATGATGGAGGTGGAGACACTCCTTCAGGTATACTGGGCCAAGGCCGCTTAGGGCTTTAAAGGTCAACACCAACACTTTGAATTGTGCTCGGAAACGTACTGGGAGCCAATGTAGGTCTTTCAAGACCGGTGTTATGTGGTCTCGGCGGCTGCCCCCAGTCACCAGTCTAGCTGCCACATTCTGGATTAGTTGTAGTTTCCGGGCCACCTTCAAAGGTAGCCCCAAGTAGAGCGCATTGCAGTAGTACAAGCGGGAGATAACAGAGCACGCACCACTCTGGCGAGACAGTCTGCGGGCAGGTAGGGTAGTTGGCTGGTTTCCGATTTTAATTTTGTATATCATTTTTTTAAAATTATATGACTTCCAGGTTTTTTTAATGAATAGTGGCATGTTTATAAATAGATTAAAGCTTGAAATAGATTAAAGTGAACAAGCTGTCTTCCAGAGAGGAGCTCATGCCTGGCCTTTTTAGGTCAGTGTGAGCTGGCAGCTAAATCAAGGTTTGGTTTAGCATGTTGCAACCAGGACCTGTTGCAAAAGTGGCTTCAGTATACCTGAAGGAGCATCTCCACGCCCATCGTTCTGCCCGGATACTGAGGTCCAGCGCTGAGGGCCTTCTGGCAGTTCCCTCCCTGCGAGAAGCGAGGTTACAGGGAACCAGGCAGAGGGCCTTCTCGGTAGTGGCACCTGCCCTGTGGAACGCCCTCCTATCAGATGTCAAGGAAATAAACAACTATTTGACTTTTAGAAGACATCTGAAGGCAACCCTGTTTAGGGAAGTTTTTAATGTTTAATGTTTTATTCTGTTTTTAGTGTTCTGTTGGGAGCTGCCCAGAGTGGCTGGGGAAACCCAGCCAGATGGGCGGGGTATAAATAATAACATAATGATGATGATAATGATTATGGAGAGCTTAACCACAATCCTGGATTTGGATGACATGCTAAACCAGACTTTTGGCTTAGCTGCTGTGGTGCACTGATCTGAATAGCAAAACAGTTGCAGTCTCCGAAGCCGTGGTTTGGCTTAGTGTGATGTGTGAATTTGGTGTGTGTGTGTGTGTGTGTGTGTGTGTGTGAGAGAGAGAGAGAGATAATCTGTGTCTACCATATTCCTGAGAACACAGGCAGCTTTCTATATGAACTGGAAACTTGCTTGTTGTTAATGTACTTTCTTATTTCACTGTATAATATAAAACAGAGAGAACAATTCTAGCACCAGACGAAGATGAAGCTCCCACGTCGCCTGCCACGTCAAACCCTCACACATTCTTCCGTCCACCTGAAAGGGGTTGGGATAAGGTGGTGGAACAGACTGCGCCACATCAGATTATATATGTGCAGCCAATTGATTCCGATGCTCCAAACGTATAACTCCCTGCAGATAAAAAATAAAAAAAATTCCTTCCAGTAGCACCTTAGAGACCAACTAAGTTTGTTATTGGTATGAGCTTTCGTGTGCATGCACACTTCTTCAGATACACTGAAACAGAAGTCACCAGACCCTTATATAAAGTGAAAGGGTGGGGAGGGGTATTACTCAGAAGGGTGGTGGGAATGGGTGATTGGCTGATAGGTGTGGTAAACCTGTTAACGACTGCAATTGGTCTTACAGGAAAAAGCAAGGGGTGAGATGGCTAAAAATAGCTTTATCGTGTATAATGTGAGAAGAATCCAATGTCTCTATTCAGACCAGGTCTCTCCATGGCTTTAAGTTTGGTAATAAGTTGAAATTCAGCAACTTCTCTTTCCAGTCTATTTCTGAAATTCTCTTTCTATTCAGTCTATTTCTGAAATGCATACAAAAGCTCATACCAATAACAAACTTGGTGTCTAAGGTGCTATTGGAATGAATTTTTTTATTTTGTTTTGACTACAGCAGACCAACATGGCTACCAACCTGTCCCTGCAGATAGAAAGCTAGCACATGGGGCGGGGGAGAGTTCCAGCTAGAACCTTGGCCTGCTGTGATTTTTTTCTACTTGCAAGGTCTTTCTTTTATTTTATAAGGATCCAGAATGCAAGTTCTTCCCCCCCTTTTTTTTTGGCTAGGCCCCTTGTCTACATCAGTGGCAGACGCGGCTGTTGCTTATGCGATCTTGGCTGGTCCTGACCCCCGCTATCCATATGGTGAGTCTTAACTGCCCATTCGTTCCCATCCGAGTAGCACGACATCTTTTTTCCACTGCGTGCCTGTTGACGGTTCCTTTTTCACCTGTTTCAGGATTAGGCCAGCCCAAACCATCCCTCTCTGGAGTCCTCACACCTGATCTGAAGGACTTGAAGTTGGGGGTTGACTGGACTTTCTTTAAGGTGCCTGTTTACCTCTTCGTTTCTCTTGCATCCTTCATCTACATGCAGCCGCTAGGAGAGATCATCAGGGGGTTTGGGCTGGGTGTCCATCAATATGTGGATGATACCTAGCTCTACCTCTCTTTTAAATCAGAACCAGTGAAGGCTGTGAAGGTCCTGTGTGAGTGTCTGGAGGCGGTTGGAGGATGGATGGCAGCTAACAGATTGAGGTTGAACCCTGACAAGACAGAAGTACTGTTTTTGGGGGACAGGAGGCAGGCAGGTGTGGAGGACTCCCTAGTCCTGAATGGGGTAACTGTGCCCGTAAAGGACCAGGTGTTCAGCCTGGGAGTCATTTTGGACTCAAAGCTGTCCATGAAGGCGCAGGTCAATTCTGTGTCCAGGACGGCTGTCTACTGGCTTCATCTGGGACGCAGGCTGAGACCCTACCTGCCCGCGGACTGTCTGGCCAGAGTGGTGCATGCTCTAGTTATCTCTCGCTTGGACTACTGCAATGCACTCTATGTGGGGCTACCTTTGAAGATGACCCGGAAACTACAACTGATCTAGAATGCGGCAGCTAGACAGGTGACTGGGAGTGGCCGCCGAGACCACATTGAAAGACCTACATTGGCTCCCAGTACGTTTCCGAGCACAATTCAAAGTGTTGGTGTTGACCTTTAAAGCCCTAAATGGCCTTGGTCCAGTATACCTGAAGGAGCGTCTCCACCCCCATCGTTCTGCCTGGACACTGAGGTCCAGCACCGAGGGCCTTCTGGCGGTTCCCTCACTGCAAGAAGCCAAGTTACAGGGAACCAGGCAGAGGGCCTTCTCGGTAGTGGCACCCGCCCTGTGGAACGCCCTCCCACCAGATGTCAAAGAGAACAACAACTACCAGACTTTTAGAAGACATCTGAAGGCAGCCCTGTTTAGGGAAGCTTTTAATGTTTGATTACTGTATTTTAATATTTTGCTGGAAGCCACTCAGACCGGCTGGGGAAACCCAACCAGATGGGCGGGGTATAAATAATAAATTATTATTATATTGAGATGCGGCCACTTCATCTTCAGAATGTTGCTTCCTGGGTGTTACATGAGGGATTCCGGGCACTTCATGCAGCTCTTAATCTCAGGATCATGAGTCTGAGTTCCACTTGTTGGGCAAAAGATTCCAGCATTGCAGGGGGCTGAATCAGGTGACCCCGGGGTCCCCTTTCAGCTGTATAATTCCATGTCCCTTAAGGAGATGTAAGGCCACCCTATGACTCTGTCACATGACTGGGAACGTGGTGGGTGCCATAGACAAGAGGAGGAGAAAAGTTCTTTAATTGTGGTTCCGCAAAGGTAGATCCTTGGGAATAACTCTTTTTTTTTTTTGCTTGTCTGCCAGGCATGTGATGCTGAAATCCTAGCCACCTGCCAGAAAGGTAAATCATTCATAATGAACTGAAAAAAATGTTTAAAAGTACTTTCCCAAAAAACAAACAAACCCAGAGTCCTTTTTGTTGGGAAGAACTCAGAAGGAAATTCCCAGATGTCAGAAAATGTTATTTATGTATGGCACCACCGCGGTTTGTGTTTTGTTAGCCCCAAAATGGAAAATGAGCGAAGTCCCAACCAGAGAAGATAGGCAACTTAAATGGATGGAATACGTGCAACTTGCGGACCTAACATATAGAATAAGAGAACAAGAAGAACATATGTTTAAAGAAGATTGGAAAATGTTTATTGAATATATGGAGGAAAATTGTGTTTTATTTGAAAACGTGGGCAGCATTAAGATAAATTCAACCGTGTAAATAAGTTTTGACAGATGTAACAATGGAATACTGAATGGTTTAGTTTATATAAAATATACCGGGATTCATGCTGTGCAAAAGGAATCATGGAAAGAGAGGAAGGGAAGTCATTGATATTTTAAGTGAATATTCTAAAATGTAAAACAGAAATTTAATTTAAAAAAAAACCTCAAAAAAGAAAGCAAGGCAAACTACATCCCAGATTTGCTGAAACAAATTGGGACACTTGTTAGGCTATTAAGTCTCGCTTATTTCCCTCCCCCACCCCCTGGCGGCGGCTGCCACTGATGATCAGCTGTGAAGTTCCTAGAAGGTTTAGGTGCCTCCGTGGTTGATGTGTCCCTGCCAGAACTGGAGGAGATCCGAGTGGCTCATGTGATCTGCATCCTTAGTGAGATGAGAGATTTCCTGCAGCCTGACTTCAACAATTCCTTTGACCAAATGGTAAGTGGAGGGCTGACTTGGAACTGTAGTCCCAAAACAGCCAGAGACTCAAGTTTGGGAAACCCTGGGATAGATTGTGAAGCCGCATCTTCCTCGCCAGGGCCACCAATTAACCACAGTTTCTCCAAACACAGAAATGGTGCTTCCCCCCCCCTTGCTTACCGCACTGAGTGGCACGTGAACTGGCCTAGCAGTTCCCATATTCCTTTCCTTTTTGGCCCTGCGGAGATTGCGACACACCTTGCTCGACGAGGAGGAGGAAAACACATCTGCACATGGCTCAACTCTGCCTGTATCTGTGCCTTTTTGTCTCTGTTCTCTGGCGGAAAGTTGTGTGTGTAGAGGGGTCTTAACTTCAGCATAGCTCTGTGCCGTTACATGTCTGTTCTAGGTGGGCAGGTTGTCCATGACTATTTAGGATTAGGGTTTACCCCCGTGTTTCTTCCTTTTCCAGAATCTGGAGACTCGTCTTAATCTTGCAATCGCTTCTAAGTTCACAGCTCTGGATTATATTAAGGTAAAAGGCAATTAATTGCAAGATTGCACCATTATTATTTGCTGTATTACAGTAGGGTATGCTTTCCTGTCTTCCCCACAGACTCAATTCCCACTTGTGTTTGCAGGCAAATCGGCAGCGGAGCCGCACCATGGCCCTTCTACAACAGATGTTTGCGAATGTGAACTGTCTTATTACCCCAGGTATCTAATGCCAGCTGAATTTAACACTATTTATATCAACTCGTAGGGGCTTTATTGGCCTGATTTGCTTCCCGTCCTGCATGTGCTCTGGTCTAAATTAAAATGTTTTCATACTGAGTGTAGTAGCGGCTGGCCAAATGACGTTGGGTGTTTTAAATGCAGCAGGGCATGAGGTCATCATGAGGTTCCTAGAGAGAGGTGGTGTATGTTTTGTGACTGGTTGGTATGACCTCTGTCTGGGTATGTTAAAAAAAGGAAGTTATATGTGTTGTCACCTACCAGGTGTTGAATCTCTAAAATGGGCACGTTTCGTAAGCCATCTTCTACATGTGTAATGCCCTCGCCCTATAAGGCATATCAAGGGAGATTTGAACTGTAATTTGTGGCTTGGCTCACTTTCTTGGTGTTTTTACTCCCCTGGGCACCTTTGGGAGGAAGAAGGGGATATAAATTAAATAGGTAAAGAAAAATATGGATTTATGTCATAAAACGTATATACTAAAAAAAACAACTGGCCTAATGCAGCCAGAAATATGCTAAAGATTTTTTGCTGAACTAGGTGAATTAAAACGGTACTTAGATGGCAGAACATGCACTTTGTATGTGTATCATTTTAGATTCAATCCACAGCACCTGTTTAAAGGATTTCTGCTTTGCAGGCAGATTTCATCTGCATAAAAATGTTTTTTTTTGCTTTTGACCTCACATCCCTTTTTCATTATCTGTTTTTTTTTTAAAGTTTTCAACATACAGTGCAATAAAAGTTGAACTAATCTAAATAGAGAAGAAAAGAAAAAAGCAAAAGAAGAGAGAAAGATAAAACAAAGAGAGAAAATAAGAGGGAAAAGAGAGGGAAAAATATAAAAATACAGAACCCTCTGTCAGGGGTAGATTTTAACCCTTATCTCACACAAAAGGGAGAGGACCCTCCCTGCTCTCACTTGGGAGCTTCCATTTCTTCTCCCAGTCTTCCATCCTGGGAGTTCTTCCCTTCCCTGCCTCTCACGCAGGGTCCTTCATCAGTCACCTTCCTGGGAGTAAATTGCAGTTTTCAGTAAATTTTGGCTTTCAGAACCAGCTCAGCTAAGTCTTATGTGTGGCATAAAGGTAAAGGGACCCCTGCCTGTTAGGTCCAGTCGCGGACGACTCTGGGGTTGCAGTGCTCATCTTGCTTTACTGGCTGAGGGAGCCGGTGTACAGCTTCCTGTACCAGCATGACTAAGCCGCTTCTGGCAAATCAGCGCAGCACACAGAAACGCCTTTTACCTTCCTGCTGGAGCGGTACCTAATTATCTACTTGCACTTTGACGTGCTTTCGAACTGCTAGGTTGGCAGGAGCAGGGACCGAGCAACAGGAGCTCACCCCATTGCGGGAATTCGAACCGCCAACCTTCTGATCCTTTTTTACTGGGAAACAATTATGGGGGTTGACTGGAAACGTTCACAGTGAGGGATAAGAGGGACTGTTAAGAGCCTATACTTATAAAACTTATAAAAAACACCCCAAAAAACCACATCACACAAACATTTTTCTCTTGTGCAAGGTACTGCATGCTGTGCCCCAAGAATCCAGGACTCTGATCTTCTGACTGGGTGTAGCGATGTTAGGACAACTCTCCGGACCATGAGGTAAAGACATGTGTTTTTCAAAGCAAAACTGTGGCAGTGAGGAAGGAGGGCAGGATTCTAGGGAGACCTGGCTCCCTCCAAAGTGAAATTGGCCATTGGATACGTGGAAACTGAGACTTGCTTTGGTTTGCTGTCTTTGCCATCTTAAAGAAGAAATAATGCTCTTGGGATTTTTAACACTCCATGTTGGCTGGGTTTCAGCTGACAGAAACACCCCAGTTGGCTAGACTTCTTTGATGGGAGAGAAAGGGGTTCTAGATGTGCAGCCCAAGTCATTTTCCAGGTTGACCTTCATTGCTCAACAAGTATATATCTGCTATAGCAGGGCTGGGAGCTGCAGGCCAATGGAGGATGGGGCCAAAGGGAGAAGTGGGCATGGATGTGACCCTTGACCAGTAGGCTGCATTCAAGGCGTGCAGGTGTTGGAGGGTTCTACAAACACATCTTTCCATCCAGGCAAGAAAGTAGCGGAAGAACGTTGCCTCAGGAGAGTGAGGAGAATTCTCAGGGATGATTGACACCCTGGCCGGCACTTTCTTGATCTCCTGCCCTCAGGCAGAAGATATAGAAGCATGATTAGTCGCAGCAACAGGGTAAAGAACGGCTTCTATCCATGGGCTGTTAGGCTGCTGAATGAAAAGATAACAACAGGGCAACTGACTTTCGGGTTTGGTGGGTGTGCGTCAGTAAACGAGGGGAATTAAGACTAAGAGAGCTGAGTGGGGGGTACTCGTGTAATCTCACTGTATACAAATTGTACAAGCGACAATAAAGTATTTCAGTTGTCACAGTTCACATTCCAGTACTCTAGAGGGATGTGAAGCTGGGCTGTTGAGGGATATGGTCTTAGGGCAGACTTTCCCAAACTTGGTTCTCCAGCTGTTTTTGGACTAGAACTCCCATCATCCCTAGCTAGCAGTACCAGCGGTCAGGGGTGATGGGAATTGTAGTCCAAAAACAACTGGAGAACCAGGTTTGGGAAACAATGGTCTAGGAGGGAGAGCATGTGGCCTAGGGAGTCCTAAGGATCAGAGAAAGATGTCTGCTGGTCCACCTCTGATGTGCCCCTTCTCTCTTGATATTTGTAGGTACATGCAACTGGCCAACTTGACTGGCATCCCAGCACTGGTAATACCAGTTGGATATTCTATTTCAGGGCTTCCGATCAGCATCCAGGTAAATACGACTTTCTCTGGCTAGTAAAATGGGTAAAGGACCCCTGGATGGTTAAGTCCAGTCAAAGGTGACTATGGGTTTGTGGTGCTCAGGCCGAGGGAGCTAGCATTTGTCCAGACAGCTCTCCGGGTCATGTGGCCAGCATGACTAAACCGCTTCTGGCGTAATGGAACACCGTGACAGAAGCCAGAGCGCATGGAAACGCCATTTACCTTCACACCGCAGCAGTACCTATTTATCTACTTGCACTGGTGTGCTTTCGAACTGCTAGGTTGGCAGAAAGCCGGGGCGAAGCAACGGGGGCTCACCCCGTCATGCGGATTCAAACCGCCGACCTTCCGATCACCAAGCCCAAGAGGCTCAGTGGTTGAGACCACAGCACCATCCGCTCCCTCTCTTGCTGGTACTGCCCAGGTGGCTGGCTCATCCCCATACACACAGCAGAAACAACCACATAAATTCACTCCTACCTTGGCACCTGCCTGATGCCTCTCACCCTGGTTCCTCTCAAATGTGGCAACGAGGATGAGAGTTTGCCCCTTCCTGGCCAAGGATCACGTGTGCCGCTCTGGAAGCTGGTTTGTTTTCCTCTGAAAAGAGGGGTGCTCTCTGGTCACATTTTATATTACTGCAGGGTCCTACTGAAATGTATGCAGGCCTCTTCCTCCTGCTTCTTCTTGGCCAAGCAGCCCTTGGCTGGTTGTGTTTCAACAGTGACCAAATACTAGATATGTTAGGCAGACGTAAAATGCTAACGCCACGTAACAATGGAAATGCAACTACCTCATTCTTTTTCACACACCATCGTATAGGATGAAATACATCCTCTGGCAGGTGTGGTAGCTCAAAAAAGACACATTTACCCCCATGGTTTGTTAGGATACACGCAGGAGAACCTTCCAAATGAGAACATTCAAAGGGTGTGATTTTGAAGAACGCAAGAGCAGCCCTGCTGCAGGAAACCCAGAAGTCATCTATTCCAGCAACCCCTTCTCACAGGGACCAACCCAGAGCCATAGCTTGGGGGTGGGGGTGCTAGCTGTGTTTTTTTGCCCCCAGTGGAAGTCCCCAGAGAGGTGCCATTGGGGCTCCCAGCCTGTGTGCGTGCACAAATGTGCATTGGGGTGTGTATGCCAAACTGGGTCTTTGACCCAGGTGAAATAAAGTCTAGTTTTGCCCCAATGCCAACCAGATGCCTAAGTTTCACCATTTCCTCTCTCACTATTCCAATCAGCTGGTATTCAAGTCATCCAGCCTCGGATGACCAAGGTAAACACTAGCCCTCACGGCTTGTAGCAAGTGGGGAACTGACTTTGCAGGAAGCTCCCTCTGTGGTATTCGTAATGTCTAGTTGAGCCTCCTTCAAATAGATAAGGGGCAGGCTTCTAAAATGTCAATACCGTAAAACACTGAAGAAGTTGTGCCGGTTCTCTTCCCAACCTGACTTTACTTCATATCCCAGTTCTCTTACAGCTATTAAGTCCCCTTTCCCTAAACTGAGATACCTTCAGGCCCTACCTAGAGCACAAATGACCTTGATAGAGGTACTCTTCTCTTTCTCACACAGATCATGGCGAAGTGGTGGGATGAAGCACTACTGTTCCGGATTGGCCTGAAGCTGGAGCAATTTCATGGCATAACAGCAAAACCAGCCATTTATTACGACATTCTTGGGCAATAGGGCCAGCTGTCTCGAACCAATACAAAGTAAAACTTTTTTTTAAAGCGTTTGGAAGTTTTGGGTGGCTTGAGGCAGGCGAACAGGCACTTTTTCTGTGCATCAAAATCTTTGCTATTCACGGAATATTAAGTAATAACTTATTGTTTGGGTTGAGGTTTTAGATCTTTAGATCTACACCTACGCTACTTTGAGACTGGCCATATTTAGGGTACCTGATCCTGAGCCAATGGATGCTCCACGGCTTAAATTACATAGAGCAGAGGCCAGCAGAAATAGGTGCTCTGAACTAATAACCCTCCAAATCAAATAGACTAAAAGCATAAATGAAAATATATCGGGGAGAATGACCATGGTTACAAAGTTCATTTTGCCTGTTTGTTTTTTAGAGGTAGAAAGGTTAATACAGAGTATTTGAACCACAGATACAGAGGAATGATGGGCCTCAGGCTTTTGCAAAAAAAACCTGCCCATCCCCACAAAATGAAACAGCATAGACAAGGTCATAGCTCATTACCTTAATATTGATCTGTTGCCATGATTATGGGGGCATTAAAGGGCTTGTTCCCATATAGGTTCTCTTACAAATGCAGTCAAGATGGTTATGGCTAGAGGGTTGCCAAGATCTTTGCACTGATGGAGACAGGATCGTTTTCTCAGAATTCAGACTAAGAGGGCTGTGTTGGGGCATGCACCCATTCACAAAATTTGGCAGGTGTACAAAACCATTATACGGAAGGCATACTGGTGAGGAACCAAAGAATAAATATCTATATCTATATATCTATATCTATATATAAACATAGCCGCCATCTCCACCCAGGATTTGATGAACCAGGCTGGAAGAGGGGGATAATCTGTTCGGTGCTGCATGCCATGGTTTGGGCAACTCCCCACATCTTCTCTCCCCATACCTGCCCAGTAGGAGGCCATGGGAGGAATAGACTGCTCTTGCCAGAGGTCTGAACTGATGAGTTGTGGTCTGCAGGTTGTCCTGTTAGGGCGTGTTGAATTTTGCAACTTTCAGATTCCAAAAATGAGGGGTTCTAAAAAGTTGTAACATGAGCTGGGAATTCAAAAGATATTGTGGTTAAATAAATATAATTTAGTTTTCCTTGGTAAGGAAAGATGGTGTAAAATTGCGTAAGAAACATTAAAATGATTACTAAGTACTTGCAGTTATTTTATTTCTAATTACCTGACATTTTCAGAAAGTAAAATTGTTTGGTTTTCTGAAAGCAGTTTATGTGCTGCTTCATCAAATGCAGATTTGTAAATGTGGTCCAATCACAAAAGTAATAGAAGATTCGAATTTCTAACACCCAGAAAGGTATTTTTAAGACCCCTCACTGAAGAAATTTGCAAAAATTGAGTTTCACACACCCCGCCCCCAAATGGCATGCCCTATTGTTCCTAGGTTATAGTTAATCGCAGTAATCCTGAGATCAGGCCAAACTGAGGCTCTGTACTTGGCCTTGTACGCTTCCTTCTGGCTAATCCTGCAGCCAAGCTGGTGCCAAATGTATTGCTCTGCTTTCCTTTGGACCACATCAGTGAAGCTGAGAGGAGGGTCTTCTTCTCTGGCCAGCCCAGGATCTCCATACACACTGCCTAGGCCTGCATCCCAGCAGATCACTTCAGATCAATTTCACCCCCAGAGGTGCACTCATTGTTTCTTGGGACAGATATGTGCCAGTAACATTTCACTTGGTCACTGGTTCACACAGACACAAAATGGGAGAGTAGTTGTTTTATCTGACTAAATCTGTGACCCTCAGTCCAAAAGAAAGACCCCCTCAAGCCAACTCCTCCTGTACAGTACTTCCTCCCTTTTGAATAGGGTGAGCACACTTGGTACTATAGCAGTGTAAAATCAAGGTGTGTAGACATCAAGTCACAAAATGAAGGGGCCGAGCTGTACCCAATTCCTGAGAGAGCGCAGAGCAGGTAAACTAAGTTTAGCTACTTGAGCTTGGCACAGAATATGTTGGGCACGCAAACATACATTCTGCTGCACCTCTATCACCCAACAGCCACACGTTTGAGGAACTGGGTGCAGCATAGAGATGTCATTTTCTGATCCCGTCAACCCTCCCTGGTTCCGCTCTGGTAGAAGTATATTTTAAAAACAAGTTTTTACTTGCCTCTTTGGTTGTGCAGTAGTTTTGAGCTAAAGACAGCAGCACCGTAATGTGATCAAGCGTCACACCCCAAAAATTCCGGGGGTGCATTCCTTGTTGGTTGGTTGCTTCCTTCCTTCTTTCTTTTCATTAATAATTTTTATTAATTTTTCAAATTTTACATTTCAAATTAAACATCTGAAATCAAACCTGGTCCTATTAGGTTCAGTGAGGTTAAAATGAAATTGGCGCAGGCGGGGACTAGCAGTACCAAGGGAAAGGGCCAATCTTAGTGCCCACGCCCATCCTGATCCTTAGTTTCTCACATGTAGTTGTCATTCATTCATTCCCATGGGTGAAGTAACAAACTGGACTCGTCAGTTCTGTTAGGGTGAGGCCTAGCCTGCAAGGGCCTTAGCCACCAACCTCTTTACTCCCCAGCGGTCTACAGTGGGTTGAATGTGTGTCTACACCTCAGTGCATTGTACCCTGCTGGTTATATTGAAAATATATACCTTGCTGCTTGCATTTAAGCTATATATATAGGCAAGCTGTGGAAGTAGCAGTGAAAAGCAATTGTGTGGCAGAGGTGGAGGATGCTGCCCTTCTTTTCCCTTCTAGTCACCTGGTATTGAACCCTCTCCCTCTGCTGCTTTCCTGATCCCATGAACTGCACATGTGGTTTCAGATTAGGGCAGGTGCAGAGGACAAAAATCCGTCTTGCCTTCCTCACAAGAAGATGCGGAATACTTTTCATTCTGCTGTTTTGAGGTAGTCCACAAGTCTAGGCTTCTAGTGGTCTCATTCTCAGAGTCAGGTTTTTGGGTAGGCAAAACCGCCAGCTGCATGCTTCAGCTGAGCTGCAAGAACAGAAGTGTTAAGAGGGAAGGGGGGGACGGGACGGGGACTCTAAGCTTGTGCATGCAAAGTAGATGGAGTGACCACACATACAAAGCTCTTGCTTCATAGATGTATGTTGATAATACAGTATATACACAATGATTGCTTTATATAAAATAACACCTTGTTTATATAGCGACATTTAATTGCCACTTGGCCCTTCCTTAACCCACAAAAAAAACCAGCAGTATACAAAATATAAAATATTTTTTAAATATTTATAAACAGTTGCAAGGAAAAAATAGAACTGTATGAAAATATCCTTCCCTTCTTCAGGTGATTAATGGGCTTTTAATCCGTAGCTGTTCAGAGGATACGAGTATGCCCTGCCCAACACTATACGGTCCCGCAGGAGTTTAAATAAGACATAGTAATTGCAGAAGAGGATCAGGGCCATGGAAAGGGTATGGTTCCACTTCTCTGACCGCAACAGGGAGTAGAGCTGATAGCAGACCACGCTGCCTTCAATGAGAATCAACAGGTTGAGAAGCCGTAATGGACGGTGAAAGAGGAACTGTAGGGAGGGAAAAAAACAGTGCTTGAAGGGTCAGAAAGCAGACCGTTTGATGAAAACCAAATTCTGGAGGGCAGGGGAAAAGGAATAGAGGCCCAACAACTGCATCTGAAGCCCCAGGGCTGTAGCCACTAAGAACACTGCTGTGGTTCTGTTATTTGAACCACTGGATCAGATTCAACTGCTCAGTTCTGCTAGAGGAAGCCGTGCAAGGGCTTGTGCTAGTGCAACAGGGCTTCCCCCCACCATGCGCCTATCCCAAACCTTCTCTAGAAGCAAGGAGATGTGAGATCATTCTGTCGGGCAAGCAGTAATGCATGTGCTGATGGAAGAGTCTCCTCAGTATACCTGAAGGAGCTTCTCTACCCCCATCGTTCAGCCCGGACACTGAGGTCCAGCTCAGAGGGCCTTCTGGTAGTTCTCTCACTGCGAGACGTTACAGGGAACCAGGCAGAAGGCCTGTAGTGGTGCCTGCCCTGTGGAACGCCCTCCCATCAGATGTCAAGGAAATAAACAACTATCTGACTTTTAGAAGACATCTGAAGGCAACCCTGTTTAGGGAAGTTTTCAATGTTTGATGTTTTATCGTATTTTTAATATTCTGTTGGGAGCTGCCCAGAGTGGCAGGGGAAACCCAGCCAGATGGGTAGGATATAAATAAAAAAATATTATGATTATGATTACTACTACTACTACTCAGCTTAGCGCTACACTGAAATCCACCCTGTTATATGGCTAATGCAGGGTTTCCCATTCTTGGGTCTCTGGCTGTTTTTGGACTACAAAAACTTACTCAGGGGTTATATTCCCAGGTACTGCTGTATATGTGAAATTGTGCATAGTGGGGAACACCATCTTAAAAAGCAAAACTCCACCAAAAACCCACAATCATCCTCCCGACTTCACCACAATCACTTCCTCCAACTCCAACAGGCCTCAAAGACTCATGGGATTGCAGTTGCAACGGCTCCTGGGATTGTCAGCTGCTTTCCCGCTCTTTGGGGGCCATTTTTGCCCATTCCGCAGTTTACATCAATTTATTTATTTGCAGGCGTCAGAAAAATTGTGCTTAAATGTGGTGGTGGGGCGTATGAATTCTTACGTAATAATACTTACGGTACTTACATAAAAGCGGGCATGGGACACATCTGAAGGCACTGCTACGTTATAAGGCCCGACTGCTTTGTATAGGCATCGACTATGTCGCACTAGCACTCCCTGTGGCCATATTGTGCTCTCAGACCAGCTGTGGAGTATGACAAAGGGACTCTGTGAGCATCAGAAAACCAACCCGGAGTAATTTCACGATTCAAAATGTTATATATACACTTGGTAATATATACGCCCCGAATTCATGTTGATTGGTTTAGGCTTTTATATACACTTATTTTCAAGCAGTAGACACTGAAATAACACCAAGAGTTTTCAACCGAGTTGTAAATTCTGAATTAGATTGGTCAATACAAACATACATAAAATCTGAGGTTTCAACTCTGTTTTGGAAAGTAGAATCTTTCACTAGTAGCCATAAAATACACAAAACAAAGACACCTTGAGTTATGTAATAAAGCTGACAATCTTCTTGTACGTAGGTTAAAAATATATGCAACTGAAAATAAGAATACCTCAGGTATATATTGAAGAATAAAAGGAAAGAAACCCCAAGGGTAAAATCATAAATAGCTTTGCATATACAAATCATAAAACCCATCCTTCACCAACCGGGTACCCTCCAAAATATTTTGGACTACAACTTTCAACCTATAGCCAATTGTACAATTAGATGTGAATTTGAATAAGTAAAAACCAATTTCATAGGAATCCTCATTCTCTTCTTTATTTTTGCTCTGGAGGTGTACAGATGAAATTATGAAAAATTAGGCACTAAAAGCTGAAATAAGCAAGTGGACTTTTTTGGAAAGATTAGCTACAAAGTAAGCTAACTTGATGAGGAGGCCTGCTTTAGTACCACTAATGTGCACAGGGCAGAAACCGCCCTGTATTAACTGCAAGAACCCTGTCCTGTCCAATTTCAAATTTGGAGCTGGGAGAGGGAAGCAAGGGATTTATCCCCAGCCACAGTGTGAGGTCGAGAATCACAGTCTAATCCTTACCTAAGCGTGTCTACTCAGAGATAAATCCGACTGAGTTCAATCCAATATACTTCCAATTAAGCATGCACATGCTTGCAGTTACCTTGCAGTAAGCCCAATTAAACACAGCAGGACTTGCTTCAGAATAGAAATGTACTGAAAGAGAGAGGTAGGGTCCTGGGCGCTCACAATTTTTGGTTTGGGTTGTGGACCCATTTTTATCCATACCTGGGCAGTGCCCCAAGTATGTAGAATCCACTGGTTTATTTGTGGGTGACCCACTTTGTTGCCTAAGGGGCAGGCACTAGATCACCTAAATTCAAATGCAACGAAATGATGATTTGAAAACTTGTGATTTGTCTGTTAAGTGATTTAAGCTAGGAAGAATGATGTTACACTCGTTCTCTGCGCCCTCTTCCTACAATTCTCACTGGATGAGAATACAAAAACAAAACAAAACCCCCACCCTGCCAGTTACCACAATAAATTCTGCAAAGAGTCTCAGGTAAGCTTATCAAAAACAGATCTCAATAACAGTAATTGAAAGTATGGTGCACAACAAAATCATTGAAGAATACTGACACGGACAATGTAGTCTTGGGTCCAACTAAAGAAAGGTACAAAATTAGGATACCTTCAGCTGCCCTATTTTCTTTCCCTTGACCCTTGTCAACAAATGCTTTGAGGTCACACTCACATGTGCTGGGGGGCATTGCTGTATGAACCATGTTCCAGCTTCTGCCACTTGCCCAGGTGGGCAGCTGATCTGTGTAGCAAGTCACAATACTTGGGAGGAAGCAGCTGGGTGGTGAGCATGACAAAGGCGTTGATCCACACCATGATGAGGTGTTCACAGGACCAGCGCATGTCATAGTACTGTGTGCTCTGCAAGAAACCAAAGAGGGTGTTAATGCCAACGCCCCAGAGATCTCAAGAGTGGGAAGACGGTGCCCTACAGCCATAGATTTAAGTACCTAACTAGGAACTGCAAGGCCAGCAAAGGACTCTTTGAGATCCTCCTTTCTCCTTGGCATACATGACATGAAATTTTTGCACAGCCGATGTATATGCCACTGTGGAATATGTGCACACCCATGGTCACTGGCATGGAAGTAAAACAAGCCCAAGAACGCTTCTTGGGTACACAGAGAGAAACTGGATTGGGTGTGGAAGGTCCAAATCTGCCCATTAGACACCAGCCTGATAAGAGCACCAGTGATCTATCTGGACAACTTTCTGAGGTCTCTGGTAAGTCAGCCTGGATATCACAGCTGCCCCTATTCTCTAATCATATTAATTCAAATCCTGCACTGGCTCCCTGTGGAGTACAGGATCCGGTTTAAGGTGCTGGTTTTAACCTTTAAAGCCCTATACGGCCTAGGACCCTCGTACCTACAGGATCGCCTCTCCTGGTATGTCCCATGGTGGACCTTACGGTCTTCAAACAAAAACACCATGGAGGTCCCAGGCCACAGGGAAGTTAGGCTGGCCTTAACCAGAGCCAGGGCTTTTTTGGCTGTGGCCCCGATCTGGTGGAACGCTCTGTCACAAGAGACTAGGGCCCTGCGGGACTTGACATCTTTCCGCAGGGCCTGCAAGACAGAGCTGTTCCACCAGGCCCCTCCTTTGGTAATCCTCATAGAATTCTAGCCCAATGGTTGCCATTAATTTGATTTTGAATTGATTTTAGAATCCTGTGTTACTTTTATTGTTGTTAGCTGCTCTGAGCCTGGCTTCGGCTGGGGAGGGCGGAATATAAATAAAATTTTATTATTAGTAGTAGCAGTAGTAGTAGTATGAACACCCAAGGCACTGCCAAATCATGATGTGAGCTGGGCATCAAATGCCTGCTAACAGTACCAAAATACAGTGGTACCTTGGTACTCAAATGGCTTGGCTCCCAAACAAATTGGCTCCTGAATGCCGCAAACCCTGAAGTAAGTGTTCCGGTTTGCGAACGTTTTTCAGAAGCTGAACGTCCGGCACGGCTTCTGCTTGAGTGCAGGAAGCCCCTGCAGCCATTCAGAAGCAGCACCTTGGTTTTCGAACGGTTTCGGGAGTCAAATGGACTCCCGGAACGGATTAAGTTTGAGAACCAAGGTACCACTGTATACTTGTTACAGTTGTCTGGGAAAGAGAGCGGGGCTAATAGATGCGATGAAAAATGAGTGGGCGAACCACAGTGGCACTACATGTGTGGCAAGACCTAGCTGCCAATCGGGAGTGATACTCCAGAATCAGCCACATTCTGCCATCCAGGCTGCCAGAGGGGAGACAGAGAAAGGGAAATTTAACCAGAAACCCACTGTGTTAACAATCCACAGACAAGATTTAGAAGGTGGTGGCAGCAGCGGCGGCAGCAATAGCAATGAAGGAGTAGGGCAACAGCTACCTTCACAAAGCACAGTGGCAGGAATGCCACATAATAGGCACTGAAGAGGGAGTTGAATAGAACCTCCTTGATTCTGCGGTTGAAGTCTGCTTTCAGGCATTCCACCTCGTTGCGAATGAGGTCTGGAGACAAGGGGCAGCTGTGTGTGGGGATGGGCACGGGGTTGTTGAACTGTTCTTTCAGGGACTCTCTCAGGAGAGATAGGAAGTCTTTGGGCTTGACGAGGCTGCCAACCCCCGTGGCACCAGAATCTACCAGCTGATCCTGCACCAAATAGCCACAGTCTGTGGGAAGAGGCTGTGTTCTGCTGTCTTGGTGGAAGCAGCACAGTGGGACATAGACACCAAACCTGCAGGGAAGGGAAAGGCAAGGGTGAGATTACAGCCTGTGGTATATTAGGCATTCCAACCATGAACATCTGAAAGGAGCTTCCTGAGCAAGAGGCTTGCATTTCCTGCACCCAGGTTATTCGCTCATGTGCTACTTTTGTGGTATGCCTCAACTCCCAGGGCTAAGCAGTGAGGCCATAGGTAAAGGAGCACAATCATTGTGTTGGTACTATCTCTTCAATTGCTGCCATTCTTCTCCCCTTTCCTACCCACCTTTAAAATCTACTCTTCCTCATTGGCTCATATATTGCATTAAGTCGATGGACCAGATGTCTCTTGACCTTTATAATGATTCTAGCAGGGAAAAGATGTTGAGAGAGGCATCATTTTCCTTCTACCCATTTCCCCCGAAAGACCTATTCAACTGGCGGCTTTTAACCCTGTTGATTCTCTGCCAATCTCATGCGGATCAACAGGGCTTCTCTTTGTCATGTCTTGTACTTTTGGACCCTTTCCTATTTATTACATTCAGGATACAAGAGAATGATACTCACGGGTAGCCAAGAAAGAGGAGATTCAGAACAGAATGGCTACGGAAAAGGTTAACTAGTGTCCAGCAGAGCACCCATCCACACAAAGTGAGCAGCACCAGGCGTGCCAAAATCAGTGCCGTGTAGTGAATCACTGATGTAGTTCCCACCTGAGAGGCCTGCAAATTCAAACACCAAGAACCATCAGCCCTACAGTTTCTCTTCCTATATGCCGCAATACATTCCAAGAAACAGCCTGACCTACCATCCCCACACGGTATAGCATGGCTCTCAAAGCCAAAAGGAAACCATTTTTATTTTTATTTTATTTCTTTGCTAGACTTAACAAAATAGTAATGAATGCTTTAAATATAGTTTTTTGGGGGGAGAGTACTGAAAGCAAGTAATTATATCCTCCTTAATACTGCAGGTGTTTGTGAGGATAAAAATACTAGCTTAGTGTTCTCTCTGACAGTAGTGAGACAGGGAAAAAAATGGCATTACAGTTGTACCTTGGAAGTCGAACAGAATCCGTTCTGGAAGTCCATTCCGACTTCCAAAATGTTCAGAAACCAAAGTGTGGCTTCTGATTGGCTGCAGGAAGCTCCTGCAGCCAATCGGAAGTCGCGGAAGCCCCAGACGTTCGCCTTCCAAAAATAGTTCGCAAACCGGAACAGTCACTTCCAGGTTTGCGGTGTTCGGGAGCCAAAACGTTCGAGAACTAAGGTGTTAGAAAACCAAGGTATGACTGTAATGTTAAGATTCAGAACCAATCAAAACAAAACCTACCACAAGGGGTGAGTGCTACCCCACTATAGTACCTTCAGTAAATAACAAAACTTGTTTTTTCATTGTTTGTTTAATCAGGAGTAGCCAATTTGGTTGATGCTGTGGACTACAGCTCCTGTTATATCTGACCATTGGCCATGCTGGGGGATGATGGGAGCTCAAAATATCTGGAGGACACAAGGCTGGCTATGCCTGTTTTGAATGGGTGTGTGCATGTGTCAAACACTGGATTTCTGAGGACCATGCTTGGAGATCCATCTAAGACCAGACCCAACCATCTCCAAAGTGTGGGGCTAACCAAACGCAGATCAAGTGAGCCAACCACTTCCCTTGTCCAAACGTCTATGGTAACAAGGCTCTAGATCAGGGATAGCTAACGTTCTACTCTCCAGATGGACCATTGACTCCAATGGTCAGGGATGATGGGAGTTGCACAACAGCATCAAGCTGGCTATCCCTGCTCGAGTTGGTGTCATGAACACGTGCAGCAGCATTCAAGATCAGAGGAATCATGGAAAGAGTTATTTCCATGTCCTGGGACATTGGGACCCAAATTCAAGGTGTTGGTACTAACATAAGGTCCTATAAAGCTCAGGACCAGATTACTTTAGAGACTGCCTTATCCCTTATGTACCCAGTAGATCCCTCAGGTCTGCAAGCTCTAAAGATCTCAGAAGCCTGCTCCACAGTAATACATAATAGGGCTTTCAGGGTGGCTGCTCCTGTTCTGTGGAAAGATACACACTACAGTGGTACCTCGGTTTTCAAACGTAATCCATTCTGGAAGACCGTTCGAGTTCTGAAACATTCGAAAACAGAAAACTCAATAGCCGACAGCTAGGTTTTAGGATCTTGCACTCAGCGGAAGTCATGTGGCATGTTTGATTTCCGAGGTGTGTTTGAAAACTGAAGCATTTACTTCGAGGTTTACAGCGTTCAAAAACCGAAATGTTCGTCAACGGAGACGTTCGAAAACTGAGGTATCACTGTATCTGCACTTTCTCAAAACAACTGAAGACATTTTAGTTCCAACACAGGGTTTCCAAGCTGGACAAATGTGTCTTTGCCCTAAGTGCCTATTTTGCATTGTTTTAGTTTTGTTGTGCTTTTGTTTCTTAACCTTTCTCATAATTTCCAGTGGCCTTAGAGGTTGCAGCATCTAGAGCTATCTGAGATCCTTGTAGCAAAGTAAGTTTTGGAAACAGAAGATGCAATATCAGAGGTCTAGGAACCACTATTTTATGCCCCATCAACAACAGTCCAAACTCTGTTCAACCCAAAAATCTTATATAAAGTCATCAGAAGCTTGGACTTGGAATGCCATGCACATTTAAAAATGACCTATGAACAACTGACTTTCAAACTGGCACTCGAGAGATAGCTCACCAATGAATCCCACCCTGTTTGCTCGTCTGTTAATCTCACAATTTCTCCCTTGGTTAATACTTTTAAGATGCAACCTCTACTGGCACGGTCAATCTTGCTTGAATGAAGTGCTGTTCACTTAATCTCTGCCTGTATTGCTATAGGTTCCTATTGGAACCTCACTGACTCTACCACTAGTGCAAATCACCCTGGGCTAATCCACTTTCTGGTTGTTAAAATTTAAGACTATTCCCAACAAATCCTCCCACAGTTCCTTTTCTTTTCACCTGACGTGGCAGCTGTTAACATCAGTAAATGGCAGCACTTCACCAAGGTGAGTGAACATGTAGGCCAGGGGTCAGCAAACTTTTTCAGCAGGTGGCTGGTCCACTGTCCCTCAGACCTTGTGGGGCCAGACTATATTTTGAAAAAAAATAATGAACGAATTCCTATGCCCCACAAATAATCCAAAGATGCATTTTAAATAAAAGGACACATTCTACTCATGTAAAAACATGCTGATTCCTGGACCGTCCACAGGCCAGATTTAGAAGGCAACTGGGCCGGATCTGGCCCCCGGGCCTTAGTTTGCCTACCCACGATGTAGGCTTTCATGTGTGGCAAATAAAAAAACGACAAGCATCATACTGAGCTCATTCTAAACCTCCGATTTCTTTGGGAGAGTTAATTGTGACAACATTACCTCAGAGATAAGGGCCCATACCAGCCTCCGCGCCAGCATCACTGTGATAAATGCTGCCAGATGGTAATCAATGAGGTGAAAGTTCTAAAGGAGAAAAGAACAGCGTATTCACCAGGGTGAAGGAGAGGCCAGAAAGGCAGGAGCTGCTGAGATGACATAGCAGAAGCATGGAAATTCCTATAAAGGAGAACCAGGACACACTCTGAACCATTCCAAGTCTGCCAGATAAAGAGGGAAGAGAAGGGGACAGATTAAGCACATAGAAGCAGCTTGGGAAGGCTACCGTATTTACAACTGCCACTTAGAAAGGAAAACCTAGGAGCAGACATTCTGTAGTTACCTGTGAATTTCTGGGGGTTTTTGAGGGAAGGAAGGCAGTAAGCATAAGGGGGAAAGGCCCCACTCTTCTGGGGTTGTGAAGCCAGCCTTTGGGATCTGGAGGAAGGGACTCTCCCATCAATCTCCAGACACTACAGTGACACACACACACACACACACACACACTCAAACATTAAATGAAGAGAAAAATGGTCAAACACACAAAACTGCACTGGCAACAGCCTCACTCCCTTGAAGGAAAACAGGAGGTGGGGGAAGGGGCTGTAAGTGGGAAAATGACCAGATCAGGATGAGTCACAAAGCCAGGAGGGAGGGGTAGATTGGGAACCTTTTAGAACTCCATTAGCCCAGTAGATAGTAACCCAATAAAGAGAGCATGTAGAGGGAAGACCTGGCTGCCCTCGTTCCCTTGATAAAAACAGGAATTCACAGGCAAGTCCAGAAGATTCATTGCTCCCCTTAGGGGAGGAAGGCAGCTAGTTTAAGGAATGTTGAAAGACAGTACACCCCAGGGCAGGAACCCCATGGCCAAAAGCTCCAAAATGCCCTTCCTTCCTACTCCCCCAAGTGTGGAGCTGCCTTGAGAAGTCGTACCCCAAAGGCTGCCTTTGAGGGAGAAAAGGGGTGTATTTCATAATGTCTGGGAAAAAGAAAGGATGGCAGACTTGGTGATGTCAGCTGAGCTACAGAGACACCATGATTAAACTTCCCTAAGCAAACTGCAAGAAGGGCATGCGGCCAGCAACATGGACTCACCAGTGACGTACAGGAGGCAGGGTGGTTGTATGGGTACCACCACACGGTCTTATAGATATTAATATACTGAATAAAGAGGGCCACCAGCAGGTAGATGAAAAAGAAGAACTCAAACAGAAGGTTCCCGTCTAGAGGCAGCTCAGGGATTCGGCAGTGTCGCACAGGCTCAGGGGTGATCAAGGCTGTAATTGGAGGAGCAGAGAGGCTGATAGCACTACCATTCCTGAAAAAGAGAGAAACAACACGTCACTAACTCTTGCCAGTGTTCCTGGGATATCTCACCCTATTGTGGGTTAAATGCTTAGCATTTATGAGTATTTAAATCAATGCTGGGGGAAACCTCTGCCTGCAATTTTGGCCAAGCAACACCCACATGCTCTAGCCATGGCTCCTGTAGGGTCTACCTTTCCTTTGCAAGAACAGGCAAATCAAGCTATTGTTGCCGCCTGCAAAATGCTACCTTGGTTATTGCTGCTTGCAAATACAGTGCACTTTGCAAGCACCGTCAATCAACTGACCTTCAGTGATGCAAGTGCCACCATGGTCTCCAACGGTTCCAAAGTCCTGCAAGGTTTGCTCACTCCTGGCAAAGCTAACACTAGGGGGGGTGGAGAAAGAAAGGATCTGGTGTGCTGGCCAGATCCCGTTTCCCACACCAGGTTTAAATTGTTCAATGTTAACTACCTCAAGAGATCCTTACAATTCTTTAACATAGGTCAATATGTTCATCCCCATATTGCAGATATGGGGCAGATTTGTCTAAGGTCAACTAGTAAGAAAATCACAGAAGCAAGGTCTGAACTGGACACTTCTTGATATGCAGCTTAACCACTGTACTACAGTCCTTAACACAAAAAGCAAAGTACTACACACAGCACTCTCAATGATTTAGAACAAGTGATTTCTCTCTCTCTCCACACAGCCTCTGGTAGTATGGGCTGTGACATGAATGATGAGTAGCACCTCACCACAGGCAAGTGCGATGCATGCCTTTGTCAAGAATTTGACACTTTTTAGCTTAGTATGGTGGGATGGAAACACACGTCACATATGTCCTGTGTCCTTCCACGGACGCCCCTTGTTTTTCCACTTCTGCAGAAGCCAATGCCAGAAAAAATGGAGCTCAGACCATCAAACAGAGATACCAGATTTTCCCCAGCCTAATCCTGTTCCAGCTTTGTCTGGTGTATCAAGAATAAGATAATGTAACCAAGCAACCCCCTGACACTAGATGCCTAGCAGTGCATTCCAATCCTCTGGCTTCCTTATCTTAGCTTTCTCAACCTTCAAAACTTCTATGATATGCAATGTTTATTAACGAGCAATGCTCAAGTCAAGGCCACAATTTGAAGGAACAATTGGAAATTAAAATCCAACTAGCTGGAAGAGACACCCCATGACCCAGTGAATATCCAAATCTGAGCGCCAACTCTTGGAATGCCCAGAAGAACAAAAAACAACTGGTTTTATATAACATTTAAAGAGGCTTGGATGAAAACACTTGTATGTGTAACCTTGATATAAGAACTATTGCTTTCTTTTCATGTGTGCTGTACCTTACGAACTGGAACTGATGGGCCATCTGAGGGGAAGGGGTATGTAAAGGCTTTCAGGTCACACAAATGCCTGAGGCGGCAACCCACCTGAATCTCCATTGCCCAACAGGAGTATGAGATATAAAATGAGCCAAACACAGAGTCAGGCAAACACGCACTGTCAAATTCAGGGCAACAACAAGTGTAAAGAAACAAGATTCTTGTGAACCCAAGTGTGACCTGATGATAACAAGTAATAACAAGAGTTCTGCCTCCCACATTTAAGCCCACAATATTACGTTTTGACTTAACCTGTTTCTTAGACTAGTGCCGTTGCCACAGTTCCCACCAACCAACGTCTGGAGAGAAGGCAAAGCTGAACGGCTTAGCTGCTGCCGACTGGGTCCCCTCCTTCCACCGGGCATGACCAGGAACCAATCCACCTCTTCCACCTCTGGCAGCCTTTGCCCTGAGATCTAGGTAACAATTCACAAGACTTTCCAGCTCTGCAAATGAGAAAAAGAAAGAAAGAAATTAGTTAGTTCAATTGTGCCTCAAGCATCTGCTAAAATGAACCAAGTGCCTTAGATAACTCCCATGGCCCCTGTCAGGGAACTGACATCGGAGCTAGAGGTGGAGGGGAGGCTCTCTAATGATGCTGGAGAAGGGCCCAGCAGGGAGAGAGGCAGCTCAGCAGATGGGGAAGCAATTCAGTGCAACACCAGGAATAAGGAGGGGCAGATGGGGAAATCGGAGAGAGGGCTTCCAGACTCTTCACCGGACACCAGCGGGGAGAGCACTGGTCCTCCGCTACCCACGCCCTCCCTGCGCAGAAGACTTCCGCGCAGAGAAAGTAGGAGAAGACTGGGTGTCAAACAACTTTTATGTTGGAAAAGGTTTAAGAAACGCCCACTGACGGATTCTGCTAGCGATTGAGGCAGCCACGAATTGAAGGGCTGTCCAGACAGAAAGGTTTAACAAGGCAACATAGCCAGGAGAGGCGGCAACTTACGCACGAGCAACCCCATACCATTGTAGCCCCAAAACTAGCCTTTTACAAAGTGTCAAGAAGCATATGGGTAAGAGGAATTCAGCTGGCACGGTGTACTTCAGACACTTTCAATAAAATCCTGCAACAAAGAATCCTGAACCAGCTTATCAGCCATGAGATAAGACAACAGGACTTATGGAGTACTAACTTGAGTTTAAAAAACTGGAAACAGAAAGAAGCAGCAACAGGCAGTTCTCCCATCGGAAGGATGAAGTGAAATCCCCCTAGGATTGGTATTGGAAGGACGGGATGCAAGACTACACTGGTTTTTGGTCCGATTTTGCAGGGCTCTTCTTATATTCTTATCTAAAATATTAGCAACATTCCTTAACAATCTGCAGTACCCGAGAGTTTTGACTTCAGCAAAATGTCTGCAGAAAATCCTCACATGGGTGACTAGCTGCAAAGAAGTCAATGCTACTGGACCCCTCATATGAATAGGGCATTTTGGCAAGTGTAACTTGAAGCACGTTACTTTGGATCCTACTAAAACAAATAATTATATTTCCACTCTGATACATCGGAAAAGATGGATTGGAATGAAGACAGTGTTGTTTCACAACAATGGCATATGTGAGACAGTACCTGGAATTTCTGGATCCCAGCCTATTAATTGCACTTTTGTTTCTACTTTCACTGATCCCCAACTACCACCTGGGAGTAGAAATCCACACCTCACCCGCAGCCCACGCCAGGGAACATAACCATTATAGGTTAGAAGATAGATGGGGAATCTGTGGCCTCTCCAAATGTCCTATGCCTAGTTCCCATCTACCCCAGCAAGCATGGTCAATAGTGATGGAATACAGACATTGTAGACATTAGGAAGGCCACATAGCCACCAAAATTAGGAAGTTAATATAGTTAGGGCACATACTGCAGACCATTTTTATAGCACCACCAACGTGCATGACGTTGTAATCTAGACTCACACAAAGGAGTAAGTTGCCATGACTAACAATCATTACAAGCTTTCCTCCTTTACTTCAAAATAATTGTCAGTAATAGCTATTGGTCCTGTATTAAATTAGTATTGAAAGTTGAAAACCAGCATACAACATTTCCTATTGGGAGGTTTATATGAACAATGATGTGGCCTAGGTTGTGGTTGACACCGATTTATTTGGGATGGTGAAAACCCAGAACAGAAACAATCAACTTGGTACACAGCAAAAAGGAAAGGACAATTCCATGTTAGGGATTAGTAGGGGAGAAAATGGAAAAAAAAGACGGCCAATATGTGTTTATGGTGTTCATTGCGTTTGCATTCTGTATACAGTTCTGCTTGCCTCATCTACAGTGTAAGTTCAGAGAAGGGCAACAAAACTCAAAGGGTTGGAGTCCCTTAATTTAGTTGTATTTTAGTACATAAATATGTACCCTGCCTTTCCATTAATAATGCCCAAGGCAACTAACATTATAAAAAACAAGGTCAGAAGTAATGTAATAAGAACTTCTAAAAGCAGGCCACAGAAAATACGACTGGCAAATGTCTGACAAAGCAGATGAACCTTTAACAGGCACCAGATCACTCAGGGCAGGGAGTTCCAGAGGAGTTCCCATAGGAATTTCCCTTTGAGGAAGTGCTTGAGCAGCCTAGAGAATTGTTTCCTCCTCAATACCAGACCTCAGGGTTGCACAGTGAAAATGGCAATTGATTTAGGACTAACAGAAGAGAGTACCTCCCATGAGGCATAATTAGAGTGAATTCTGTAAGTTGTGAAGATCGCCTTTGTCTTGGATGACTTCAAAAGGGGGTAATACAAGTTCATGGAGCGTAGTGATCGTAGAAACTTGTCACTGATTAATCTAAAGGGGCACCCATGTTCAGAAGCACTGCACCTCTGGATACTAGCTGCCAAGGATCAAAACAAGGGAGGTCCCTTGTCTTCATGCTCTGCTAGTGAGCATCCTGGAGACATTTGGCTGGAAATCTCATGCAGTTGGAGCCACTGCTGGAAACAGGATTCCAAAATAGATGAACTATTGAACTAGCAGCGCTCTTCGATTATGGCATTACTTCACTTGACCAGTTGAGATGCTACAAGATGACATTTAGCTGCCAAGGCATAGGCCTCTATTGAGAATTAACATGTGAAGCAAGCATGTTGATATGGTGGGGCTGCCAAAAGATGCAAATGAAAGATGAGAACATTGTGTATATCAAAATAGGTTTTGTGGCCATACAAACTTAGATCAAAATATTACCCCTTATTCAGGGGATAAGAACTCAATGTCCTAATCACTTCTTGTTTCTTACTCTCAGTGTTATTATCTACATTCCTGCCCATGGTAAGAGTTATCTACTGCCACATTAAAACTACAAGACAGGATACGTATCTAGGCGGATTTCCTGGGATCATTTAGTAACTGCATCACATGACAGCATGGATTCACTTTCAACTGCCTTTTACAAAATAGGGGAATGGTCCAACCACATTAGAAGTGCTTCAGTCCTGTTGATTCTAATGAGAGAGATATCAGAATGTGCTTAGTTTTATCACTGAAAGCTTTAATTAAAATATATGCAACATTCTGTTATGATCTGGAGAGCCAAGTCTTTGCTCAGTTGCAATTATTTTGTATGTCTAAAGACCTGTATGTATTGCAGCAACACTGTTTGCCTTATGGAGTCCAGCTTCCATATTGACACACTGGACTTTCGAGTTCAAAGTTGGCAAAATCTTTTATTTACTGACCTTGGATAACACTGTCAATCAGAATAAAATACTATTAGTAGGGAAAAAAGCAGCATGTACATAAAACTGACTTTTTGTTCAGATTCCCTGATTTCTGCTTTGTGACTAAAGATAAAACATTTTAAAGAAAGTAGAGAAAATGATGTTGTGAGAGAACACGAACACATATGTGCATTAAAGGGAAGCCAGAATTACTGGCAACAAAGGCTGACAAGATCCTAAACAGCTGCCACTTTGGTAGAAAAAGTGATTCTACTGGCATCGCAAGAACAACTAATCACAAAATGTAGAGTTTTAAAAACTTGCTAAAAAGGAAACTTTTCTGTTAAGCTTTGGATAGAGCTAGGTAATAGAGAAAAATGTGGCTAGATTTTGGACAATTGTGACAGCATTTGAAATTCCCATTGTTCTAGGCACATGTGAAAAATGAACATAAGATTTTAGCTGCAGTTCATTCATTTTCAGCTTTGTATTCTTGTTATAAAAAAGTGTGCCTAGACATTCCATTGTTGCACCCATAACCTAGGTTTAAGGTGCCATTTAGCTCCTAGCTTTCTATCTCAGTTTCTAACACTGAATTGTTATCATATGGAATGAGGGACTATTACTACTACTAATTTATTATCCGCCCTTCACCCTAAGGTTCCTGGGTGGGTTACAGTCATGGTTTGGCCTAGCATTATGTCTGCATCCAGGCTCACAGTTTTAACTCGCTTAACGTTATGTGTGAACCGGACCAATATACTGTAAGGCAATACTTTTACTATGCAAGAAATCTTGATTTGAAATGTGTATATATACTCCACCTCTTATAGTAGAAGGCCCACAAATCAAAAGAACTGGCAAACCGCTTCGGCCTCGTCTTGCTAATGGTTAGGCAATTCTATCTGTTGTATTCACTGGTGCTGCAAACACCATATTCAGTGTCATTGCATATAAACATAATACATACAGATAACTTGCCATGTTTGCTTACATGCAGTAGCCAAATTACTCATACTGTGCACCCTTCAGTTTTATTAGGAACCATTACTATTAATTATTTCTGAACTTTTAAACTGCCCTTCATCGTAAAGGCTCCCTGGATGTGTGTGTTTTTGTACAAATCAATATAAAATTAACATTATAAACACATGGATAATACAACGCAATTACAGTCAACTGAACAAAATCAGTAATTCAGCAGCAGCTCCTCCACACATGAGCATAAAAAAGTGATTAAACATGCAAAGGAGCTTAACGTGGTAGACAGCCAATGCACCACTGACGGGGAGAAAGTTCCAGGAAAATGGGGCACCCTCACAGAGAAAGCTCTGCATTATGCTCCCTCTCAGCTGCCACACTCATTGGCGGAACCATGAGAAAGACCCCCTCAGTCAATCCTAAGGGAGGAATTCAACGCAGCACTAGGAATATCATTTTTGCTTGCCTGATAGCAAGATCTCCCCCTCTCTGTCCCGGTGCGCTATTCTGGGGGCTATCGCAACCCACCCAAGCCAATTTGGTGGTCGAGGAGGAAGAGTCACTGTGGAAGTCCTTGTGCGCGCTTCTGCTAGCAAGATGGATTAGCTGGATTGGGCCCTCAGGCACAGGCCTGCAAATACAGTACCAAGGAAGGCACTCCTTCAGATATTTGGCTCTTAAGTCATTAAAAGCTTTATAAACCAAAGTTAATCCCTTGAATTGGGCACAAACTGGTAGCCAGCAGAACCAGTATTATGTGGTTCATTCTTGCTGTACTACTCAGAACCTATACAGCTGCTGTCTTAAAAAGGAACCCCACATCTAAGACATTAGACTAAGGCTTAGGTATTAGCCAAAAAGTGAGCCACCATCAAGCACTGGGACTTTGCCCGTTTACATCACACAAACGAAACCTGACTACTCCCAGAGACAGTCAGAAGCAGGGCTGGCCCAAGCGCAGCCGACAATTTAAATTCTGTAACCGAGATAAGATCATAGGTATACGCATGGGTAGCAAATATTTAATCCATGTTTAAACTTGGCACCAACAACCCATTAAAATCACAACGAGCCACCATCAGTGGGGGCAGCCAGGAGCTGGTAAACAGTACTGGGAAGGAAAAAGTATTAGACTTTCCCTGTATTAGACAGTTTTGCACAGCTCAGCAGCTTTTTCCATAATGGAGATAGTTTGGAGCTGGCAAAAGCATGCAGGTAGGAAGTCGGGGAATGCCCACCAAAAGCAACTTTTCCAAGTCACATGCAAGGTTGCAAGTACCATGAAGTTAAGGTCCCAGGAAGATAGGACCACACTGCAACAAATAATTTCACAAGGGTCTTGCTTTTCTTTGGGAAGCCCTAAATGGTTTCTGCCAAGTATACGCACGCTGCAATTCCCAGCTATTTGTGTTTTTCCAAACTTGGGGGAAGCTCACAGAGTCATTCTGTTCTGAATCAAAGTCATTCTTATTTTGGTGCATTCATTCCATTATGTGTGTTATCCCAGATATTTATGCAGCTACAGACCTGATCAATGCAGTCTGCATAACATATTGCTTCACTACAAGGTATGTTTACAAGTGATTAAAAATCAACAAGTTCTTACAAGCCAACACGAACGCAGCAGCCTCAGAAGAAGATACTATGCATGGAAGCAAGGTTGAAAAACACATTAATTCAGGGGCGTAGTGTGGAAGGGGTTGCCAGGCTGATGGCCCTGGGCACATTTTTTTAGGGGGTGCGGCACATTTGGCCCCTCACGCTGCCCTGCCAGCCCTGTGCTGCTTTGCAAGGCTGGGATCTGATCTGAATGATATGCCCGGCACGGAGATATGAGAAGGACGCAACAGCCATGTACCTTTCGATACCAGCCTCTCCCTTGCTTTGCGAAGCAGGGATCGAAGGGAACATGGCTGTTGCATCCTTTGCATGCCACCCTGCCAGTCCCAATCTAATTTGTGAGGCTGGGGCGATCCAAGGGCTGCGTCGGCCAGCCCCCCGTGTGGGTGGGCAGGCAGTGCAATGTGGTTCTGCTTGGCTCTAGTGGGTAGGGGCATATTCCAGTGGTGGCGGCGGCAGTGAGGGCTGAAGCATTGCGCATCCACCCCAGGCACTGGCAAACCATGCTACGCTTCTCTATTAATTGCTACTAGAAATAATTTGTTCTCCTGTAGTCCAAGAGAGAGTGTAGCATGCACAGAAGGGCACATGCCCAAATGAATGAAGGGAGGTGGGGACCTATCCCTCCTCATGAACACCACGAAGAACTTGTCCACCCACCAAGGAACTCCAGACCATAAGAGAATCAAAACAAGTGAGATAATCTAAATAAGATGCACAAAATAGTGCAATGTTTTTTGCATAATATGATGCAATCGTAAGTACTGACTGGATTTTGAAAACGAAATGAGTTAACAAGAGAAAGGCTTTTCACATGGTGACATTTTCACAATTAAGGCTGATTCTGAAAGCAGATATATTTTTACAAGGTGTGAATTAGGGATACACATTCTTTCTGTTAACATACAAGCAGTCAACTTGGCACACATCTTTTTTGCTTCTATTGAAAACCACTGGAAATGACATGTTGAGTGACGGGAAGAGATTTTAATGACCCTAAGAATCAGGAGATGGATGGACAGGCTAATTAAAAGTATTCAAAAAATAGAGGTATTTTATATCATTTCAACATAATTTGCATGATTGGTGCCTTGTCTTGATGGACATTTCTTTAAAAAATATACTGGAATGGATCCAGTTTAATGCAGTCACACATAAGTCCCACTGAAATCAATGGGTCTTGTTAGTCATTACTAACATGGATTGGATTCAGTCTATTTATTTTTGTTTCACAACAGAAACTCATTGAATCCTTTTAAGAAATATCAGTTTACATTATTAGTATTTATTATTTATACAGCACCATTTTAACAAGAGCATGGAACTGGTCTCTCAGTTTACATTTATTGAGCTTAGAAAAATGAATTGATTGAAAACATTAGAGCAGGGATTGCCAACCTGGTGCCCATAGGTACTGGTGTGCCCACTAGTACCTCCTATGATGCCTGCAAAAGGCTCAGTAAGTATATCCTCAAAAATCCAAAATGCATGAGACTGGCAGTGGTAGGGGGATGCCCACATCTTTTTCTGTTTCTGTCTCTTTCCATTTCTTTACATGTGGCAGCCATTTTGTGTTATGTCAGACACACTACAGCTGCCATGTTCCAGCATTCAAAATTAGCCAGGCGCCAGTCACATTTTGCGACTGAATGGAAATGTCCAGGAGCCATGCTTAGTGCCTAGCATCTTCACTTTCCCAGTTGCAGTCAGCTGGTCTGCCAGGTACAGCAGCAGCAAAAGATGCATGTCTCTTGCTGCTGCGCTACCCCGCAAACAACTGATCTGCCCAGTAGCGCAGCAGCAAAAGATACACTTTCCCCCCCCTTTTTTTTGCTGCCGCACTCCCAAGGTGAATCAGGTAGGAAGACTGGCAGGAAAAGGCAAGGTAGACTAGTAGGAAAAGACACATTTTTTGCTGCTGCACTACTCTGCAGTCACCTGATTCACCAGGCAGCAATAATAATAATAATAATAATAATAATAATATTTTTTGCTGCCGGGCAAATGAGGTGTTTGGTGGGGTATAGCGGCTGCACTACCCTGAAGACCTCCAGACTGGCCCAGCAGCATTTTGTTTGTTGTTGTTGTGGGCTGCCTGGTCTGGTAGCGGGGTAGAAAGAAAAAAGGCGCCTAGACATTTTGTTTTGGCGCCCACAGCCTAGGTCCCAGGAGCCACATAGCTCCTAGCATTCCTATCCCAGTTTCTAACAATACATGCACCTATACTACTTTCTCAACATTCTCAAATGTGCCCACTCAAAATGTTTGCGACCTCTGGACTAGTGAGACACTAGTGAAAGGGATACAGGTGCTGGAAAAAGACCAAGTTTGGATGCATACTTAGTCGTGCTTAGAGAAGACCCTACTGAAATCACTGGGACTGAAGTTAGAACGGTGGGTGATATCCAACTTAGGTTGATGACCTGCACCACATACCTGCAGGTAAGCCCCTTTGACCTCAACAGGGCTTACTTCTAAGCAGACATGTATGGGACTGTGCTATGAATTGCGTAAGACCACTGATTTTAGTACATCTGTTCTGAGTATGACTAACACTGAATACCAGACTAAGTCTGGATCTAAACTTATAAAGCAGGAGTGAGAAACCTTTTTGGTTCCGCAGGCAGTTCCTGGTCATATTTGACAGGTGAATGGGCCAAACTACTGTCACTCACATGACATCACAATGTGCAAGGTGCTTTGAAATTTTGAAGTTGGGAAGTCCTCCACCAAACTGTTTTAGGAGAGGAACCCATACAGGTTTGCATGGAATCCTCTGCAAAAACGATGGGGGCGGGGACATCCTTTTAAGTGAGAGATTCTGATTCACCTCTACCACCCAATCTCATTATTGAACTAGGATTTATAAACTATTAATCAACTTCCTCTTATCAATAGTGACTAGTTGCATACCAAGTGTGACCAAGCAGGATTTATTACAGGAGGAGAGTTGAAGATCAGCCTAACTAAATACATAGGGGATAATTATTTACTGAAACATATGTAACATTTGTTTGCTTAGATTAAAGGAAGATAAAAGTAAACCTATATTTATACAGCACCATCAGTAAGCGTGATATTTTATAGTGTATAAAAAAGGTTTTCCTACACTGAGGAGCTTGCAGTGTAATCTTACAACAAAGAAAGAGGAGATGCGGTAAACATCAAACAACATGTGGGTGCTTCTGTTCATATGTACCGTATTTTTCGTTCTATAGGGCGCACCGGCCCATAGGACGCACCTCGTTTTTTGGGGGGGGAAATGAATAAAAAAAATTATTCCCCCCCCCCCCCGCCGCGGCTGCCGCCCCAAGCCTTGTGCACACCTGCAAGAAGCACGGGGCACCCTCCGGAGGGCTCCGCGTGCTTCGGGCTGCAGGCTACCGCCCCAAGCCTCGCGCGCTCGGCGGGACCTCCCACCGGGCGCGTGAGGCTTGCAGACACTCGCCCAAAGCACGGGGAGCCCTCCGGAGGGCTCCCCGTGCTTCGGGCGACAGGCTGCCGCCCCAAGCCTCGCGCGCTCGGCGGGACCTCCTGCCGGGCGCGCAAGGCTTGCAGACACTCGCCCGAAGCACGGGGAGCCCTCCGGAGGGCGCCCCGTGGGGCGACAGGCTGCCGCCCCAAGCCTCGCGCGCTCGGTGGGACCTCCTGCCGGGCGCGCAAGGCTTGCAGACGCTCGGGAGCCCTCCGGAGGGCTCCCCGTGCTTCGGGCAACAAGCTGCCGCCCCAAGCCTCGCGCGCTCGGCGGGACCTCCTGCCGGGCGCGCAAGGCTTGCGGACATCCGCCGGGGCTGCAGGCTGCTGCCTGCAAGCCTTGTGAGCCCGCGGGAACTCCCACCGGGCTTGCAAGGCTTGCGGATAGCTTCCTGAAGCCTGGAGAGCGAGAGGGGTCGGTGCGCACCGATGCCTCTCGCTCTCCAGGCTTCAGCGAAAGCCTGCATTCGCCTCATAGGACGCACACACATTTCCCCTTCATTTTTGGAGGGGAAAAAGTGCGTCCTATGGAGCGAAAAATACGGTATTTAATTTAGGCTTAGTTCCATGCCTAGTTACCATAGTGCGTAGGAACTAAGGGGTTATGTCAAAGGCTTTACGGAAAAAGTTGAGTTCCGAGGTGAGATTTGAAGGAAGGAAGAGAGGAATCAAGATAGTTGCAGTATCTTTTGAGGGAGCAGAAGACCTTTGCACAGTGAAATACAGTGAAGCCAGAGAATGAAAGATTATGGGCAAGGTTGAATGTGCCCATATTGAAAACATGGAACCGAAGTGAACTGGCAGGGCAGAGGAGATGGACTGTTGGTGGCGGTGGCTGCAGGGCCAGAGGCTGACCCAGGGGATGGGAGCAGCGATTTATGGGGTTTATGCCTCCTGCGAGACAGGAGTCAGGGCTGGAGGGAGTGGAAGAGTCTGAGCAGGAACATATGGGGAAGGGATGCAGGATGCAGGACAGGAGCACGAGTGAGAGGAAGGGTAGGATGCACCAGGAGAGGAGGAAGACAGGGTACCTGGATGGTGAACGTGGACCGTCAGATGGAGGTACCCGAGTTTGGATGGAGACGTGGTTACACCAACAGTCCAGCTCAGAGCATAAGCCTGAGGAGGGGATGCCAGCCACTTGTCGGCAGAAGTATGTGCACATGTTCTGTGCACCTTAGGAACTACTGTAATTGTGTGCTTTGTCAATAAAGAATTATGCTACCCACCGTTTGTCTTCCTTGGGCTGGGTGTGCTCAGGACACCAATGAAATCATAAGCAACCATTAGGCAGATTATGGGGAAAAATATTCTTTCCTGAAATACTCTTCTTATGACTACATAAATTGTAATACTTACATCAGATTATATCCAGTGTTCGAAACTCCCATTGTTCTAGGCGCATTTTGTGACAAGGAATTTTATTAGCGCGAGCAATTTCTGAGCTCTGGGTGCAGTACTGCGCCTAAAATTTCAGATTAAAACTGCAGAGTGGAAGGAAAGGAGGACCTTTTTCTGCCTCCCCACTTCCAGCTGTTCTGTGAAGACTGGAGAAGAAACCCTCTTAAGAATATTAGGGGGGTGGGCAAGGGAAGGACTAGACCAGGTGAAAAATGAACATAAGATTTTAGCTGCAGTTCATTCATTTTCAGCTTTGTATTCTTGTTATAAAAAAGTGCGCCTAGACAATCTCTTGTTGCGCCCATAACCTAGGTTTAAGGTGCCAGTTTCTAACACTGTTCATACCCTTCGAGTACTTCCAAATTCAGAACTATATTTTGTAACGTTGCACCAATTTAGAAACCAAGCTTGGGGAAAATTTAAAAAAACAACAAAGAAGCTATGTCACCTGCTTCTTAATTTAACTAACCAAGGGAGGAAGATATTGCATATTTAAAGAGTGGCACCTTTCCAACATAGTTTGGAAGATTATGAATGAGTCATGGACTTGCATGCTTTCCTCCCCTTCCAGCCTCTGATACATGGCTTCTCTCTCTATTTCCTGTTTAGCACCAACCATCATTTTGCCAAAACATCTGAACTATGAACCTGCCCTTCTCTGGGGAGTGCAATCCCATCCAAAGCAGCCTTGTCTTTCCAGTTCTTTGAAAACTCTGCATGCATAATACTGCCATCTTGTCTGACTCAAGTTTCAATTTGCTGGTCCCCATCCAGCCCGTTAATGCCTCTAGGCACTGTTCTAGAACCTCAGACACCTAGCCTGATTCAGATGGAATGGAGAGATAAAGCCACTCTTAGCATTTAGCCTTGAAGATATATATCTAGAGAGAGAGAGACTTCAATTAAAATAGACTTTTATATTCACGAAAAATATAAAGGATGATGGTGTGACAAGGATTAGTTTGGATATATATATTATGCCTTAGCACATTTTGTCTTTAAAATCAGAGATGAGGATGAAATCTAATCATTTATCGCCACAAGTATCAGTACTCCGATCCTCAATATGCTTATTTTAAAGTCTCATTTCCAAATACTCTTAGGATTGCTAACTAGAAGGTGTGACCCACTAAAACGGCCATGCAGGTGTCCATGTGCATAAAGCCCATGGCAAAGCTCAGACATACCTAGGACTGAAAACCAGTATGGCCTAGTTGCTTTGCAACAGCAGCTGGCAACTGCTACAACCAGCTGAAGGAATCAAAACAGTTTCCTAGCCAGGAATATAGCACCACGGCCTTGTTGATCCTTACCAGTATTGTTGCCAATGCACACACCACTTACAACAGCTTGGCTATACCTAGGATTGCACAGCAGCACAACACTGTACATGAAAAAGATTGGATTTAAACTCAACACTCGATTCACTGAACAATGGCCACATTCGTCCATAATGCTACCCACAAATCTAATTAGTCTGCACATTAGCAAGGAGTCCCTACTTTGCTCCTCTTTTTCTAAGGAGTAGAGCAGGGGTCAGCAACCTTTTCCAGCTGTGGGCAGGTCCACCATCCCTCAGACCATGTGGTGGGCTGGACTATATTTGGGGGGGGGGGGGGGATGAACGAATTCCTATGCCCCACAAATAACCCAGAGATGCATTTTAAATAAAAGGACACATTCTACTCATGTAAAAACACACTGATTCCTGGACCGGATTGAGAAGGCGATTAGGCCGCATCCGGCCCACGGGCCTTAGGTTGCCTACCCCTGGAGTAGAGAAACAAATCACAGAGTAGCTGGCTTCTCACTCATTGTTAATTTGGAGATAAACACAGAATACTAAACCAGCTGATAGCCATGGTTTGTTGACATGTAAGCACAGCCTATGGTTCTTAGCAGAGAGTAGAGTGATGCATACATATATCTATTCCTCACCAGTAATTACAAGGAAGCTAAGGAGGCACACGCCCTTTGCAGATACCAATGGAAATATTCAAATGATCAACTTTAAAATGGAAAATCTGTGAGAGACAGCTAACCTGCTTGTTTCAGAGTGCTGTAAATTAAGTTGAGCCTCCACACATTTTAAGGGTTGAGAAAAAGGAAAACACTGTTTGGTGACCCTTCGTATCAAGAAGTTTCTGAGTGTAAGTCAGAAGCAGGCCCTTCATAAACTTTTCCATTAGCATATTTTTCAAAATGGAGCAGGCAGCTTCCCTTCATTGTGTCTGTTTCCAAAAATCCCCAGTTTTTCCAGTCTTCACCAGTGTCCAACCTCTCCTGCCTATTCTTCAGAAAAATGAATTCATAGTAATGGGAATTTACCCTTTTAAGAATAAGAATTATTCATTATTTCATATCTATTATTCATGAAGACATTACTCACATGTGCACTAATGTAAAACCAAAACCAAACCTATTTTAGTCCAAAATTCATGAGCCACTTCCTGAGTTCAAGTGACCACAAGATATAGCTTCCTGACATAGTAGGAAGAGATGCTATTTAAACTAGAAAATTAAAGCTGCAATTCACCTTCCTGAGAGTTAAGCCCTACTTAACTACATCTGAATACATGGCTGAACTAAAAATATAACAAATTTTGTCATTTCATGTTGAACCAGCAAAACCACACAAGATTATTTCAAAGTACCTTTCGCCTTAAAACAATCACCATGATCCACACAGGATTTCCTTCCAGAGGTAGTAACATTTAGGAATGTAGTGTTAATGTGCATTTTGATGACAACATAGGTAAATGGTTGGATTGTAATTAACACTTTCAAGGTGCTGATCAACATTGTCCTGTTGGGGCAATTTCTCAACTGGAGCCAGAAGCCACAGGTGGATCCTAATGCACACAAATTCTGTTGGAGGTGTTTTGAAAGACAGATCCCAAATACCTGCAAATCTGGGGGATAACTGAAAAAAGCAAATCCCATTCTTACCCACACATGCAAATTACATTCACATAGGCAAACTGCACACATAATAGTATGCTTTAATCGTGTCAGTTTCAGTGTCTGTTTTGGCTTAGATGGGCACCAAATTGATCAGAATTCTGAACCTGTTTTTTGGGGTTTGCTCTGCTATGTTTGGAACCCACCTGTTTAGCCCTTCTAACTGAAATGTGGCAAGCCTTACTGCTTAGCAGATGTGCAACCTTATCTTGTGCCACATGTTTAATCAGACAGAAGTTCTTTGAGTTGTCGGGCTTATTTCCCCATAAAGTGTGCACAGGATGAAGCCTAGGCAAAATTACACAATGTTTAGAGAGGCAGTCAAATGTGCTAGTCACTTGCTCCTGCTGAATGCCTGATTCTGAGGGAATACTCCTGATGTGCCTAACACTAACATGCAGAGCCAAACCTTTCAAGTCCAGATTTCTTTTTTTGGATACAGAAAAAGGAGAAGTTTAAATAAGCCTCAACAGCCTCCACAGAATGGAAAAACATACATATCAGCCTAGGTAAACTCGGCCCTCCAGATGTTTTGACTACAACTCCCATCATCCCTGACCACTGGTCCTGTTAGCTAGGGATAATGTTCAGGTGTTGCTGGACTACAATTCCAACCACCCCAGTCACTGGTTTGCCTGGTGGAAGCTGGAAGTTTAGCAACATTCAGAGGGAACAAACTAGGTAACCCTAGGTTTTCATGTACAACCATAATATCACCCAAGGAGAACGGGAGGTTGCATTTCTTTATTTTAAATGTGAGGCAACCCAATTCCTATACGAAAAAGGAGGTGGTTGAAGAATGAGGTGGGGGCATGCCTTTTTTCAGCTGGAACTCACCGGAACTCAGTTCTGCCACCTCTCAGGTGGGTGCCATTGGCATTCTAAGAGAATGAGGGAGGTGTTTGTGGTTAAGTCCAGCACCTCTTTTCCTAGAAAAATAGGACTGGGTGAGGGAAAGAGTGCCACACGGTATCAAGGGGAGTGGTAGGAGGAGGAAGAACCGCCTCTCCCCATATGAATCAACCTCGACCCTGCAATCGATGTCTGTAAGGCCACAACATAGGAACGGGCGTTTTCTGAAGTGGCTCCCTGCTTGTGAAATGCTGTCTCCAGGGAGGCTCGCCTGGCACCTTCATTACCTACCTTTAGGCGCCAAGCAAAAGTGTTCCTCTTTCCCCGGGGCCTTTGGCTAATTATACTACCTATGGCCATTTAAACCGTGGTGCGTATGTGTACGCGGCTATAGTTTTTGCTTCTTACGTGTTTTCATGTTTCTGTGTCACAAACCGCCCTGCGATCCTTACGTGAAGGACGGCATAGAAACCTATAAATCAATCCATCAATAATGCATAAGTAAGTAAATAAGAAATATTCTCAAGTGGTGTTTGAGAGTGAGAGAGAGAAAGAAAGAGAGAAAGAAAGAGAAAAAGAAAGAAGTGAAAGACACCTGAGGAAGAAAAGTGTATGTATTGGGGAGGAGGGGGGCGGGTTGGGATGCCAGTGAGTAACTGAGCAGCAGCAAACTGGCAATTAAACCCAACGGGAAGGAGGAATGGATGAAGAGCAGCAGAAGGGGGAAGAAAGAGGAGAAGGAAAGGAAATTAAAAAAAAGAAGGTCTTCCCCTTTGGCTGAGAGACAAAGAAAGGCGGGCGGGAGCTAGGCCGACGGGGGAGGCTCCCCTCTCCTCCTCCTCCTCCTCCCTTGGAAGGGCCTTCCTGGGACGGTGGGGCGCCCCGTCCGCGCACCCCTCGCCGTGAGGAAAACACGAGAGTGAGGGAGGGAAGGAAGGAAGGAAGGAAGGAAGGAGCGGCCGCTCGCTCTCTCGCTCGCGCCCACTCACCGCCTCTCTAGCAGCACCATGAGGGGGTCCCGCCGCCGCAGCAGCAGCAGCCGCCTGCCCGCTCTCGGGGGCCCGCCAGGCTGCGGAGGGGACCCGTCCCGGAACGTCCCGGTCCGGCTCCCCGTTTCCTCTTGTCCCTCCTTCGCTCGTTGTCGCCGCGACAGCAGCGGCGGCGGCGGCGACTGCAGCTCCTGCCGCCCTGAAGAGACGTGGCAATGAGGGGCTGATGCGCTCATCAGCGTGCGACGAGGGAGGGGCGGCGGAGGCGGCGGCCAAGCCGGGAAGGGAAGAGTGCGCGAAGGTGAGTGGCGGCGGCGGCTGCGGCGGCCATGTTGGGAGTGGCAAAGGACGCCCGCTGCCCGTCCGGCACTTTCCCCCGTCATTTGCCTGAGGCGGGTAGCGACTCGGCTGGTGCCGGCGAGGGAAGCGTCGTCAGTGCGATATATATTTACCTATATGTTGCACCATAGGCTTGAAAGCAACGCTGTGTCCCCCCAAAGCCGCTCACTCACGGGTTCCCTGTCGCTCAAGCGGTTGCTACGCAACTACTGGAATAAAATACTCCTATATGTGGTGTGTCTTGGGAGAAAAGCAATGACAAACCTAGGCAGCATCTTAAAAAGCAGAGACATCACCTTGTCAACAAAGGTCCGTATAGTTCAAGCTATGGTTTCCCCAGTAGTGATGTATGGTTGATGCTTTTGAATTCTGGTGCTGGAGGAGACTCTTGAGAGTCCCATGGACTGCAAGAAGATCAAACCTCTCCATTCCGAAGGAAATCAGCCCTGAGTGCTCACTGGAAGGACAGATCCTGAAGCTGACACTCCAAGACTTCGGCCACCTCATGAGAAGAGAAGACTCCCTGGAAAAGACCCTGATGTTGGGAAAGATGGAGAAGGGGACGACAGAGGACGAGATGGTTGGACAGTGTTCTCGAAGGTGCCAGCATGAGTTTGACCAAACTGCGGGAGGCAGTGGAAGACAGGAGTGCCTGGTGTGCTCTGGTCCATAGGGTCACAAAGAGTCGGACACAACTAAACAACAACATACCATATTTTTTGCTCTATAAGACTCACTTTTCCCCTCCTAAAAAGTAATGGGAAATGTGTGTGCGTCTTATGGAGCGAATGCAGGCTGCGCAGCTATCCCAGAAGCCAGAACAGCAAGAGGGATCGCTGCTTTCGCTGCGCAACGATCCCTCTTGCTGTTCTGGCTTCTGGGATTCAGAATATTTTTTTTCTTGTTTTCCTCCTCCAAAACTAGGTGCGTCTTGTGGTCTGGTACGTCTTATAGAGCGAAAAATACGGTACCTTCTTGTAGAGGCTAGCCAGGAGCCTTTGGGAAGCGTGCGAGCAAGGTGTGAGCTCTCATGTCCTCGCAATGTTTTTTGGGACACTCCTGAATGTCAGGATGGAAAGATGGCCACCACCCACGAACCCCGCCAGGACCAACCACGCCATCTCCCAGGGCAAACACTCACCGCCTCGTAACACCAGTCCTTGAGGATGTCCAGGTCTCCGGTTATAATGGCCTAAAGAAAGGAGGAGAGGCAACAGAGCATCACACACAAGGAGCTGCAACCACAGAGGGACAAGCAGAAGGACAACGGAGAGTACACGAAGGGCCTAAGGGCTGTAGGCTCGGAGTAGAGGGACTGCTTGGCATGCAGAGGTCCCAGGTTCAACACACACACACTCCAGCATCTCCAGGTAGAGGTAGGAATGCTGCTCTGCTCTAAACCCCAGAGAGCTGCTGCCAGTCTGGGTAGACAATATTGAGTCAAATGGACCAATGAACCTGACACTGTACGAGGCAGGTTCCGATATTCCTAAATCTAAAACTTTCCCCAAACTCTCTTCCTTGCATCCGAGTTCTAATAAAGGTCGTAAAATCAGAGAACTGTAGAGTTGGGAAACCAAGAGTCATCTAGTAATATACCGTATTTTTCGCTCTATAGGACGCACTTTTTCCCCTCCAAAAATGAAGGGGAAATGTGTGTGCGTCCTATGAAGCGAATGCAGGCTCCTTGGCTTCGCGGCGACGCACCTGACCTGGAAGCCGGAGGAGGAACAGAAGGGTCTCCTTCTCCAGCTTCGCTGAAGGGGCAGTGCCCCTTCAGTGACGCGCCTGTCCTGGCTTCTGCCTTAGCCCTGCGCAGCCTCTTCAGGCAGGGGGAGCCTTCATCCCGCTGCCTTGAAGAGGCTTGGCGCGGTTGTCCCAGAAGCCAGAACAGCCACACGGTATCCCAGAAGCCAGATCCCTCTTGCTGTTCTGGCTTCTGGGATTCAGAATATTTTTTTCTTGTTTTCCTCCTCCCAAAACTAGGTGCGCCCTATGGTCCGGTGCGCCCTATGGAGCGAAAAATACGGTATGTGGTGTGTGTGTAAAATTCCATGCACAAACGTGCTCGCGTTCACACACAAAAATAGGATCCTATGGAATGAGCCTATAGACACACAAAGAAACAGAGCAATAGGTTCCTATGGGATGCTACTACACTCACACACACACACGGTTCACACTTTTTGGATTTGTTAAGCAAAGGTGCAGGTCTCCATTCACCCTACCTTGCTCTTCTACCCACAGAATTTTAGCTTTAGGGCTAAAAGGTGTATTGGCTTTCTGGGACATGCTGTCAATTTCATTTACGAAGGCAAATGTTGATATCTTGATCCCTGCATCTCAAAGTCGCTCTGTAACAGGTTTGAAAACTATGTTCACACACACACAGTCTCTGCAGTAAAGTCTTGTAGGACCATTATGCAACTTCTTTCATGCTCCAGGTCCCCTTTATTCCTTTCGTTAAGCTTTTCTTTAATTATAGAAGGCAATTATGTCATCTCATGGTGGGGCATCAAGTTTGGGTTTAGACTCAAGACTTGTATGTGCACACTCAATGTTTGTGAGAGAGATAAGCATCAGGTATAAAGCCCCCCCCCCCCAAGAGAGTAAATAAGCTCTTAAAAGAGTGGCTGGGGCAATCCAGCCAGATGGCGAGGTGTAAATAATAAAATTATTATTATTAAAACTGTCTAGGTAGTCCTTTCAGGCCACAGATGCAACACTCAAGGTTCTACTGGTCGTCAATCCCGAGGGCTGGTTCTTGTGGCGTACTAATTATGCTTTTAATTCGTTTTTTCTTCTTGTGCCACATCAAGATCTAGTGCCTCGGTTAGGGTCCAGAACCCTTAATCTCACTTCATAGGTAGGCATTTGTGGAGCATTGTGGTTTGGGCAGCCAAGGGGTCTGTTTGGTCAGCGCTAGCTGTGGAGCAGCAGAGGGCGTGGGCAGTCCCTATGGGCGCTGCACTTGCCGCATCTGTATGGGCTGCCTCTCACATGGCGACCGTATGGGCTGCCGCACGTGCGCAGTCCGTACAGTCGCCGTGGAAGTGGAAGCCCGTACGGCCACTGCACGTGAGTGGCAGCCCGTATGGACTGCGCATATGCAGCATCCCATATGGTCGCCACATATGTGCAGTCCATACGGGATGCTGCTTGCACGGCATCTGTATGGGATGCCGCACATGCACAGTCCGTACGGGCTGCACCGCCCTGGGAGCCGGAGAGGGTTCCTCTGCCACTGGCTGTGGTGTAAACCACCGAGCCTTGGGCTCGCAGGTCAGAAGGTTAGCTGTTCGAATCCCCGCAACGGGGTGAGCTCCCGTTGCTCTTTCCCTGCTCCTGCCAACCTAGCAGTTCGAAAGCACGTCAAAGTGCAAGTAGATAAATAGGTACTACTCTGGCGGGAAGGTAAACGGCATTTCCGTGCACTGCTCTGGTTCGCCAAAAGCGGCTTAGTCATGCTGGCCACATGACCTGGAAAAACTGTCTGCGGACAAACATCGGCTCCCTCGGCCAGTAAAGGGAGATGAGTGCAGCAACCCCAGAGTCGTCTGCGACTGGACTTAACTGTCGGGGTCCTTTACTTTTTTCAAAAATATGCCTAGGATTGCATAGTGATTCACTGTTAATCCAGCAGCCAGTTTTTAAGAGACTAAAATACAGTGGTACCTTGGTTTAACGAACTTAATCCGTTCGGGACTTCTGTTCCTAAACTGAAACCGTTCTTAAACTGAGATGCGCTTTCCCATGTATGCGACAGCAGCAGCAAGTATACTCATTGGGAAATATTGGAAGACACAAGAATTGCCTACCCGAGAAGAATGGCAGAGAAAAGTGATAGACTATATGGAACTGGCTGAGATGACTGGAAGAATCCGAGATCAAGAAGAAGGGTTGATGGAAGAAGATTGGAAAAAGTTTAAAACATATCTACAGAATCACTGTAACATAAAAGAATGTTAGGAAAGGTTGGAGAAGAAATATTAGACCGTATTGGCAGACAGAGTATAATGGAATTAAGTAAATATGAAGTGTAAACTAAAGGATAGAGGAGAATTAAATATTTTTGAATGTTAAAATGTTAAAATAAGTGAATGAAAAGAAGGCTAGAAGGATTTGCTGGAGATACAATTTGAATTAGAATACAAAGCAGAGAAGTGAGAGGAAGTCACGGAAATAAGTAAATGGGAAAACGGTTTGTTTAATTTGAATTCTTTTGTTATTTTTTATTGTGACTTTTTGTCTTGTGTATTTTTTTTTCTTTTTCTTTTTTCTTGTATGGTGTGTTTCTTTTGTAAGATGTATGTGATTGGTTTTTCTTGCTTTATTCTTTCTTTTTTTGTAATCTTAAAATTTGAATAAATATTCTTAAAAAAAAAAATAAACTGAGATGCGCTTTCCCTAATGAGGCCTCCCACCACCGGTGCCCTTCCACCGTTTGGATTCTGTTCTTAGACCAAGGTAAAGTTTGTAAACCAGGACCCTACTTCCAGTTTTGCGGAGTTCGTAAACCGAATCGTTTGTAAACAGGACTGTTCTTAAACCAAGGTACCACTGTACTAACATGAGAAATGAAAATATTGATTGGGAATGTCAGTTAACCTTTTGCCTTTTGCCTTTTGATGAGGATAAGCTGGTATAGAAATACTGGTATAGAAATATGATGCTGGGCAGGGGGAATTAGGCTTAAAATAAAATGTTCTATTTGTTCAAATGTATCTGTGCATTCTGGTTTGCTCTTTGCAAGCCCTCATAAGCTGTCAGACCTGTGATGGTGGTAGTGGAGACCTCAGTGATCCTCAGACACTTTGACAGCACCATTTTATCTTTAATGTTCCATAATTTAGAGATAATGCCTTGACAATTTGGTGGAATTTTAACATGATAAAAATTACTGTAGAAAACTGATGCCTGTCACAAAAACATTTTCTTGTCTTCTGAACTCCTTGGGTTTATTGGAAATCCATTCTAGCTCACAAATGTACATTTAGAGAAATACATGCTGCTGAATTCAATGAGCAAATGAAATGTGTCCAGAACTCCCTCCAATTAATGTAAAAACGTCTACATCATCCTTGGCAATTCTAGAAATGGATGGTGTCATTCTAAAATGCCAGTGATCAGTTCAAGTACAGAAACGGACGCCCAAATTAAGTGGTTCGCTGCGGGTACTGAAGACATCTCATACACAGGGGCTTCCCCATTGAAACTGACATCTTGTACATTAATATACAAAGAACAAAGCTTTGGCTAACCGCAATGGCAGACTTTATAATAAAAAAGTAGTCCATGGGATTTTTTAGCACGTATTAATTTCTGCTGTACATTTTGTGAAATAATAATTTGTGAAAATGGAAAATGCTGATACAAAAGTAAAAAGACTGACTCCCAGTTGCAAAACTTAAAAAAACCACACCCAACACTTGAAAAGGCTTATTATATAGGACATCCACATTCTTGGCAATTTTTTTAAAAAATAGGCGCAGCACAGAACAACAGTAATGAAGAATAGTCCCGGCTTTTTCCTTATTTCATACTGTAGAAATAATTCGCTGTAGTCTTTGTATCAAACAACCCATTTGGTAAGTATAAATAACCTAATTAATTTTTCTTGTTCGAAGCTGCCAGGCACCAGTCAGATATCGCAGTCGTATAAAAAGAAGGTCCCTGCCCATCTGCAACCAACTCCAGACTGGAACCAACTTAGAACCTATGGTGATTAAATACAGAAAAAAATATGTAAGCTGTTAAATAGACATATTTAAGAAGTGTTAGTCGCTTTTTATGGCCAGAAGATGTCACAGGAGACAATAAGAATATATATATATATGCGCTGACCCAAACAAAGATGACCAGCTTTTATATAGGGCGGTATATAAATTCAATAAAGGATAATAAAAAATAATAATAAGCATGGATACATGGGGAAGAGTGAATGCTCTGCAGCCACTGCCCCACCCACTGCGAGGTGACTGTACGCTGTCATAGAGAAGACACTACTCAGGGATTCTGGTTGAGTCTGCAGTTTTCCACAGGTACATGGAATGTATTAACATGAAGTATAAATCCTACTAAGAGGTTAAGGGGCAGGAGAGAACATACAAAACAAGCATTGAATGGAGGCAGCGACCTTCATTTTTTGGTAACTGCCCCAGATGGGTTTTGTGGAGACCATATTTAATATTCTGACATTAAAGGCGAATGTTCAGTCTCCTGGGGAATTGGCCTAACTGCTTTCTAGAATAATCCCTATTGACAGAAAAGTGTTGACGACTGACTGACCTTCAATTTCTGTCCAGTTGACAGCGACCTCTGCTATTGGTATTTTAAAGCACTGAGCTATATACAGAAGTTCCACATCAAATGCCCTGCAACAGAACAGAATGAATGTTCAGTACTGTGATGAAATCACAAATCTTTTATGCTTGTATTACTGACCGCCTTCTGAGCATAACAAAGAACTGGAATAAAACTGATATAGGTATACATGTTGCAACTCGCTATTTTCTCTCTGGTGAAATAAAAAAACTGAAAACGCATTTTCAGCCTTTCTTCTTCCTCTGTAAAGAAGCTAGTATTTCTAGGTGTGTTAAAAGAGGGACAATTGCCAATAAAATAAAGGCAGTACAGACCTATTCCAATTTGCAGTCGTCTGCATGGGTATCAGCCTTTTTTTGTTTTGCTTTCATTACATTCAAGGCAGCCTAGGCAAACATTTGTACTTTCCTTGCCTCATCTAATATCTCAGAAATATTCAATTGATTGATGGCGTGATGAGATTTTTAGAAAGATGGACTTTATAACAGGGTGGATTACTAGCAATTACAACACACAATGTACAGAAATCAAAATATGACTAACATTGGACATCACATTATATCTCCATAAATCGCCCGTTGATTAGGAGCTTCCTTGATTACAAAAGTAAGAAATCCAACTAAATGTGCAAAAGCTGTGGCATGTGCCTGAAAAGGGGACTCGAGATCCCAGCAATAACATTGCACAGCACACACATGAACTAAGCTCTTGAAAATGCATATATCACTAGCTCCAACTGCCATTTCCAATCAAATAAAACTGAGGGCGATACCTACCAGCGCTCTATGTGAAGGAATGAAAAAGTCCGGGAAGCGGCCTCACGGGTTAATAGTTTAAAACCACACTGGGTGTCTTTGATTTCCTTAACACAGAGGAACCATACTAGAAAGTGGAATCCATACATGAGAAGTGTACGGAAATAAGACCGCTGCAGAAAAGGTAAGATAGCACAGGAACTAGCTCAATATGTCCAGTCACTTTATAATGTCAATGTTCATAATGCCTATACTGTACATTTTTTTGTGACTTAAGTTTTAAAAGAAATGACAACACAGAATCCATTATAGTTTCAACATGTACAAGTAGAAGTGCTGACACAATATAGACCTGCAGTAACGCTTTTGAATATGTTATATCCAACTTTTTAAGTGTTCTTTACTCAAAGGGTGCATGTGAAAGTTTTGCCAACTTATCTTTCGCTGATAGCTGCTGCTTACGAGTACAGTAGTACCTCTGGTTACGTACTTAATTCGTTCTGGAGGTCCTTTCTTAACCTGAAACTGTTCTTAACCTGAAGCACCACTTTAGCTAATGGGGCCTCCCGCTGCTACCCCGCCACCGCCGCACGATTTCTGTCCTCATCCTGAAGCAAATTTCTTAACCCGAGGTGCTATTTCTGGGTTAGCCGAGTCTGTAACCTGAAGCGTATGTAACCCAAGGTACCACTGTACAAGCCATTGTTCTAATAAAACACTAGAATAATTTAAAATGGACAAATACAACCCTGCAACTAGCAGAACCAAGCATTAAACTAAAGCCAATTTCAGCTAGTTTTTCCAAGTCCCCAGTTGTTCTCATGTGCATAGTTTCAGACTGCTGTTGCTGAAGATACAGGCAATCAAAAGGAAGCAAGGCAGTGGGAAGTCAACGAGTTCTGATGGTCTACCTAGACAGTCTTCATCTGGAGGACTAGCCTCTATTCCCCCCCCCCCAAAAAAAACAAACCCTTGCAGCTCCCAGGGAGGGGAAGGTCTTGTCTAATCTCATATTATTATTATTTTTAAATCATGCAAGTTACAGGGGGCTAGAAGCTGAGCGTAGGAAGGCATGTACTCCACTTCTTCTGACTGCAAAGGACCACCAGCCAAAGAACTAGCAAACGGAAGCTTACCTGTGCTATGGAGTCTTGCTCCAAGTGAGCTCTAGAGCCACAGGCAATAGCCATCTGGTCCTAAAAGGGAAAAAAAATACATTAACAGTTAAGAAACATACACCAAACCATGCCTCTGCAGCAAGGAATACCTATGAACACATTCAGCTGATACCTCAACCATGCCCATTGCTGGTAAGGGATAGTTGTGACACCAAGATTCATGCAATCATGGGGTTACCAATTAACATAACATAGAACGAGACCAATAGTGGGTCCAGCAGTCAAGAAGGTGGTTTCTGCATGTGATGTAGAGGGAAGTGAAGGGCAGGTGGGGCTCGTCAACATTGGAAAGGAGCCCATCTTGGTGAAGGAAACTCTGATCCTAAACCTCTGTTGTCTTTCTGTATACAGTGGTACCTCTGGTTAAGAACTTAATTCATTCTGGAGGTCCGTTCTTAACCTGAAACTGTTCTTAACCTGAAGCACCACTTTAGCTAATGGGGCCTCCCGCTGCCGCCACCGCATGATTTCTGTTCTCATCCTGAAGCAAAGTTCTTAACCCAAGGTACTATTTCTGAGTTAGCAGAGTCTGTAACCTGAAGCATCTGTAACCCGAGGTACCACTGTATCTTCGGGAGAAGAAAAGGCTGAGTAAAAAAACCCCTACACAAATTTGGATTGGGGTCCCTAAGACAGCTATATGGCGCCTTGTACACCTCCTTCCTGGCAACTTCCACAGCCAAGCTGGTGCCAAACGTATTGCTCAGCTTTCCTTTGGATCCCATCAGTGGGGCCGACAGCGGGGGTCTTGTCATCTGCACAGCTCAGGACCTCCATACATAATGCCCAGGCTTGCACCCTGGGGGAGGAGACTTCAGTGCTGCTAACACAGTGGTCTGACTTCACCCCCAGAGGCACACTCCACTGTCTCTCAAGACAGACAGATGCCAACGACAAAATCTATAGTGTGGGGCTACTGTAAAATGTGTATATAAACATATAGGTGTGCTTATATATTTCTATAAGGGACGCAGGTGGCGCTGTGGGTTAAACCACAGAGCCTAGGACTTGCCGATCAGAAGGTGGGCGGTTCTCATCCCCGCGACTTGCCCTGCCCTGCCAACCTAGCAGTTCGAAAGCATGTCAAAGTGCAAGTAGATAAATAGGTACCACTCCGGCGGGAAGGTAAACGCCGTTTCTGTGTGCTGCTCTGGTTCGCTAGAAGAGGCTTAGTCATGCTGGCCACATGACCTGGAAGCTGTACGCAGGCTCCCTCGGCCAGTAAAGCGAGATGAGCGCCGCAACCCCAGAATCGGCCACGACTGGACCTAATGCTCAGGGGTCCCTTTACCTTTATATATTTATATAGCTAATAAATCATTTTCTTATTAATTACAGGGGAATTCAAGGAGACTAAAAATTTATGGAATCATGAAGCCTAACACCGACGCATAACTACAAGCAGTGAGCGCTTACAGAATAAGCAGAAGTAAAACTGAGCACTTAGCTTGAGCAAGAATCTTAAATAGGAAGTTAGTGAACACAGGGTTTTGGTAAGAGGAGTTTGACAAATGGCTAAATGAGGAACCTGGGGCAGGGCACAGTGTACTGTGTCAGAAGACGAAAACTGTGGATCTGTCTAACAGAACCAGATAAGAGGCAATCGCCAAGAAATAGTTGAAGTTGTAGGGAGTAAGTCAGGGATACCTAATTTGAATGGAGAAAGAAGAAGGGGACACAAATCTCTCCTAGAAGCTGTGTGCTTCAGTCATATTGATTTTGAGTTGGAAATAAGAGTGTTCAACTTTTCTCTGGATTACACCTAAAATTTTAGGGGCTGAAGAACTGCAAGCAGCAAGATCTGCCTATGGTATAAGAAGTACCTTGGCATACAGACATGTAAACAAAGCAGGATTTTAATATATTTTTGAAGGAAGCAGAAAGGAAAAGAAAATAAATAAAATTAAAATGTGACCGAATGAAAACTCACAGGCCAGGGCTGCAGACTCTCAAGACCCTTTTCTACTTTTTCAATGTCTTCAAATTTTGTGGCTCCATCAGCATCAGCCATGAGTATTTTTTCCCCTCGTGAACTGAACACACCCTGTATGTAAGAATGATCAAAAGTCTTGTATTAGGGCATATTCGGCAAATTATGCTGCAAAACTACAGGACTTCAAATCTCTTTGACAGAGCCACCCCTCCACCTGCATGTATTAGCCTAATTCTTTGCATTTTGAATGTAATATAATAATAATAACAATAATTTATTATTTATACCCTGCCCATCTGACTGGGTTTCCCCATCCACCCTGGGTGGCTTCCAATAGAATATTAAAATACAATAATCTATTAAACATTAAAAGCTTCCCTAAACAGGGCTGCCTTCAGATGTCTTCTAAAAGTCTGGTAGTTGTTTTTCTCTTTCACATCTGGTGGGAGGGCGTTCCACTGGTGCCACTACCGAGAAGGCCCTCTGCCTGGTTCCCTGTAACTTGGCTTCTCGCAGGGAGGGAACCGCCAGAAGGTCCTCAGCACTGGACCTCAATGTCCAGGCAGAACGATGGGGTTGAGACGCTCCTTCAGGTATACTGGACCGAGGCCGTTTAGGGCTTTAAAAGTCAGCACCAATACTTTGAATTGTGCTCAAAAACATACTGGGAGCCAATGTAGGTCTTTCAAGACCGGTGTTATGTGGTCTCGGCATACTTCAAAGCATTTTGGGTAGGCAGAGAAATCAAATGCAGAACAGCTCAGATGTCAAAGAAATGAAACCTTTATATGTATATCCTTTCAATTCCAGGTTTCTGTTCTGCTTCTTCCCAAGACTCGTGTCAGGAACGGTTTGATACAAATACAAATAGTGTACCAAATGAATTATAGTAATAAAATACAGAGATGCAGATTACTTCATGCCCATCTTATAAAAATGATCACTCTAGGATAAAATGATCACCATAGGCTCTCGTAACATATGGAAATTCATAGAAAATGACCACAGTAAGCCTGCAACTTATGTGGGGGTTAGGCTCCTGGGATTGCACCCAAAGCCAAAACTGCGTACAGTCAAACTACATTCAGTTCAATGGTGGATGGGATTGCCAAGGTCTTTTCCCCCAGATGCCCACCCACTTTTTAAATGCCCCCCCAACTGCATAAAGCTGAATGTGCAAAAGTTAAATATGTGCAAGTTGGGGGCATGCTGTATTTGCCAATACTCGGGTTTTTGCAGTATTATTTCAAAATTAACCTAAATGCTCAGTGAAGAAAATGTTTGCTTTCACGAAGAAAATAATTAAGATATTACAGAAAGGAAAACTGCATAAATTCATTACCATTCTAACAGCTCCCCCCTTTCCACAATTCTTCACCAGAGGGAGGACTCTCACTTTGTCGCTACCATATTTTTGGGTATACTTCAGCGCAACCTACAGGGCATGTGCAAATCAGAATAAGAGAATAGCAATCACAAACAGGAACTGAATGTCTCCTTCTCTCCTAATTTATATTAATGATATAACAAAGCCTACATTAAATATGAATGAATATTCATATTTATGTGCTTAAGTGTGCTTAAAAGAATGTGAGGCTAGACAGATACATGGAGTTCTCTTCCCTTTCCCATGCCAAATGTCTCACTTTCAGTTCAATTTTATCCTCACTAGAGTTGAAAACAAAAATTCTATTTCCCCGACTGGGAACATATAAAATAGGTAAGTAGATATTTGTGTAACACCTTCTACTTTCAGTGCTCATATATAGGATTTGTATATTCAGTTCTTAGACCTATCAGGGGGGAAAGTGTCCTTTGGCAGAACTTGAAGAGAGGAAAGTGTATGAAAAATCTTATGTTATTGACGTAACAAGAATAATGTGTTTTGGTAATGTGGGATGGCACATAAAGAGAAAAGAAAGAGGATGGCAGTATAGCCCAAGCACTGAACATGTCGGGTAGAAAATAATTGTATCTGTTTAGTGAAAGGGAAGAGAAGAAGAAAAGCCTCTACTTTTTTTAAAAAATGCTTTTTCATGTATAAAGACAGAGGCTGCATGAATTCAATGTCACAGACCATGGCACTAACCCAGCCCTGAAACGGTATAATGCTGGTATTAATCTTTAGAAAATGGTGACCCTTTATAAGCAGCAAAGCAACTTGGAGAAGTCTCTAATAACAGTTATTTTAAGGAAACCAAATTCACATCTGTGGTTAGTCATATCTGCATAAATAGGACACGTTTATCAAGGTGAAACCAGACAGCTAAATTATTTCTTTATTAATCCATTTCAAATTATTATTTAATTATTAATTTTCTCAGAATTTGTGCTTGAGGCACCTTAAGTACAAATTCACAGAAATCCAATAGAGATTTTTTTTATATATATGCACATAAATAGCTAGTGTCATCCCCTTGAGGGGCAGCCCCAAATGTAAACTGCCTTGAGTCAGTCCCTCAAAATTGTAATCACGAAAACAGAAAATATGAACTTCTGTTTATGTTCTACCTTTGTTTGCACTGTCAATATATTTAGAATCGGCGAGTCCTAAATATGTCTCCTACCTTTGTGGTTTGATCTCTGCTGCCGTCATCAACAACTATGACCTCATATGTGAATGCAGGATCTTGCCTCTGGAAAGGAAACACAGATCTTGTGCATTTGCCTTAGCATCATATGTTCTCTTACCACAGTGACTAGAACAGGAGCAAAATGATATTTTTATCTCATGGTTATTAAATATTGCAATTAAGTGTGATTTTTTAAAAAATACCTGTCTCTTCTCTAGGTAATCCAAAGCTTCATTCAGCATCGATGGTACTGTGAGAAAAAGAAGGAAATAAAACCACAGATCTGGTTTGAGTAAAGGGAAGTTCTCTTTCTGCACATAACTGTGGCATTATGGGAGAAGTATTGCTTCTTTTCTCTTGCATTCTGGGAAGTCTCGCTTATAATCTTTTCTCTGCTTCTGCACACACTGTACAAACCTGTTCTAAACACCAAGACATTCCCTCATTCTTCAGTTCATCTTAAGTTCATGAACAAACAATATGGTCTGTTCTTAATGCACAGCTGACCACATCTACGGAACTCGATTATTATATTCTTTCATGTTATGATCAATCATTAGTAATTGTTTTAGTCATGCTATATCAATCTTTAGTTATAATTTAATTAGGAGGTTTCATGCCTGTCTTGTTCCAGCTCCGTTTCCCAGCCTTTAATCTATCGGTGATAAATGTTATATGTAATTCCCGCCTTGTACCTATGTTAACCAATCAGCAACAAGTTGCTTTGTGTTTGTATCAACCAATCAGCCACAAGCACACCTGTGGCAATGTTTGTAATATTCAATAAAAGAGAGTTCCCGGGGCTTGCCCCGGCAGACGCCTCTCATATGACACCTGCCACTCGTCTGTCGTGAATTCATTCCAACAGGTAAATGCTGAACAGGTAAAATTAAAAAAGGTAGACAACATTCAATGTTATACATGCACACAAGGAAAACAAGGACTTATTCTTACACCGTTCTTCCTCATTATACGAAGGCACAACTACAGAAAGGTTTCGTGTTGGGGGATCATGGATGCTGGGCACATGTTCCTTCTCATTTTCAGCATTCAAAAAGTATTTTTCATCCTCGTGTCGATTAAGATTTGGAACTTTTGTTGCAGTTATGTGGGCAATGACAGCAATCTGGGAGGGGGGGGAAGATTTCCAGTTAAGAGTTATATAATATTTACACAACAGCATTCTGCAGACAGAAAATAATTCCTCTTAAAATTAGAAAGGGTGAAGATGCAATAGCCAAGTACCTATCACTATCAAAAGGAATACAATTGGCAAGCAAGGGTTTTGTGGGGAAAGAAACTGCTTTCAGCAGAATATGTACCTAAGAAGCTATTGCAACTCAGCATTTTTGAGCTCTTACAACAGTTGCATTAGTGCCTCTTGCAATTGCACAAAAGCAACTTGGTGTAGACACAACGTGTAAAATTAGATCAGACCCTCACAATTTCTGAGCTCCTGCTTTGCTGTCTACCTAGAACTTAAGTATTTTTTTCTTTGTGGCCTGTTTCCTTTAAATTGCCTGAAATAACGAGAAAGCCTTTATGCTACATTTTCAAATCCTAGGGCTCCAATCAGCTGACTGGCATCTAGCTACAGACAGCAAACATAGATTCCTGTCAGTCATTTGGGAAAGATTCATTCGCCTTTTCCAAGAGTAAAGTTGGGAAAGAAGAAACTACAATATATTCATAGCCCAGTCAATTTAAGTTTATTGAAGAGAGGAAGAAACAAAAGAGGCTGAAGTTAATTTATAGCAGGTTCCTATTATAGCAGGCTCCTGGGATGAAGGCTAGGTGGGCATGGATTCAGATTCCTGTGGAGACTTTTCATGGCTATTGACCTCCTCCACACAATAGTAATAAAAGCAGTAATTCTCTGGCCTGCTATCAAAAAATATTAAGATCAGCAAGTCAAAGCACAATACAGTGGTGCCTCGCAAGACGAAATTAATCCGTTCCGCGAGAGTCTTCGTCTAGCGGTTTTTTCGTCTTGCGAAGCAACCCTATTAGCGGCTTAACGGATTAGCGCTATTAGCGGTTTAGCGGCTATTAAAGGCTTAAAGGCTTAGCAGATTAGCTGCTAAAAGGCTATTAAAGGCTATTAAAGGCTTAGCAGATTAGATAAAGGGGGCGAAAAGCGAAAAAAAAATCTCAAGACTTGCAAGACATTTTCGTCTTGCGAAGCAAGCCCATAGGGAAATTCGTCCTGCGAAGCAACTCAAAAACGGAAAACCCTTTCGTCTAGCGGGTTTTCCGTCTTGCGAGGCATTCGTCTTGCGGGGCACCACTGTATAAAATATAGGAGATTATATTGGTAAGGGGTGGGGAGCATTTCAATTACTGGTCTCCAGTGGCGCAAAAGGTCAATGTCTGGCTGCTAACCAGAAGGCTGGTGGTGAGAACCCACCCCATGGATGGCTGTGGGCAGGATTGCTGGATTGTAGGGGGTGGACTAGATGGCCCTTGGGTTCCCTTCCATCTCTACAGTTCTGTCATGTATGATCTGGTTGAACATAGAAACATAGACTTCTACTGCAGGAGATCCTTAATCTGAGGGTTGTGGTCTGAAAGATTCCTAAACTGCAGGGGCTTGGAGTAGATGACCCTCATGGGTCCCTTCAGACTCTACAACTCTGATTCTAATCAAATTCTGATGGTGGCCCTGATATTATATATTGATTCATTTAATACAATTTTTGCATTATAAATGTTTTATACACCAAAACTGGGCAGAGCACGAGACTCTTAATCTCAGGGCTGTGGATTCGAGCCCCAAACTGGGCAAAAGATTCTTTCATTGCAGGACTAGATGATCCTTGTGGTCCCTTCCAGTTCTACAATACAGTGGTACCTCGGGTTAAGTACTTAATTCATTCTGGAGGTCCGTTCTTAACCTGAAGCACCACTTTAGCTAATGGGGCCTCCTGCTGCCGCCGCGCCGCAAGAGCCCGATTTCTGTTCTTATCCTGAAGCAAAGTTCTTAACCTGAAGCACTATTTCTGGCTTAGTGGAGTCTGTAACCTGAAGCGTACGTAACCCGAGGTACCACTGTACTGCGATCCAATGCTTGTGAAACAACAACAAAGAACAACAAAACCCCTCAAAGCGAAATGCAAACAGCCCTCCTTTGGGGTCACTGCCGTTTTACAGGCTCCAGCCGCTTAAATCCCATATAAAGAGGAGTTGTGAGCTGCAGGGCCTGGGGATGCCAAGCGCCACAGTCATGAGAAGGGGCTACTCGGCGGTTAGTGAAAGGCACTCTGCGCGAGCTCAGAGGTCCTCTTGCTTGGGAGGGGGATGATGGCGAGGGATGGAAAGAAGACCAGGCTGGGGAAAAGGAGAAAAGCTCCAGGACTAGGACCCCGCGCCCCGTCCCCCCTCACCAGGACCAGCCCGGAGACCGCCAGAGCCACGGACGCTTCAGCCAGCCAAAGAAGCTCCATCGCCCTTGCGCCGTCGGCAGAGACTCGGAGCACAGGGACACGGAGGCGGAAGTGGAGAAGGACCAGGAGGCAGAGAGAGCGCGGCGCTGCCGCCAGCACTTCCGGAGGCACGTCGAGCGTTGCTATTGGTCGACACCAAGGCCATCCTAGAGCCATAGCGTGTAGATGCGTGGACAGAGGCGGACTTGCAAGTCGGCTTTGGACTCATTCTCCTCGCCCCCTCCGAACCAAACTCTGGAACTGTAGGATTTAAAAGTTTGGGAGAATGAGGGGATTTCAAGACTTTACAGGGAGGGCAGATATTGTTCTGTTTCTTATTGAGAGATGCATTCTGTGTTTTCCATTTTGTGATGTTATGCTTGTAAACCTCCCCGTGATCTTTGGATGATGGGAGGTATATTATAAAGTAATAAAACAAAAACAAAAATAAATAATTATAATTAATACTTATAATTAATAATACAACAATGGCGTCCAAATTAGGGTTCCGTTTGGGATCTGAAGCACAGTTAAATTGTTGTTATTATCACTATTGGTATTAATTATCTGTAAGCCGACTTGAGTACCTGTCAGAGGGAGAAAGGCGGGGCATAGCTAAATAAATAAAAATTAGTTTCCCGCACTTCACCCGAAGGTTTTCATGTATGCTGCGAGCTGACTGGTTTTTGCATAGGGAATTGACAGTGAACCCAAAGCCCCACCTCTTAAAATCAGTTCAGCGCCTGGCCACGACTTATATATTTGCTCAAGCATATTAAGGTCTTAGAAATGATGATCGTTCAGTCTGTTCCGCTTGTTTTTAAACTGACTATTGTTTGTTTTACGATAAAGTTTCATTGCTCCGGGGGGAGAGTGGATTGCTTCGCTGTAATTAATTTTATCTCCTGCATTTCTCTGCTGGTTTATGATGGGCGCCTCTCGCTTCCACCACGCTGAGTTGAAGAAAAAGAAGCCTTCCAACGCAAACACGGAATCTCCATGCCCAGAAGGTGAGATGACCTACTCTTGTTTTAAAATATATATATTTATGTTTTGTGAGAGGCTGGTGGTCAACGACAGCTTCCTGTCCCTGCCGGAAATGTTGCGAAGAACCCCTCCCCCTTGGAGGGCCACTTCCGGCCTCGCCTCAGCAGCGCCCTCTGCGCCTGGGAGGCCTTGCAGCAACCGCCGAAAAAGCAGCGGCTCCTCTGAGGCGGCGATGATGGCGACGGCGGCCGCGGCGGCTGGCTTCAGGTAGGTGAACTCGCGTCGAGCGGCGGCTCCCCTTCTCCCCTCACGGCGCCCGAGCTCTGGGTTCTCAGCCGGAGCCCGCGGCCGTGACGCGGCGTCGCTGCTTCCCAGGCCCTCGCCGCTCCCCTTCCTCCCTCCCTCCTCCTGGTCTCGTGAAAGCGCTCTGCACGTGTGAACGCAGCGAGTCCCCGGGATTCTGGGGCGCGAATACCTAACTAACCGCACGAGGTTAGGAGGAGTTGGCGGCGGGAGTTTGTGCTCGGCGCAGGCCGAGGTCCTGCTGTTCCCTCATGGCGGGTTTCGCCGCCTTTTTTTTTTGCCTCACGTTGCCGGAGAGCAAGCCGAGCCCCGAGGGCGGGAATCTTGCTTTTCCCCCCAACTATGGGATGACACAGGAAGAGAAAAAGAAAGAGGATGTCAGTATAGCCCAAGCATTGAGCATGTTATACTGGGAAATAATTGTATTAAATATGAATAAATATTTCAATGCACAAGTGTGCTTAAAAGAATGAGAATTTTATTTTATTTTTTAAATCTCCATGCCGCTTTATATTTTTAAGAAAAATCCCAAAGCGGTTTGCAGCATATTAAGTCAATAAAACAATCTGAAGAAAGTCAAATATAGAGCATACAGTTAAAGCAACATAACAGAAAACGAAAATATTATCTTGGAAGTTTTCAAAATAGAACATTACAAAGGAGGTCAACTGCAGAATACATTACAAAGGAGCTTCCCCCCTTTTCCAGAATGAGGCTGGACAGATATCTGGAGTTCTCTTCCCTTTCCCATGCCAAATTTCTCACTTTCAGTTCAATTTTATCCTCACTAGAGTTGAAAACAAAAATTCTATTTCCCCAATTGGGAACATATAAAATAGGTTGGTAGATATTTGTGTAACGCCTTCTACTTTCAGTGCTCATATATCACATATATAGGATTTGTATATTAAATTCTTAGACCTAGCAGGGAAAGTGTCCTTTGGCAGAGGAAAATGTATGAAAAATCTACCGTATTTTTCGCACCATAGGACGCAGTTTTTCCATCTTAAAAACTAAGGGGAAAAGTCTGTGCGTCCTATGGAGCGAATGCAGGGGGGGAGGCAGGCAGGAAAAGCCCCCAAGAGCCACACACAAGCTTCGTGCGGCTCTTGTGGGCTATTCTAGAGGAGGGAGAAGGGACTGACGCGGTCAGTCAGTCCCTTCTCCCTCCTCTAGAAAAGCCTTGCGCAATCTCTCCAGCCGCGGGGAGGCTGCGCAAGGCTAAAGAGGAAGCCCGGGCAGCGAGCGCGATCCATCCCCTCGCTGCCCGGGCTTCCTCCTTAGCCTTGCGCGCCTCTCCAGCCGCGTCCTGTGATCCGGTGCGTCCAATAGAGCGAAAAATACGGTATGTTATTGACGTAACAAGAATAATGTGTTTTGGTCATGTAGGATGGCACATAAAGAGAAAAGAAAGAGGATGGCAGCATAGCCCAAGCAGTGAGCATGTTGTCGTATAGAGCAATTTCGGAAAATACGGTAATTGTATCTGTTTAGTGAAAGGGAAGAGAAGAAGAAAACCCTCTCTACACACACTCACACTTTTTCATGTAAACAGATAGAGGGCTACATAAATTCAATGTCACAGACCTTCATGGCACTAGCCCAGCTTTGAAGAAGTGTAATTAATGTTTAGAAAATGGTGACCCTTTATAAGCAGCAAAGTAACTTGGAGAAGTCTCTAATAACAGATACAGTGGTGCCTCGCAAGACGAAATTAATCCGTTCCGCGAGTCTCTTCGTCTAGCGGTTTTTTCGTCTTGCGAAGCAACCCTATTAGCGGATTAGCGCTATTAGCGGTTTAGCGGCTATTAAAGGCTTAGCGGCTAAAAGGCTATTAGCGGCTTAGCGGCTTAGAAAAAGGGGGGGAAAGCGAAAAAAATCTCAAGACTCGCAAGACATTTTCGTCTTGCGAAGCAAGCCCATAGGGAAATTCGTCCTGCGAAGCGCATCGAAAAACGGAAAACCCTTTCGTCTAGCGGGTTTTTCGTCTTGCGAGGCATTCGTCTTGCGGGGCACCACTGTATTTTTACTAAAGCCAAATTCACATTTGTGGTTAGTTGTATCTGAGTTAATAGGACACATCTGTCAAGGTGAAACCAGGCAGTTAAAATATTTCTTTATTAATTTTCATTATCCATTCCAAATTAATAATTTTCTCAGAATTTGGTTTCCATTCATTAGTAAATGCCAACAGTGATTCTTCTCAAATTAGGCATGTCAACTTTGCCATCTCAGCTAAATTCAATAACTTCAATAACCATTTTTCCACAATAGATAATAATTAGGCTCCATCTTACTCTTGGAGGTAAAATTGAAACAGCCTCACAGAGCTGCTTGTCAGTTTTAAAACCATACAATTGCAGACGATGTAACCCACCAGCGATTTGACATTACCCCTAAGGGCGCACTCCTCCATTGTCCCGTAAGACACATATTTAGCAAAGCTTTGCTCAGAGTAGGTCCACTGAAATCAATGGGATTTCAGTAAGTCATGACTACTTTGTACTACTTATTTAATTGGGTCTATTGTAAACATTATTCGGCCCTTTGTCTTTTTGCAAAACATTTTGTCTTTACAATTCTATTTGTTTTCAGAACTGTGGAACCTTTGGAGTATTACAGAAGATTCTTAGTGAGTACAGTGAGCATTTGTGTGTGTTAAAACATTGTTGGCCCTGAATTTTTAAAAAGTGAGCTATATCTTTGAATTTCAAAATCAGATGAGCCAAAATGGCCTTTTGATTTTCCAGCACCTTTGGTCTGGATCAGAAAATCTTTCCCCGAGGCACCGTGGGATGATATTTGCCTGTTGGGCATGCTTCTTCCACTTTTCAGACTGCTAGATTTCCAGTTAGCATTGGAATTGGGTCCCTACACATCAAATTCAATGCAAGAAGACCCAAATTGTTCAGACATGACATGTACCATGTTCATGTCTTTCTCAGGTAGGATTTTACATACAAAGAAAATCTGGTTGGTGGCTGTCTAAATTGGCCCTTTGTGGTAGGAAGTTTGTATCAGAAGTCTCTTAGAAGTGCAGTTGACTAGACTAGAAGCTGCTTGCACATCTGGTTTAGCCAATTTTACAGTTTCTTTTCATATACCTAGAAGGCATGGCTTTTTTCCCCACCTGAGTTCCGGTACCTCTTGCACCTCTGTAGCATTGCAGTGCCGTTTTCTGGCACGGGAGAAGCCCTGCTGGAAGGTCATGCAAAACCACAACTTCTTCTGTATCATTTATCGGGTATAAGACAATGTTTCATGTAAAATGAAGACAGTTAATAACCTTGGAGCTAATGTCATATTGGCTTATGTAATAACTGATACAGGAATGGGTGTTCCTATTTGGCACTTTCATATTGTCAGTTGTGAGAGATAGATTGAAATTCCATGACTGTGCCAAACTTTGGACTGTACTCAGAGATGGGTTTTTATCTGCTGTGGCCTGAATTTTTTTTCTACATAAATGTGCATATAAAACCAATTTATATAAGAATGTATGGGAATATCATATATTGCATTTTTGCACATTAATATTTTTTTTATATATATATATGTGTGTGTGTGTGTGTGTGTGTGTGTGTGTGTGTTTGTTTCTCTTCCCCCTTACTGTTCCTTCTTTTTTTCTGTATCACTTTATTTCTTTTAATTGAAATCACTTCGATAAAATAAAATCTAAATAACAAAAAATGTGCATATAATATGAACATTCAGGGAAAAAATGCTTTTGTTCTTGGATTCTGCCCACACGTCATAGCAGTCCATCAAATGCTGGTCTTTAAGAGCCTGTTTTAGTTAAGCTCTTACATTGCTAGTGGATAAGATTAGTTGCTTGTTTGTGAGACTTGATGATCTTTTTAGAAAGAAAACTGCCGTCCTGATGGAAGGGACCTCGGTGAATTCAGAACCACAACTGTCAACATAGGTGAGTGTTTCTTGGTAGACTGGCCGTGCTTTGAATGTACAGTGGTACCTCGGTTTAAGAACAGCCCTGTTTACGAACGATTTGGTTTACGAGCTGCATAAAACCGGAAGTAGTGTCCCAGTTTGCAAACTTTACCTCGGTCTAAGAACGGAAGCTGAATGGTGGAAGGGCACCGGCGGCGGGAGGCCTCATTAGGGAAAGCGCACCTCGGTTTAAGAATGGTTTCGGTTTAAGAACAGACTTCCAGAATGGATTAAGTTCGTAAACTGAGGTACCACTGTACTAGAAAAGACATGGTCTTCTGTATATTGCGGAACTTTTCCTGTGGGAACTGATAGAAGTGTAACACAGATACAGTGGTACCTCTGGGTACAAACTTAATTTGTTCTGGAGGTCTTTTCTTAACTTGAAACCGTTCTTAACCTGAGGTACCACTTTAGCTAATAAGGCCTGCCACTGCCACACGATTTCTGTTCTCATGCTGAGGTAAAGTTCTTAACCCGAGGTACTACTTCTGGGTTAGCGGAGTCTGTTACCCGAAGTGTTTGTAATCCGAGGTACCACTGTACAGATTTCCTTTTTCTCACCCTAACCAGACAGGTTGTAATTTAATTAATGATGTAACAAAAAGCAGTTGTCTGACATCCAACCTTAGCACCAGCTGGCAGGCAATTCCCCCTATGATCTGCCTGTCCATCACACCCAGCTTTCTCAGTTCCTAACAAGCGAGTTACCCACTACCAGAATCTCTCCACCCCCTGAAGGAGTATCCTCAGCATGAGAGGATAACTGCTTGCCCCTCAAGGAATGGATCCCACCTAAGGGATCTTTTCCCTTCCTCGAGACTCTCATTCTCCATGACAGCAGGGGAACTATCATCCTGGGAGTGGGGCAGAGTTATCTCATCCCCAACCAGCCTGTCTGCCTCTCTCAGCTTCTCCAGGTCAGCCAACTTGACCTCAAGGGAACAAACTTGTTCCCTGAGGGCCAGGAGCTCATTGCACCAATTACACACCCATGACCCACCTGTCCATCAGGCAGATAGTTTTACATGTGACAAACTGTACTATGTGCTGGAAAGCCATCATACCCCTTGTGGCTTTTAATTTATTTTATTAGTTTATTGTGTTACTTTATTTGGGGACTTGGAGTTTGTTCGAAGTGTGGAGGGACAGAGTAGTCTGCCCTGGCCTCTTTCTGCTCAGCACTGCTTAACTCGCCTGTTTGCTTGACGCTTCATCAGGTGGGGCTCCCTCACTAGGCTGCTCTAGACGTATAAGCTTCGCTCTCTTCCCCCAGCTGCTAATACAGCCAAAGGGATCAGAAAATATGGCTCTGATTCCAGAGAGTAAGAATTTAAAAGGTGGGTGGCTTCTTGCAGAATTATAGAAAGGCAGGGTCACAAGAAAACAAATCTTACAAATTTTCTTCAAAAAAAAATATTTGGCAAAACTCTTGAGTATGGAATGCCTTGACAACTCTGAATAGCTAATAATCTATTTGTAACCAATGTCTTATTCTGCAAGCAGTGTTAGTGCTGCCAGTGTGATTTGCAAAGGTTATTTCACAGGAGAAAGCTTTGATTTTGTTAAATGGTCTCTTTTTAGGTTCAATTACAACAGCGGATGGCTCTGCCCTTGTGAAGTTAGGAAACACAACAGTGATATGCGGCATTAAGGCGGTAGGTTCATGAATAGTTTTCTTTTAAGTTAATGTAGTTTCAGGTTATACAATCCTTATGGATCCAATAGGGCCTCAGAACTCTGTAGCATTTTTTCTCTGCCTTACTCTGTTGCCGGAGTAACAGACTTGACACAGTTATCCACTTCAGATGTGACGAAAACCAATCTTTTCCCATTAGTGGCAAGCCTTGGCCTCAATCACTAAGCCAGTCCCCTTCCCTCCTTCATATGCAATGAAGGCTTTTTGTGGTTTGAAATAAACGGGCGCTCTTGTATATCCAAATATGGGAAGCTGGCTTGTTCAAACTACAAATGGTTAAAGGAGGGTCAGAAAGCATCCTGGTCATTTAACTGCCTTGATCACACTTCCCCATATTCAGACATAAAGGAAAACTGGCTTATGCCTGACCACAAAAGGAAACTTTAAACTTCATGTGTGAAAGAGGAAAGGGACTGAGGGAAGCACAGAAGTTGAGGCTTGCTATGGTGCATTCCCATAACAAGCAACCAGTTTTCCATTACTGCTAAGCCAAATCAGTGTCTTCCAAGGGCCTTCTATAACTGCTTTCCTGAAGAGCCCAGAGGATGAAGTGAGAGGGTGGATAAACGCCCTTGGCTATCCACAGGTGACATGCAACTTGTGTTGTAGCTCATTGATTGCCGCACAGAGCACTTTTTTTGCTACAAGCAGTAGAAATGCTGTGTTGAACCACCATAGTGTCTACAAAGCACTATCCACCAGAACTGTTCAGGGTAGGAATCGCTGACTACGCCTGAGGCTGTCTCTGCCCATTTGGCAGGCTGTTTGGATAATGGAATACAGTGGTACCTCGGGTTAAGTACTTAATTCGTTCTGGAGGTCCGTTCTTAACCTGAAGCAGCACTTTAGCTAATGAGGCCTCCCGCTGCCGCCACGCCGCCGGAGCACTATTTCCGTTCTCATCCTGAAGCAAAGTTCTTAACCCGAGGTACTATTTCTGGGTTAGCAGAGTCTGTAACCTGAAGCGTCTGTAACCCGAGGTACCACTGTACTTGGATATTGCCTACAGGGGCAGGAGGCAGGTGTGCAACATTTGATAGCCAGAGAGAAACAGTGTGTGTGTGCGTAGGCCACATTTCCTTGGAGGACATCTCACAAGGACTGCATGGCGGCAGTGGGTGGAGGTGGAGCCAAAAGTGCAAAGGGCCCAGAGCCACTCCTCTCCGCCCTCTTTTTCTCTTTCTCCCCCATCTCTTTAAGCTTAACTGGTGCAGTAGGGGGATTTTCAGGAAGCTTGCAGCACAAGGGCGCAGTGGGAGCTAACCTCTGCTCATTTGCCTTCCCCACAACAATTAGGGTTAAAAATCAGCCTCCGTAGATGCCAGTTGGTTTAAGATGTTGTGTGGAGGAGAAACTACAGGCTGGATGCAGGAACAGGCCCAGGGTGGGGGGACGACCTGTCTGATCCATGTATCAGAAGCACCGCCCACTTCAATTTAGAGTCATTGTGTGTTTGGAATTTTTACCTCTGCTATTTTTAAATTTTCAGAGTTAAATGCTGTGCGTTTTGCAATTCGCTAGAAGCTGGGTGGGATAAAATGTTAAAACATCAAGAGAATTTGGAGTTACCTGAAAACGGTTAGAATCAAAAATTAGTCCCACGTTAAATCATATGGCATGAAAAAGATTAAAGTGTTATACTTGGATAGGAAAAAGCCCCCAGCCTGCTGTTTACAATGTTTCCATTTAAATTTATTACATCATGAATAAATGAGAATGCAATACTTGAAATGCCATTGGTATTTTAATGCATGTGTACATTTTGTCATTAAAATAATGAACTGCTTTAAATATTTGTAAAACATAGGGAAAATAGTGATCACCAAATCTGCGTTGAACTTAAGAAAAGGTCAAGAAAAACTAGTTCTAAACTTCTAGTTCTAAACATTTCCTCTTAACATTTTGCATACAGGAATTTGCAGCACCCCCTATTGATTCCAGTAACAAGGGATATATTGGTAAGGTTTGGTTAGTTACTATTTTCCTGAAACGACAAGTGATTTTGTTGATTCTCTAGTGATTAGAATGATACTTTGGCAATTCCATTTGAATTCATGGTACTCCTGATGTTTTACAATATTACGCTTATTCTGAAATGTAATTAGTGTATTGGTGTATACAGTACTTGCATTTTACACAGTAGCGTAGTTAAGGAGGGGCAGGGGGCGGTCTGCACTGGGCGGCAGCTTCCAGAGGGTGGCCAAACCGTGGGACATGCGTGGCACACAGCCTGCAGGGTGCCCCAGCCGCCTCCTCCCGCTCAACCATGGCCACCCTCCAGCGGGCCCAGCACTGCTGGAAAAAACAGCATGGGGCGTGGTGCTGGGAGGGCACTCAGAACACCCTGCCCCCGTGCGCAGCGCGCACCCCCCCCCCGCCCCAAGCGGCTTGCTATGCTGCTGATTTTACACGGATTATCTTGCAGTAAAAGTACTAATCCTATGCATGCCTACTGGTAAGCAATTTATTTTTAATTAGCACTTTTCAGGCAGTTTACAAAAACACAAAAATTTACAAATGAAGTAATTTCAAATAAAGCCCACAAAATTCCACAGAGAAATGTATTTAATAGCCGTCCCGCCCTGCCCTCCTTGGCTACGCTCATTGGGGGGGGGCACAGGCAGGAAACAAGGTCAAAAGGGGGCCATGGTCAGAAAAAAGTTGGGAAACACTGCTCTATCTAACAGCAGCTTAAACTATTTTGTAGAATAGTACTCTACTTTGTAGCTTCTAGTGAAGCTTCTTATTCCCCCACCACTTCAAACCTTGCACTTTAATAAAATTTAGATAGCCTTTTTGTTTCATTCTCCACTAATAAACAACCAAGTGAGAAATGTGTTTCAAACTAGATTTATTCAATTTGCTTTTTGATTCACAATTTCCCCCCCTCAGTTCCTAATGTGGACCTTCCTCCACTCTGTTCATCAAGGTTTCGACCTGGACCTCCAGGGGAAGAGGCTCAGGCAGCTAGTCAATTCATTGCAGATGTGATTGAAAAGTAAGAAATGTTATTTTTAAAAATTTTCAATAAAAATGGGGAGATCAAATGGATTTTTGTCTTCATTGCATTACTGGTTTAGTTCACAGATGGTTCAGAAAGAAGACCTGTGCATTGTAGAGGAGAAGGTAAGTAAAAGTTAAGTCTTCATGAAGAATATTAATTGGGGAGTGATTTGAGGACTAGTTGGGCACCCTTGAACCAGTTCAGCTCCAGCTCACATAAAAATGTTTTAAGTGTTAAGTTAATGAATTATTGTGATATCTTCCTACTCCTAATATTATGACAGGGAGCTTATAACCCAGAGGTAACTAATATGGTGTTCTCCAGATTCCACCGGACTACAACTTCCATAAACTCCCAAGTCCACATTTAACTATATAATAAAGCTCAACAACTTTGGTCAATCCAATGGGTAGATCACGGCCAGTTTTTTAATAGTGGGAGTAGATCGCAGTCTCTTGGGAGTTGGACATGCCTGCAATACAGTATAATACAGAGATGCCTGGGGAAAGAAAATGGTGCTGAAATCTAAGCAACTTCATATGGGAAAAGGTGGTCCTAAGCTGCACAAAGGCCTTAAAGGTCAAAACCAGCACCTTGCATTGGGCCTGGAAACAAATTGGCAGCCAGTGCTCTTGTGCAAGAACCAGTGAATGTTTATAACGTTATAGTGCATTGTTATAGTTATAGTACAATATAGCTGTATTTCGTTGTGTACGTTTACAGACTGGGACTTTAGTTTTCTGGGTAATGGCCTGTGTTTTTTAATTTGTTTCAGTCTTAGTTTTTGGGAAAGTCCTGTGAAGGAACACATTGACTTACTTACGAGAGTGTTTTTCAAACCTTTTCACTCTTGTGATGCCCCTTAAGAGCCTTTTCAGTATTTAAATTAACAGAGCTTATTTCCTTAGATTGCTTGGGTTCTATACTGCGACATTATATGCTTAGACTATGATGGAAACCTCCTGGATGCCTGTATGTGTGCTTTACTAGCAGCCTTAAAAAATGGTAAGTTGCCCCGTTATAGTTGCAAACTTTAAACAATTGTAGATTGTGCCATCCAGTATTTTTAAAAGTATGCAGTGAATTTCCTATGAAGGCCTGAACCTTGTAGTAGAGATGTAAGCCAACTGGGTAGCAATTGAATGTCCACTGCTGCTGGCATCACTGCTCTGGTTCCCTTTTTCCAGTGCTCCTCTGAAGGTTAGCAGCTGCAATTTTAATTGCCTACAATACCCTCGAATTATGCTGTTACACTAATATAAAGTTGGATCCCCAACCTTCATGAGAGTTGTGGCACTACCAGGGTTGCCATATGCCCAGATTTTCCTGGACATAGCTGGAATACTGCAGTTGGCAGCAATGCCTGGGTGGAAATCAGGTAAAATGTCTGGGAAAATCCGGACGGATGGTAGCCCATGTTGGCAGTGCCGTTTCCCCATAAAAATAGCTCAGAAATTGCCATTTTTGAAAAGTGATTTTGCCCATTTAAAAAAGCTCAACAACTTTTCTGTCCAGATTTTCACTGTTTGAAATATGGCAACCCTAGGCACTATATCTTCACCATTTGTTCTCCTCAGTAAGACCACTTACCCATCCAGCAGACATGCCTGGAGGCGGCGTCTCACATTGCAAATCCTTCTAACCCCACAAGATGTACCTTTGCAGGGGGAATTGGCTGCCCCACAGATGAGAGGTAGGGGCTGTTAGCTGGCAGGGCCTGCCAGCCTGCCTGCCTAAATGAGTCCTGTCATGAAGGGGCAAAGTGAATTTTTGGGTCTCGTAAACACATGCTATAGATGCTTTAATCTACCTCATGAAAGGAGAGTTGATATCCAACTTATTCAACAGGGAGGGTCTGAGATGGTAAACCTTTGGGGTATAGGAAAGGTTTGGCCTTAAGATCCCCTATCTCTGTGAAATTATTCAGAGCTGGCTATTGAAAGGGGATAAAGCTCCCATTGTTCTCTGTATTGTAATGATTGCAAAATGTGAAACTTGAGGTTTCCCCCTGCAAGATGATGTGCAGTTTCCAGGGTGGAACCTGGAGACAGACAGCTGAGTAATGGCTTAATCCTCAGGAAGTTTCAGACTGGGACAGAAGACAGAACATTAGGCACCCCGGGTATTCAGATTTTTGTTTTAAATAAGTTTTTTATTGAACTTTTTTCACAAAAACAAAGTAATACAAAATCACCGTGGTGGCACAAAGCATGAGAAAAATGTGGTAGACAATGATGGCTACAGTAACAAAAAGACAAACAAAACTAAAAAAGGTTAGTTGCAGGTCTGGCCAAAACTACTGAGTCAATCCAAAAGGACAGATGGGATGTTGGAGCATATTATCTTTTGTTATTAACCTACATATCAATTAAAGCTGTATCTAACAGAACTTATCTATACTTATTTCTCCCCTTTCTTTCTGATCTGGGTGGAATTTGCTATTTTGTTTGGGGACAGAAGGCACAGTCTTGCCTTTGTCCTTCGTTTGCACAAGGACTTCCCAGTGCCTTCACCTCAGACAACTTGGTTTCCTTTTAGGGAACAGAAGCCAAGTTAGATCTTGAAGCTGTATTCATGTTTCCTAACTTCAGCCGTAGGCATTAGTTGCTAAGGACCAGGCTGCAAAGTGGGGAAAGTCGAGGGTGGCATCAGTAATGAAAGCTATTGCTTAGTGAGTTTCTGATACATTCTGCAAAGCCTGGCTGCATCTTGGTTCAGATTTTCTTTTGGATCATTCAGCAAAGAAGGAAAGCTTATGCAAACAGGGAACCTGAAGAGGCGCCTCTGACAAAAGTGGATGCCTTGGGTTCCTGCTGTAAGGTGGCCTGTCTGCATTTTTCTCCTTTCAAAACCTCATTCCCATTCATAGGCAGAGTGGTATGAGAAAAGAGCTGCTGTGGGTACTTCAAGCAGTGATATTAAGGTCCTCCATGGTCTGCTCAAGGATGGAAAGCCTTTGAGCAAAGTTACTGGATTTCTTACTTAGTAAAGGGGCAACCCATTTCACCTTGAGTACATTTAATACTTTTACTTCTTGCTGGAATTTGGATTCCAGGAAAAAAACAAACTGATTTCTCATGGGAAGAGGATTCTGTGCTGTAGTATTGGTTGTTGGGTCAACCTGAGAACCCAGTGGTTGAGTAGGTTGATTGTTGGGTCAGTGAGAGGATAAATCTCTGGGCAGCAAAACTGAGGATCTGGGGAATAATAAGCAACTATCTCAAAGGAAGGAGCCTATGCACTATAGCTTTCCCAGAATCAAGTCTATGCTTTAACCTCCTGTGGGTCTTCCCCTTGACAGGAGATGGTTCAGAGAACAATGAGGAAAGGGCTGCACTTCTATGAGCATTTGTCCCTTACCTTTTACTCTGTATGGAAACCTAACAGCAATAGCATCTTTTAAATTGGGAGTCTCAGAAGTATTAGAATTCTGTAGGAGCAGGTACCTCTTGCCAATCAGTTTGTTGTTCCCTTTGTAGCATTGCCAACAGTCAGGAACATATGGGCTTATGGAATGTTCCTGTGCCATTTGGTGGCCAGGAAAATACTGAGATTTGATTGGTATTGGAATGGCACTGCAACATTCATCTAGAGGCAGAACTAGGCTGGGCGGTGCTGGATGAGTCCTGGCAGCCCAGTGCGTGTGGGATTGTTGCAAGAGACTGTTGGACAATGAGCGATCTGCAGTTTGACCTTAGCTGCAGAATGATGCCTGGTTGGAATAAAGAGTTAAAAAGGAGGTGCTATGAGATGAAGTTGAAAAGGGAATGAGCGAAGAGGCGTTGGGTTTTTGTTTGAAAAGAATGCAAGACAGGAAAGTGGGAAAAGCAAAGATGGTGTTAAGAGAGCAATGTGAGTAAGAGTAGAGGCAGCTTGCGTGCTGGAGAAGACAGGATTGCTTCAGCTTGAAGCAAAAGAAAGGAGATGAAACTGAAGGAGCAGCAGGAAAAGGGGTCAGCAAAGCCTTCAAGCAAGCTGAAGAAGCAATAACGCAACTGAGAAGCAAAAGTACCCGGCTTTGTATTGACCCAGTCTCTCACATACTCCCCCCCCCCTCATTTGTGTCCCAAGTCTTGTAAGTCTCACCTGCCAAAATAGAAATAAAAAACCACAAATAGCTTTGAAATTTTAACCTAGCTCAAATCCTGCACTGTGCAGTATCCTGGCATTTCCCCCAGTTGCTCTTTTGCAGTTTGGAAAAAGAATATGATCATTTCTATTCCCCCACCCAGGGGGTGGGGGAGATACAAAGACAATTTAAGACTCTGCCAGTAGGGTAAGGATGGAGGAAAACTTTGTGTTCCTACATCTATTTCCAAGTGTGGTTTCTCTCTTTTTGGTTTAAAAAACAATTTCTTTTTTTTTTTTCAAAGGGAGAGGTTCTGTTTAAATCAGGAGGAGGTCTTTTGATACATTGGCCCTATGGACACCAGAGCTCTACCTTTGGATAAATCCAATTTATCCTATGGCTCCTGAGATGCCTTTTCAGAGACCCAAGGCACCTTAAATATCTTACTTTACACCTCAGTTCCAGTTGCTTAATGACAAATACACAGTAATCAAGCATTTCTATATTTTTCCATACTTCTAAGTCAGAAACATACTGCTGCATATTACTTTCTCTTCATTGTCACATATTCCTTCCAGAATGCCCCTATTCCTCCCTTAACAAAAAAAACCCCTCCCTTTAAAGGAAGACCTCAGTTCTGCTTTCTCAATAATTGCTTTTGTTATTTCAGTCCTTTTACCTGCTGTTACTGTAAATGAAGAAACGGGGTTAGCAGAAGTTAACTTCAAAGAGAAGACTCCTCTAACTATTAAAAAGCAACCAGTGGCTACATCATTTGTGCTGCTTGAGTAAGTATCCACAAAGTTTCCTAAAGCATGTTAAATGTGAAACGGGACTGTGGAGAATATTGGGGGCAGGTACCATGTTATAGCTCTTGTGTGATGGTTTTGCTTCTTCAGTGTTTCTGAGAGCATCAGCTTGGTAAAACCTTCACTGTATAAACCATTCTATGATTTTATTATTACTTTTAATCACCCTCTTGTAAGAACCTAGTTTTATTTCAAGATTAGTCTACTGTTGGAGCTTTCTAATAATTATTTCAAGGAGTATGTAAACGAGCAAAACAGCTTTGCTGTTCTTAACTCTCATATGCATTAGACTCTCTCAGAATAGCACTGAACTGTGTAAACCCATGCAAATTACTGCATAATTCTTCCTGTATCTTGCAAGCAACATGTCTGTACCTCTTATATGAAATCACTCCAACTTTTGCATTTTTGTGTGTCCTCAAAAGCACAGTAATAATTGTTGACCCAACTGCAGAAGAGGAAGACCTGGCAACTGGGAATCTAACGATTGTAACTGATGAAGAAGGCAAACTGTGTTCTGTTTATAAGCCAGGTACTGTGCCAAACTGTAATGACTCTGCGGATTGGTCAACTAATCAGTCTTTCATTAAAAGTATTTGGCAAACCGCAGTTCTGCAATGAACACACAGCATATTTTAACTGCACTTATAGCTGCCCCAAAGCGCTATATTCATTTTCATCTCCATTTTAAGTATTGCTTTACTCCATGAAATTGTAATATGCAACAGGTTTCACTCATTAGTGTGGCAGCTCTCAAATCTGCTCTTTTTTAAAGCCAATGTGATAGAAATGTTAGAATTATACTGACATTGGTTTTTCCCCCCTATTTCCTTTTAAGGAGGAAGTGTAATAACAGGCACAAAGCTTCAAGACTGTATCAGCCGGGCAACAGTACGGCACAAAGAAGTGAAGAAACTAATGGATAAAGTGATCAAAAGCGTACAACCAACATAAACAATGGGTCTCTTAAGTAATTTGTAAAAAGTGTATTTGCTATGTTGCACAAACTCCTTATCTCAGAGACTACATTTATAAATTTCAAAATATCAGTCCACCTTGAAATATGTACAATACTGCAAACTGCTTCTTAAAATATTATGACTTTTTATAAAAAAACAATTTTTTGTTAGGGAAATAAATCTTGTTCTTCAGGATTTGTTGTTGTCAAATGCAATCCTACATGCTTCAGTATAACCTCAACATTCAATTTCCCCAGAAAATTATATTTTTCTATTTTAAAACCCCCCTTTAAATTTAAATATACATTCTATCTCAAATGCAGAATCACTGAGGTGCTTCTCTTTGTTTTTTGACTGCCTGCCTGAATGATGGTGTCGTAGTTGAGGTGCTTGTGCTGCTGCCACCGCCATAACCATTTGAAGGTGCAAGAAGCGTAACTGCTGTCAGGAAGGAGAAAAGAAGAAACTTTTTAGAGCTGAGATTTCACTTCAAGAAAAAATGATGACATGATACATCAGGGGGTTTCCCCCCCATGTGAGACGTTCGAAATAATTAGAAAATATATGGCTTTCACTTGTCTTCACAAGAAGGCAAGAACAAAAATTTTGATATATTCAAAAATGAATTTTGGAACTTAAAAAATCAAGTTGCCAGTTTTTAAAGGCTTGGCTTATCACAGGAGGAAAACAAGTCAGCAAGACTTCTCACTATGGTAGATGCAGGGAGCTTTTTGGAGGACCCAGCTGTTTTATTTCCTTGAATCTTGTGGCCTGATTTGGGCGGGTGGGTGTGACCATTCCTTCTGAATCATAGTTTTCCAGTTGACTGATAGGTGGGCTGCCCTGTCCACCAGTCAAAAGTGCCTGTCGGGTGAGGGGAGATAGCAACCAAGCAGGTTTCGACTCGCCACAAATAAGCCATGTCTCCCAGTATACCTGAAGGAGCATCTCCATCCCCATTGTTCAGCCTGGACACTGAGGTCCAGCTCTGAGGGCCTTCTGGCGGTTTCCTCACTGTGAGAAGTGAAGTTACAGGGAACCAGGCAGAGGGCCTTCTCGGTAGTGGCACCCGCCCTGTGGAACACCCATCAGATGTCAAAACAATTATCTGTTTTTTTAGAAGACATCTGAAGGCAGCCCTGTTTAGGAATTTTTTTAATGTTTTATCATGTTTTAAATATTCTGTTGGGAGCTGCTCAAAGTGGCTGGGAAAACCCAGCCAGATGGGCAGGGTAGAAATAATAAATTATTATTTTTATCTTATCCCTGTCCCACATGATGCCCAGTGGACAAGGTTTGGTGAAAACAGGTTAGATCTTGCCTGTCTCTGCACCACAGTTTGATTAGACAGGTCATATACCATGCAGTCGGAGCACTCTTGCTTACATAATTCAGTGCAGTCAAAATAACCTGCCCTGTCCACTATATGTGGGAACACTGAGGACAGCCTTGCCAATGGCTTTTGTAACCACTTGTGGTAGTTAGTTAGCAATTTCAGTATGAATACACTCTAGATCAATTATTTTTTTCACACAAATGGCAGCCACTGTTCACACATTTTATATAGAAAAAACATGCTGCTGCAGTCCCACTTGTGTGTGGAAGGTAAAACATAAGCCAGATCACCAAGCCTTCAGAAATGATGGGGATCTGTGTCAACGCGGTGGTCAGGTGGAGGGGGTTTGTGTTAAGCACTGGGAAATGTTTTCGGACAAGGAAGCCTAGAAAGAGGATGGGCTCTCTCTGAACCAAAACAGAGGCAAGCCGTAGGAAATGAGTATCAAAAAGTTGCAGAGCAGCTTTTAAAACTTGGCTCATACAGAAAACGGACAGCAGCTCTTCAGCATGTGGTTTGGGGATTATTATTCCATAGGGGATGAGGATGAAAATGTTCCAGGTATTCCAATGAGGACATGCTAGAATGGGGAAATGAGTGTGCAGTAAGATGCAACACCCATATGTAAATAAACTGAAGGTCTGCAAGGGAAAATGCATTTAAAGATGGACACAGTAGTAACAGGTTTCCGCAAGGGGAGTGCTGGAATGCTTTTAAATGAGCCCATAAACAGAGTAGATGTAATGGAAACCTGGTGGAATGGAGGGAACCAATGGGATAGGGCTATTCCTGGAGGAGTATTGGTGGTATCATGCTGTATGACAAAGAAGGTATAGAGCATGGGTAGGCAAACTAAGGCCTGGGGGCCGGATCTGGCCCAATCGCCGCCTAAATCCGGCCCGCGGACAGTCCTGGAATCCGCGTGTTTTTACATGAGTAGAATATGTGCTTTTATTTAAAATGCATCTCTGGGTTATTTGTGGGGCATAGGAATTCATTATTTTTTTTCAAAATATAGTCTGGCCCCCCACAAGGTCTGAGGGACAGTGGACTGGCTCCCTGCTGAAAAAGTTTGCTGACCCCCTGGTATAGAGCACAGGTAGAAAAAACCTGACCTCCAGGGCAACAGTGGTTAAGAAACAAAACTGCAGCAAAATAGCCCTGTAAGGATGCTTGAGCAACATACCTGCTGCTGCCTGAGGCTGCATAAAATTCCCTACTCCGGTCAGGTTGACTACAGTTGACTGCTGAGCTGATAAGGTCTGGTCTTGATTCGTGGAAGCTTGATCAGAACCCTAGCAAAGAGAGAGGAGGTTAATAGGTAAAAAAGGTAACGGACCCCCGGAACGGTTAAGTTAAGGCAGTTAATACCGGAACACTCGGCACTGGACAATGTTCTTGAGAACATAAGAAGAGTTGCTTTCTTGGTGGCCGGCCAGCTGCCTATGGGAAGCCCCAAATCAGGGCCTAAGCACAAAGCATTTAATCTTCCTCTGGAAAAACAACAACAATACTCTTAGCTATAGCAAGAGTACAAGAGCTATCGGCCATATAACTGATGAGGACCATAAGGTAATTTCCAAAGTACTTTCTAGGATGGTGCACAACGAAGAGTGGTTTCCTGCAAGCTATAGTGTGTAAATTAGGAGTCAGTCTCAGGAATGTGGACTCCTACTCCTCCATAGTGACATCTCCCCTTTCCAGCATTCACAGTATTTCTCTCTTATGTGGGTGCTGATGGAAGCAATGGTTAACATAAACACAGATTACCCATAACCACAGTTCACAGTGGGGTGTGCATAACGCGAAACTGGTGAATTCTGAGAAGCGGGGGTGGAGGAAAGTCCTCAAAACATTGATTCTCAAATTGCAAACCATGGTTTGCATAGAGCCTGGGTTCCATCTATACCAGCTCTCTTGTTGTCTGTGCAGTCTGTTCGTGGACTATTAAGATGCTATCCAAGAAGGACCACCATACCATTTCCCTGTTCAAAGCAAGCTTCTACAAGAAAAAGATGAGTCTATGAACACTTCTAAAAGCTTATTACTCACAGGAAACTTTCAGCTACCTATGGGAAGTACCAACTCTGGAAATTATGCCCTACAGTGAACAACTATCTAGTTGATATTGCTGCCCAAGTAGCAATTTTAACATACCCAGATATAAAAAATATTTCTCTCACTTGAATCAACCTCATTGCATGACAACAATTTCAGCAAAACTTATGTGGCTGTTTGCTCATCAGTATCATGCCAAATAATGCATGCGATTATGTTTTTTTATTGGGTTGTATCTAATGAAGTCATCCCATTTGGACAAGGTCTTTTGCTTATGCAACAGGATTTCCTCTTCCTTGTTTGTATGTGATGCCAATAAAAGGTTTGATGATGATGATTTCCTCTTCCTGTATGGAACCCCTCGCATCTTTTCTGGGGGTTCATCCAACACCATGGAGCAGATTTGGGGAGCATGGTTCTGAAGGTTAGGAAATATATTTTGCTGAGAACCACTGCCAGTCAAAATAGACATTCCCAATCTACAGCAAGCAATGGCTTGATTCAGTTTAAGGTAGCTTTAGCTGCTCAATTGTTCTTTGATGAGGCTAACTCTTGACTTTGACTGTCCTTATTCCAAGTCCTTTTCATGTGTAGCTACAAGTAACTATCTCTCTACACATATTCCCACAGGCAGCATGTATGTGCTTATAATATTAGTTTCAACAGGAATGCCTCACCTGATCTCCCTGCTGTTGAGGACTAGATGTTGTAGGCTGCTGTGATGAAAACTGGGATAGCTGCTGCTGCTGCTGCTGCTGGAGGGGATTGAAAATCAGTGAGCCACCTGGAAGCTATTAGGTTTAAAGACAAGGGAGGGATAGGTCAGTTTGCCTCATTCTCCTATGATAAGCTACATCACAACCAAGACAAGAAGAGATAACATTTAATATTCTTTGCAAATTTCATTTGTGGCTTCACAAAAAATTAGTATTGCTGTTTTCAAGACTGGTGTCAGCAGGAAAGTACTTGCTACAATAGCACCCCTCCTAGTGAAGTCCCCTCCTCTATTTCAACAAAATTTCGGGGGTTCTAGTGTGGTGCATCTAGATCAAAATCACAATCAGGAAAGAAGCCAAAAGTAAAGAAAACAAAGTATGTTTTGTGCAGCCACACACAAAAAAGTCTAACTTCACCCAGTCCACAATTCATTCTACTCATTTGGTCAGACTTGTATGTCCAGCCTAGGCCCCCCAAGAACCTGAATCTCTGCTAATAGCTGCAAAATTTGCACTTGAGAAATGCTGGAAAGAGCGTTTAACCTAGCTTGCTAAATTTCCCCTTCAACTGCTCCCGCCTATCCTTTTTTCCTTGCAGAGTAAAGAAATATGTGTCTAGCTTCCTAAGCTGGCAGGAAAACAGCTGGGCAGAGGTGACTGCAAGGGCAGTGTGGCAAGTGGGCAAGAGTGTTACTCCCAGGTCCAATGAACTCACAGCCTCCTGATTTGTAAATTTTTGATAGAGAACTGTATTCTGAGACCCAGGTCTCCAAAGAACAGGCAGTTCTAGTTTTGATGTCCTCAACATTTCATGGCTACAGCATTTTTATCATTTGCTTTCCTATTGCTATACAAGGGAGACAGATAACCATCTGCATATGTGAAATTGAAATATTTTCAACAGCCTGGATGTTCTTAATTGTCAGTCAAGGGGGATGGAGCTATCTGAATTCACATCTAATATGCTCCTCACAAAACCAGTATCGAAGAATTGATTTCCCAATCAATATAGAAAAATAGGACAACATACATCACCATACAATCTTACCTGTAGCAAATTCAAAGGGCGAAGGCCTGGAGCATTTTTCAAGCCAAAAGGGCCACCTGCTGAAATGAAATTAAGAGAACATTGTTATTTCTCCTCCTCTTCAGTTACATCCAAACTAGAAGTAGAATTGTTTGCTGAGTAATAGTAAAACAGCAGCAGCTGATAAAAGCAAAAATATTTCGCCCCTTTCGGATTAAACTAAAGCTTTTCTCAAAACTAACTCATTGACTCAGCTAAAATTTAGAACAACAACAAAAGAGACAAAAAATCTGGTTATTAAATATATTCAATAATACAATCTTAAGGCTCAGAAGAATGGTTGAGAGCATCTGCACTGAACCTCTCATATATTATCTGGTTTCAATGGACAGAACAATGGCACCCAAACTCTGAATCCAGTTCTTATTTGATACAGTGGTACCTCAGGTTACATACGCTTCAGGTTACATACACTTCAGGTTACAGACTCCGCTAACCCAGAAATATTACCTCGGGTTAAGTACTTTGCTTCAGGATGAGAACAGAAATCGTGCTCCGGCGGTGCGGCAGCAGCAGGAGGCCCCATTAGCTAAAGTGGTGCTTCAGGTTAAGAACAGTTTCAGGCAGGTCAAGTACAGACCTCCAGAACGAATTAAGTACTTAACCTGAGGTACCACTGTATATTTATACCCGATAGATCAAAATGTGTGTGGCAGCTTACAAATCACGGATCAATAAAACACCAAACCAATCAGGAAGTTATGGAATTACTTTCATTATATTTGATTTTTATTCTGTTGTATGGTTTTATATTATTGTTGATGTGAGGTACTCTGCATCCTAACTTCTAAAGGGTGGTACGTAAATCTCTTAAATAAAATGAAGAAAGAAAACAAACTGCAACAGAGCAAAATTGAAGACTGCACGGTGACAGATAAAAGTGAAAAACTCTAAAAACAGCAGCCAATACCGTACCAATGCACCAAATTTAAATGTCTAGATAAGCAAGATCGATTTTACTTGGCACTGAAAGCTCTGTTTAACAACTTGCACCGGGCAAACAAATCTAGAAAGGAAATTCTAGTGACTAGGTGCCATGACTTAAAGGCCCACTATTTGGCAACAGCCTGTCTAATCTCAGCAGATGGAGGAACACTGAGAAAGACCTGCTTTAAGTTACATTATCATGCAAAGAGGAACCTGTCTTCTGGATTTTATTAAGATTTGAAGTGGGCAAGGAGAAATGGCAAATAAAGAAAAAAAGGTAGCCAACATATACACATGAACTTCTTACAGTACAGTCGCACCTTGGAAGTCGAACGGCATCCGTTCTGGAGGTCCGTTCGACTTCCAAAACGTTCAGAAACCAAAGTGTGGCTTCTGATTGGCTGCAGGAAGCTGCATCGGATGATCGGCTTCCAAAAATAGTTCGCAAACCGGAACAGTCATTTCTGGGTTTGCGGCATTCGGGAGCCAAAACGTTCGATAACTAAGCTGTTCGAAAACCAAGGAGCGACCGTATTTAGGAGATTCAATCACGTGGCATAAAGGGATTTTCCCAAAGCCCTTGAGATGGCTAATTCACATGCTATCAATTGTAACCAGAAGTAATTTCTAATTTTTTTATCGCTGACTACACGGGTCATTAATGAGCCAATCAACTACTGCATTCAGTTTTTCCATGACTTTTCCCATTATAGTGGAAGTAGTCCCACACTGTGCCATTCCCATTCAACCAAGATGGAATTTCCTACTGACCTGGCTGTGAGGAGGGTTGCACTGCAGCAGGCAACACACTTGGCACCAGGCCTCCTGATGGTAAAATGCCACTTAGGTTGAGGCCTGCAGGGGTTATTGCACTAGTACTACACCCCAGCATGGGGTTTGAGCCGCTCATCAATGTCTGCGCTCCACTGTGCAAAAGGAAATGAGCAAGCATGAGACCAGAATGTCATAAAACAGCACGAAGTACCGTTTTTGGTATCTAACAATAATTATTATTATTATTATTATTATTATTATTATTTATACCCTGCCCTCCCCAGCCAAGGCCAGGCTCAGGGCAGCTAACAACCAATAAGAAAAACAAGTTGAATGAATACAACATTAAAATGCAGCCTCATCACAGGAGGAGAAAGGAAAAAAGAAAGAGGGGGAGGGAATCAAATTGACTCCAAGCCAAAGGCCAGGCGGAACAACTCTGTCTTACAGGCCCTGCAGAAAGAAATCAGATCCGCGGGGCCCTGGTCTCCTGAGACAGAGCATTCCACCAGGCTGAAGCCAATGTTGAAAAAGCCCTGGCTCTGGTTGAGGCTAATCTAACTTCCTTAGGGCCCGGGACCTCTAGGGTGTTGCTATATATGGACCTTAAGGTCCTCCGTGGGGCATAGTAGGAGAGGCGGTCCCGTAGGTACGAGGGTCCTAGGCTGTGAAGGGCTTTAAAGGTCAAAAGCAGCACCTTAAATCTGACCCTGTACTCCACCGGGAGCCAGTGCAGCTGGAAAAGCACTGGGTGAATATGCTTTTGCATCATTAGGGTTGAGGTTATATAGTTCAATCACCAGCTGATTTTATGTCTTATTACTCAGAAAAAAAATATGTACTGAAACTTGCAAGTAAAATTTGCTGCTCTAAAATAAACAAATCAGAAATGGGTCCATTTCTCCGCACTGTCTAGATGCCATCTTTTAGTTAGACCAGGGTTTCCCAAACTTGGGTCTCCAGCTGTTTTTGGACTACAATTCCCATCATCCCTAACCACGGGTCCTGCTAGCTAGGGATGATGGGAGTTGTAGTCCAAAAACAGCTGGAGACCCCAGTTTGGGAAACCCTGGTTTAGACATTCTCACAGTGCTGTATGAACTCTTCCACATTAGGGAGCATATGAAAAAGTGCCTAAAACACAACTCCAATGACAGTGAGAATAATGCTGAAATAAATTATTTCTTCATTATTATTATAATTATTTCCAATATTTCAATACAGATTGTAAATATCACCCCCTAATACCTCTAGACTTCCATCTCTTCCCTCCGTGACATCCTATTTACTCGTTATGCCGCATATCCTCTTTAACCACCCTATTTCTTTCTCTTGGTTGTTAATTACTGCTGCTCATAGATCTTATCTTATTTCTCTTTTTTGCAAATCATCTTTATTGGTTTCTTTTAATTTACATTCATAGAATCACATTATAACATCTCAGTTCTCCTATGACTAAACTTATATTTCTAAATAATAATAAACAAAACAAAAACAAAAATTTGTGCTTATCGACATTTGGTTCATTTGTCTCTTTAAGTAATCTACCCTCAGCTGTGTCTCATCCTGATCTCTGACTTTTGTCATTATGCTGGCTAATTCTATGTATGCAATCAACTTATTTTGCCACTCGTCTTTAGGGGAAATTGCTTGTTCTTTCCACTTTTCACGTGTAATAGTTAACTTTAAGCTCTCAAATCTAACAAGGAATGACGTCTCCAAGCTAAGCAAAAACTGAAGCTTTTAGCAATTCTTTGCTTTTTGCGCCAAATCGACATACCGTATTTTTCGCTCTATAAGATGCACCAGACCACAAGACGCACCTAGTTTTTGGAGGAGGAAACAAGAAAAAAAAAAATTCTGAATCTCAGAAGCCATAACAGCAAAATTGCTGCGCAGTGAAAGCAGCAATCCCTCTTGCTGTTCTGGCTTCTGGGATAGCTGCGCAGCCTGCATTCGTTCCATAAGACGCACATACATTTCCCCTTACCTTTTAGGAGGGAAAAAGTGAGTCTTATAGAGCAAAAAATACGGTAATTATGGTTATCTTTTAATACTTAAGAATGCAGTGCATAAAGCGTTCACTTTCACAGACAGGGAGCCGACGAGGGTTGGCAAGCCCTTATCAAGCCTGGCGTCGTGTCATCAGCACAGCATAATTCTGGGGCAAAATGACTGTAACAATCAAGAATTGTGAAGCGCCGTAGACAAAAAACCAACTTACCACACAGAGCCCACTACATTGATGAAGTTAAGTCCTGCAGAGTTTGCCATGACCTGGTTGGAGGAGGTTCCTGTAGTAACGGACGTTACCATGGTGGAAAGAGGAATGGTCATTACAGGCAGTGCCTGGCTCAGAGACATGTGCTGCTGAGCGAACGGGGAGAGCAAGGTGGGCTGAGGGGTGAAGCCTGAATCGTGGGGAGTAGGGGAGGCAGAATGGGTAATCAGAGTTGAGCTCTGAGCGTCAGAAGGGTGTGGGGTCGATGAAGGGGTGCTGGTTGGAGTAGGAGTAGATGGCTTAGGAGTTCCAGACCCTGCTCATTGAGAAAAATAAAAAGCACTAGTTTGTTATAAAAGGCCAGTCCTTTTGTAAAATAAGGTTCGCGGAATCTCACTTAGCTCTGATAGCTTGCTCCAGTTTAAAAAAAATAAATAAAAATCAATGAAACGCCAGGGTTAGTAATTGCTGTTAATTACAGGTGTACACAAACAATATCATTAGGCTTAATCCTGCAAATGAACACCAATGCTGTATTTCCCTATTAAATCGTTCTAACACTGACGATACACTTATGCAACTGCTATTAACGTTTTGAGAGCTACCTTTAAACAAAGCATTTTGCTTGCCAAAAATATAGGCATTCAACACATGTAATAGAACATCTGCGTCATAAAACAAAGAAAAACAGATCTGAACAAAAAACACAGACTATGATCAAACTGGGGCAGGGGGAACAGTACAAATAGTTATCGGTAACCAGCTTGCTTAATTTAGGCCTAATTTGCAAAGGAAGGAAGGAAGGAAGGAAGGAAGCATTGCTTGTGGCAGAAAACAAACACTTGTGTGTTTTAAAGCATAAATTTGGCATGATGACATCATATCAATGGAATGAAAACAAAAAACCAAAGCTCTTGAGGTGTTTTCGTTTTATGTTTTGTTTTTTTTAGCTTTCATGTCCTGCAGAAAGAAAGGAAAGAAATGTGAATGTCCAGAAGCTGTGAGCAAAGCCTTATTTACAGCAACAACTGTGTGCAACAGATTTATACAATTACTACTAGCAACATAAAAAGAAGGGAGAGGGTTGTGTGAATCAAACTGTTGGAAAATTGATCAAAGCTTCCTTACAGGTTTTCTTTGTGCAAAACAGGAAGGCAGAAAAATGACACCTTTTGAGCCACCCAGACAATTTTAGATTATGCCACACTCAAGCGACAGGACATTGTGCAGCAGTCTAAAGAACGGAGCAGGCAGCTATGAGCTATTCTTACCAATTCCCTCTTTCTCGCCTTACAAGCTACTGACTATCTATTGAGACATGTAACTATTTCAAAAGTAGGTAAAAATCCACAGCAATGCAGTGATTCTGTCCCAAAATTAAAACTTGGCTGCCACTCAACTGAGTAAACACTTAGCAAAATGGTGTTGCCTTGAAATTATTTTTACATTTTCATCATCAGCAATGATTTGTAAAACGATATAGGAGTGTTTTAAAAAATCAGTTTGTAGTTTATTGTATCACCACCTGGAGACTGATCATGTTATTTACATACACAGAGATACAACTGCACCGTATTTGACGACATTTAAGAAGTTTTAGCTGCTTAAAAAAAATATGCATATTTAAGGAGGCATTAAACGAGCTACTGTTTATACACTAGCAGAAAGGGCTGAACTTTGGGAGCTTCTACAGTCACATTAATTACCAGGCTGTGTCAAAGCGAGGGACCAATGCTTCTTGCATAAAACGGAATAGAACGTATACACAAACGGTGCATACATATATTTATACAGAGAAACAAGTACAGTTACAGCAAACAAAGTACATACAGTACATACAGCCTGCCTTAAGTGATGCAAACTTTATACACAATCTAGGGTACAATGGACATTTAGATTCTCCAATCAGCTGGTTAGGAAGTTTATAGCACGAGAAGCCTAGGAAGACTTAATGGACAATTTAGGGCGGGACTCACTTTGTGACGAGCTTGCAGGAGACATGGCGGTTGGAGAAAGCATGCTCAGTTGATTCAGATCCAGAGACTGCTTCCGAGACACACTGGGAGGCTTGGGAGGAGGAGGAGTTGGGGATTTTAGGTGGCTACTTGACTGCTGTGAACTAAAAATATTACCTGAAAAAGCACAAATAATCCATGTTACGTTCTGTGAACCAACACCAGAAGAGAGTTACTTTGTTCTCTAAAGTGTGCGCTTTAGGTGTGCAAAATAAGAAGTGCACAGCAACATCTGCCATTGCTACCTGCAGCAAAAGGTAACTTGAATCTACATATTGCAGGTGTGTAAATATCTTCACCCCCCTTCCTGTGCCAAAGTCTGAAGCATGAGGGACCCTCTACAAAACTGATGGTAATTGCAGCCAGACAGGTTATAACGAGTAACTGGAAAAATGCAGAAGAGCTAGGCGTGAACAAATGGAGGGGGAAATTGAAAAATATTATAAACTTAGAATAACTAACTGTGAAAATACAAAAAACGAAAGGGTTTAAGGTCAGTGAGGAGGACTGGTTTGAGAAAATACTGCATTATTTGGGCAGAAAATACTGCATTATTTGAACAATCTGGGGCAATTAAAATGTTAAAAGTTAAATAAACCTTGTGGAGGGAGGAGTGCTAAGGTATATAGAATTGTACATATGGTTGATTTGAATATGTTATTATTGATTATGTATACCCAATGTATCAGCCGCCTGGGGGTTCTCACTATTTGTGTTTTGGTTGTTGATTAAAAAATAAAAAATGAGGGACCCTCTAGGACAGGCTTCCTCGACCTCGGCCCTCCAGATGTTTTGAGACTACGATTCCCATCGTCCCTGACCACTGGTCCTGCTAGCTAGGGATCATGGGAGTTGTAGGCCAAAAACAGCTGGGGGGCCGAGGTAGAGGAAGCCTGCTCTAGGATGACACCTGTCAGAGACCAGGCTGAGGAGTACAGCTCTGATGAGGGATGGTGGGAGTCTACCTCTCCCCCCGCACAGGATCCTGAAGCTGCCCAGGAGCATAGCTGTCAACTTACAGATTTGAAAATAAGGGACCAGCAGCCTCGGAAATAAGGGATCAGCAGCCAAAATAAGGGATTTTCAGAGCACAATTATGTTCGACTTCTGAGCCCCTCCGAGCCAAAGGCAGAAAGGGAGGCCGGCAGGGAGGGAGGGAGAGGATCTGCTTCCTTTGAAACCCGGGAAATTTAAGGGACATCATCAATAAGGGACAGCAGCGGGACACAGCGCTGGGATAAGGGACTTTCCCGCCAAATAAGGGACGGTTGACAGCTATGCCCAGGAGCTGTGGAGCAGTATAGATTTGGAACAGTGATTTGCAGAGGGACATAGTTCTGAAAACAAAAGTTGGGAAGAACTGGGGGCAGATGAACAGCAAAGTGAAGAAGAACTGGGAGAGAGCTAACAGACACTCTCTCTCTCACTAGAAAGTGTCCAGCCTATCAGTCCAAGGTCACATACAGCAGATGAGGTGGCTGCACAAAAAGCATGATGGTTGCGAGATCACGTTGCAAGACACAAGTGAATAGGGGGGAAGTGGGTGGACACCTTAACTGGGAGCACCTTTTCTCTGAGATGGATTCTTTGTTCTTGAGCTGTGATCATTAAAATCTCTTTAAATGGTAAGAGACTAATTTTACTTTGTTCTGCTTATCCACGGCCAAAGGGAGGCAGGAAGCCGTTTTCTCAAAGCCTGACTACACCTCATTTCCCAGTGGAAGGGGTACCTGCCAGTCTATTCAGACTGCAGACTCTTCCCAATCAAAACTGCTGCCAAAGAGGGCATGACGGCGGTTTAAGACAAGGGGACTTTGTTCCTCGAGCAGATTTAGCCAGGTAGGTACCTTAATAAAAGCTGACGAGGTTGGCCGTTGCTACTGTATTGCAACAGCAAGTAAAAGGATGAGGAAGGCAAATTTATAAATGAATTTGGACACTGAGAAACAAAAAGAAAAGCAAAGCACAGCAGATTTACTCTCTCAAATATATGCAGTAATTGAAACAATTGAAACAAGCTGAAGCTAATGCAAATATATTTCACATCTGGCAACCAATGCACCATTTTGGTTTCAGATAGTACATGGGGAGATAAGTCTAAAAAGCCTAGGACACAAACTTTCACAGTTCTCTAGCGGCTATGGTGGCTCACTTACTAGAAATAAATATATTTAGAGTTAACTGTGGAAGAGTATATTTGATTCTGATCAAACTAAGTCTCATTGAGCAAAATATACATCAGGAGGCTTAGTTTGGTCAGAATCTAGTATACACCTCCAGAGTTAACACTAAACATATTGCTTCTGGCAAATGAGTCACCATAGCTGCTAGAGAGCCGTGAAAATTTGTGTCCTGGGCTTTTTAGACTTATTTACTCATGTACTATCTGAAAGCAAAGGGGAACACTGGTTGCCAGATGTGATGTTTTCTGCTCTCTTACCCTATTTTGTTTTTAATAAAAACAACAATTACCTGATGAGCTACTTCCTGAACTTGAAGGTAGTTTGATGGGAGGTGGGCGATGTTTCACACCTTTCCCCAGCACTGAAGACTGAATATAGCCCGAAACACTCTCAGGCTGCTAGAAGCAAAACAAAAAAACAACAACCCTTCTTACTAGATCTCAACCTTTTCTTCCAGCTTTCATTCTTTTTCGTTCTTCCCTTTCTCAATTTGACAGGAGAACGAACACCCGAGTTCCTAATTTTTGATTCTGCAAAACACCCGTCCCTAATTCACTGGTACCTCTATTTTAAGACTAGTTCCTGGCATTCCACCCGACTCTCCCAACATTCTGAAAATGTTTCAGACTGCTCAGGAAACAGAATGGGGCATTGGGTTATGCTGGCTGGGGCTGATTTGGTTCTATCACACAAATTACTGGGGTTGTACTTGAAGATGTAATTAAAAGGGGCCAAAATTTCACCAGTGAACAGATATAGCCCTATCCTCGTGGCTCTCGTGAATATCGGGAAAAGCAGAGTCTTAAGATAGAAGAAAGTGGATGGGGCAAAAGCCAAGCAGTTAAACAGTCCTAGGGGAAAAAAATGATTGTCCCTGCTTTGTAAAGTGAGATTAAATGGAATCCTATGGAATCACTGCATTTTTTAAAGAGTTACAAAGGTGTCATTTAATTCATTCATTAATAACTTACTTCCATTTCCTTCCCAGGAGAGAGCTGGCTTAGATGGACAGATCCACAGGAGTTGTGAAGCATTTTCACTGGGCATTTAGCTTCGTTTTGAACTAGCTCCTGGTATTGATTGACTACTCTGTAACGTAACATTAAGCAGAGGTCATTCATGAGATCACATAAGTACTAGGTGAAGGCGTCTCCAGAACCAAAACAATGCAGAGGCTTCTATATTCATGCATTTTCTCTATTCATTACTTCCAATCAACAAATTATGGAACTGAAGTAAAAGACCATACCGAAGACGCAACGATAATTAAAGTGACATGAGCAGATTTTACTCAATTTTTTCAAATTCTCCTGTTTTACAAATACAGTCTCATTTGGCACCCTCTTCTACCAAGCTCAATATTTATTCTGAGATGCAGATGGGGTTGGGATAGTACAAAAAGCAGCACAATGAGGAGGTATGTGCATAACGAATAAAGGCAACCAGGGGATGGATGAGCACGGTAACATGTAGAGGATGAAACTCTTCCATGAACACTGAAGGTTTTTAAAAAACAACAACACAGAATCACAGAACCATAGTTTGAAGGGACCACAGGGGTCATCTAGTCCAACCCCCTGCAATGCAGAAATCTTTTGCCCAACATGGGACTCAAACCCACCACCCTGAAGTTCAGAGATTCCTTTTGTTTCTAAACACCGTGCTGAAACCATTAAGAGCTAGAGAAAATAAAAGAGTTTGGATTATGTGCATGTTGTTTTTCCAAATTCTGTAAAAAATAAAATAAAAACCCTCAGGCTGTCATGCAGAAAATGACCAGCACTAACCACGGAAGCTAGTCTATTGATAACTATTGATCTAAAACCAGGATTAGAAAATGGTGGCCCTCCAGATGTTGCAAGACTACAACTCCCATCATCCCTGACCAATGCCCATGCTGAGGCTGACACGAGTTGGAGCCCTGCCACATTTGAAGGGCTGGCCTCATGGCACTGAGTTCATAGATTTCAGGAACAGAATTCATTCTGAAGAAGAGGACAAAGAAAACGGAGGGTCGCTATCAATCTGAAGACTACGGCAGGAGCAAGAGTCTCGCCATAGAGGTGGCGGTTAGTTGCAGGCATCTTCCACGTAGCTGATCTGGGAGCAGGAGAATAGCCGCTCAAAGCACACTGCTAAAGGGTGCAGACTGTTCAGGGATAAAAGCTTGCTTGTGAGCAAGGGTATACATTCAAGTATGAAAGGAGGATGGAACAGAAAACAAACATAGCTCGGAAAGCTGCCTAATAAGATTCTGCAGGAGAACTCAGTTCTTAGCAAAACAAGAAATATCTAAAGAGAGACAATAAATGACTAATGAAGTTAGCATTGCATAATTAAAGGAACAGCAGCCAGGTTCCATTACAGAAGTACGATTAGATGACAAATTGCCTTGCCTTATTAGAGGGATGAAATTTCGCCCTCCCCAGAATTGCAGTAACAAAAGGGTTTCAGTAATATGTAAGAAATATTTCAGCTACAGGACACAAAGAAGAGTGAAAGATGCTTTGGAGACTTTCACCTAGTACCACCAGGAGTCCTTTTGAAAATAAATAAATGTACATATACTGTTAGTATAAAAGTGTGAATAATGCCTATGGAAGTGTGAGCTGGAGGAAGCTGACTTTCTACCTCTTCCTCCCCTTGACTGGCCAATAAAAAGCTTATTTCTTTCCTAAGGGTCTCCTTCTGATATTTAGGGATTCCCCCTTCCCCCAGACCAAGCACGCTTTGCGAGCGGCTTTTCAGTGAGCAGGTAAGCAAGAGAGGGCCCCAAAGTCAGCTTCTGCCAGTCCCTTTCCATGGGATCTCCTTCCATGGATCCAGCCCAAAGTGTTCCAACAGCAAAGTTGGGAAATAAACTCGGAAAATGCAGGTCAGATGGACCAATGTTAATTCTAGCGCTAAGAAGCATGAATGGAAAATACTGAATCACAAAAATACTGATGAACCCCTTACCTTTCTGCCTCTGTCTTTGAGCCAATAAGAAAACTGTAGGGGACACAATACAGGAATTAAAGATTTGTTTAAGGCAAAAAGAAGAGTTGACATACATCTGATCAGTTGAGGTGGACACTATTATAAAGCCAGTGTGGACTAATGCTTAGAGTTTAATTAGAGCGTTGATTAGGACTGTAAACTTGGGGAACTATTTGTTGGGATTTCTGACTACGTGCAATTCTGTGCAGCTTCACACAGAGTCAATTAAGAGTTGGCCGACAGCCAAGATGACTGAGCAGAGAGGAGTTACCTGCCTGGAAATATGAAGGCCTGGAAACAGCTTCTCCATTGGTTAAGGTCTCACACAGGCATAATGATTTATGACCTTACTGACTGGAATGTTTGCTGTTGGTCAGTGTGGTATTCTGAGAGCCGTTTGGAGTTTGTTAAGAGAGTGCTAGTTAAGATCAGTGTATCTGTTCTTGTATATACAGTGGTACCTCAGGTTAAGTACTTAATTCGTTCCGGAGGTCCGTTCTTAACCTGAAACTGTTCTTAACCTGAAGCACCACTTTAGCTAATGGGGCCTCCTGCTGCCGCCGCACCGCCAGAGCACGATTTCTGTTCTTATCCTGAAGCAAAGTTCTTAACCTGAAGCACTATTTCTGGGTTAGCAGAGTCTGTAACCTGAAGCGTATCTAACCTGAAGCGTATGTAACCCGAGGTACCACTGTAGTAACTTGTAGAATCTGCTGTAAATAATAAACACCTATAAGTAACCAAGTTACTAGTAACAGCATTTGTTCCTGCTTCGTCCATCCTGTCTGCAACTGATTGCTTTCTGGAACTCTGTGTATGCTCTGTTAAGGTCTGGCTAAGGTCCTGCAACAGGTCAAAGTTGCAAAACACCAATACTATTCAACTAGATATTTGGGCTAGCACTAACACAATGGGACTTTGCCCCTTGCCCCCCTGCACACCCCCTACTACCCCCAAACCTATTCTGGAGGGTTGGGCAAACCCCAGAGCAGAATTAGGGGGAGCTCAGGGAGAGGAGAGGAGCAGAACATTCCACTGCACAGGAGAATTCCTTGCACTGGTGGAACATTCTGCATTCTACATTCAATACAGCACATTAATCCAAATTCCCACTCAGCCCTGAAGTTCGCACAGTGACCTTGGGGAAGTCACCATCTTTCAGCCAAACTTTTTCATGGCGGGTGGAGAGAGACAGAGAAGCATGTACATCGCCTTGAGCTCCTTGAGAACAGAAGCAATATAAATGGAATAAATAAAACGACTATTAGTCATTGCTGCAAATGGAAGCTTCTTTATATTCAGAAGCTGTGCATTTCAAAATATTAGATACTGGGAATGAACAACAGGGGAAGGTCTGTTGCCTTGAGGCTCAACTTGATTGTACCAGAGATTTTTGTCAGAACACTTTTGGAAAAGAATACTGGGCTGCAAGGTCTAACTCAGTATGGTTCTTATGCTGAAGGAGCTGGCTAGCTGTCTTCCCACACTAACCCTCATTTCTTCAATAACTCAAACAGTAACAGGTAAAATTTATTTTACTAAAAGACAAAGAAAAATAAAGAAATGCCATTTTCCATAAATCCACATAAATGTGTCCAAAATGATAAAATACGTGTTTTTCTCCAAAATTTAAGATGAAGGCCACTTACTGTGATGGAATTGTTGAACTCTCATTGTCTTCGTCATTTTTAATCATTTGTATTTTACCATAGTATAATGGATTTCCCAACGACTGAAAAATGGTCAGTTTTGTTTTCTGAAGGTGACTGCCAACTTCGCATTCGAAGACATAATCATCTTTTATTTCCTGTCAAAGAGAGAAATATTGATACAAGCAGACCATTTCAAAAGATCCCTCCAATTCACAGATTAAAAGGAGACAAACTGCTGGAGAGCTCTTGAGAGAAGAGGCAGGGTGTGCATTTTAAAATTTTGCTTCCAAGTTAATTCTAGAGGAAGAATAGAATCACAGAATTGTAGAGTTGGAAGGGACAACCCAAAGGTCATCTGGTCCAACCCCCAGCGATGCAAGAATCTCAACAAGCGGTCCCCCATCCAATGTGAAACCATCCTTGTCCCTGCTTAGCTTTGCAAATATGCTAGCAGTTTTATTGCTGCACCAGAGTATCAGTGCCTTTAGGCCTGTCTCCAAATGAGTTCCAAATGGGCCACTATTTGAGCAGTTTCAGGGAGCAGAGGAAAGCAGCTATGGTAATGAGCTGCAAGAGAACGCTTGCCAGGTGACATCCTTCTGGCCATGGTACAGCAATAGGTAACCAAACAAACCCCTGTGTTGCAAAGAGAACGTCAGCAATGTCTAGGCAACATGATGGCCATGTACACACGCAATAGGCAATCTTTATAGAATTCCTTCAAACCATAACAAGTACCCAGTTTGATTATCGATTTCAACGAATCTGCACCAACTTTGGGTATCACCACAATAATGTACTGAGGGAAAAACTACAAAAATGGGGGGGGGGGGAGATCTAACAACCTAACAACAAAAATATAGGATTCACGATATGGGCGGAAAGTCGTTATTTTTTCCACCCTGATTTTGAGAAGCTGCTGCAGACAGTCTAATGGTTTCAGTTTCTCATTCATTTCAATAGGGGCAAATCAAATCCCTGAGTTATACTGTATTTTAAAAAAATTGAGAAGGGATGGTGGTAGAAATGAAACAACACCGGGCAACTGACCACATAATTGATGAGAAGTACATGGAGTACACAAAGTGGTTTGAATTTGCTAAAAAATATATATCACATTTAAAACTGCTACCAATCCCACCGAGTTGGGAGGTCTAACTGATCAAACACCCTAATTCAGAGGCAGTTGCTTCTGAGGCTCAGTGTGAGACATGGCTCACATGTCTCACATTGAGTCTTCTCACAGAGAAGACTACAGATCTATGTCGGTTTTAGTTGCACAATCAACAGCAGCAGCAGTTACCTCTCAATGCCATGTAACTGCACTCCTGAAAAAGTCACAAGACCCATTTCCCCGTATTTCCTAATAACAATTTGAAACGATTCCTAGAGCCTTCCCTTACTCACCTAAACACATTCAAGTACTGATTGTTCTCTGTGTTCCTATCTTTTGGAACACGAAGTCTCTTAATTATCGAAAAGGTTAGCAAGCAATCTACTATTACTCACATGAGCGGGCCAGACACTGGGTTGTGAGTCATCAGGTTTGATAGATTTTTCCACTTTGGCGTATTTTTCCACCTTCAGAAACAGTTAAGAGATCAGTAAATTAAAATGAGAGCAGATTAAAGATGTGGATGAGGAGCGTAAATGTCCTTATAATTGAAAAAAGAATTATAATCATACTGATGGGTTCAGAGAGTGAAGGCAAGACAATCTTAACGAGGGTTTATTGAGTTGTGATGATCCTTACAAGTGGGAGAAAAAGAATTCCCAGAACAGGCATGGTTATAAACCTCACGTTTTCAGTCCAGTTTGTATCTTGACAGATCCCACCCTCTTCAAATATAATACATCCTTTAAATAATGGCTCTTACACGTTCACTTATTTTAACAGGCCTTACAAAAACGGTGTAATTAATCTGATTTCAAATCTAGAAGTTCTGTCTTCTTTTCAGAAGAGAATGAAAAAGAGCAACATCCAACCAGCAGCTATGCTAAACAGAGGTAGTGCTGAACTTGTTCTGCTAGTAGGCCAGCTTATATAAGCAGAACTTCTTGAACAAGATGTTTCAGAAGCTGAGAGATTACATTGGCATGTACAGATCTGTATGTACAAGCTCCTGGGCCAGAGCTCCATCAGAAGACTGACAGCTTTGGATACAATCCTATGAATGACAAATTTTACTCATCTCGGAATGTTCCAGAAATCTATGCACTTACATCCACTTCAGATGGCGCCGTCAAATAGCAAGGATTCTGTTTCCACATATCCACACACTGGAAAAAAGGAAACCAAATATTTAAATGAACAATAGTTATCGGAGTAAGTAAGATTATCTAATTATCTAATGTGATGTCTTTTAAAAACATGCATACATTTCCAGCTTTGGAAATTTTGAGGTCGTACTGCTGGGCTCCCTTCTTTTCCTTTCTTTTCTGCAAATAATCAAACAACCGGAGCTGCGGTGGTGTTGTACAGTGAGACACCTCCTGCTGCCGATTCAGAGATGACCTGGAGTATCTCTTGAAGCACCTGTAAAATATTGAAAATATTAACGGAAAGAATACAGGCAGTTGGAAAATTTTCATACCAGCTTGCTAGAGTGGCCAGGCATCCTCTTTCATAGCAGATAATCCAGCATGAAAGGCACTGTGCGGATAGGTACCTAATTTACTGTGTGTCCGATACCAGATATACAGGAAAGGGATACCAGTTCTCAAGAGACATTATGGCCAGTGAGCTGTCAATATTTCTCTTTTCACTAGTTAATCCAGTGTCAACCCAATGGCTTGACTGCACTGCCAGCCTGCTGAGCTGAAGCCTGAAATGCTTCTGAGACATTATGGTATGTGATGGAAGACTGCCATTTCTTTCAATGGACATTGTATGCGGAAAGAGGACTGCCCATATAGGCCCTAAAACAGTAGTCACTATTTTTGTGTGTAACTTCTCTGGAAATGGAAACGGGAAGTCACTTCTCAGGGGCAATTTTCCAGCGGCAAATGAGGTTTCAATTTCTGTCATGGCAACAGGCCACCGGCTGAGCTTGGGCTGAATAATTATTATTTACTAATAATCATCCATACAGATGTCTCTAGGCGAAGTACAACAGATAATGAACTAAGGAAGAAAGGCCATGTCTACACTCTGGTCACATCACCTCACAGAAGAAACCTCTCAGCTGAGGGGTTGAATAAGGGGTTGAATTTATTTTAGTGGGGTGTAATAGGGACCCCTGACCATTAGGTCCAGTTGTGCCGTCTCTGGGGTTGCGCCACTCAACTCGCTTTATGGCTGAGGGAGCCGGCGTACAGCTTCCGGATTAGTGGCCAGCATGACTAAGCCGCTTCTGGCGAACCAGAGCAGCGCACGGAAACACCGATTACCTTCCCGCCTATTTACAGTGGTGCCTCGCAAGACGAAATTAATCCGTTCCGCGAGTGTCTTCGTCTAGCGGTTTTTTCGTCTTGCGAAGCAACCCTATTAGCGGCTTAACGGATTAGCGCTATTAGCGGTTTAGCGGCTATTAAAGGCTTATCGGCTTAGCGGATTAGCTGCTAAAAGGCTATTAAAGGCTTAGCGGCTTAGATAAAGGGGGGGAAAACGAAAAAAAAATCTCAAGACTCGCAAGACATTTTCGTCTTGCGAAGCAAGCCCATAGGGAAATTCGTCCTGCGAAGCAACTCAAAAACGGAAAACCATTTCGTCTAGCGGGTTTTCCGTCTTGCGAGGCATTCGTCTTGCGGGGCACCACTGTATCTACTTGCACTTTGACATGCTTTCGAACTGCTAGGTGGGCAGGAGCAGGGACTGAGCAACAGGAGCTCACCCCGTTGCAGGGATTTGAACTGCCGACCTTCTGATCGGCAAGTCCTAGGCTCTGTGGTTTAACCCACAGTGCCACCCGCGTCCCTTAGGTTGCCTACCCATACTCTAAAGCTTGCATTCACTCAAAGAGCTATCCAATGATGCAATTCCAGGGACTGGTGAGTGATTCTTTTTTTAAATGATCACTGTTCATCACATATGTGTTCTGCTCCAAACAAAATGTTAAGGGTGTTTGTTCTGGGAGAAATTTCTACAGACATTCCAGGTCTTTGAACAGATTTTTAAGATCAACTAAAATGTTCTTCGAAACTTAACAACAAATAACTTTCCCCCGTTAAAGCAGCCTATTCCGTTCAACCAGACTTTATAAATCAAGGACCAGTAGATTATGACTTTCCGATACCTTTTCATTGGGCGAGTATTCATCTTCTGCTTGTTATAATGAAGTCTGTTCGCTGTGCAAGTTACTGCAATTGAAGGATCCAGACACAGAGGTTCTGCTGTAGCCAGTATCAGTTGGCTTTCTAGCAGGAGTTTGTCTTCCTATAATACAGAGAGTGTTCTAAAACTGCAGTAAAGACTGCAATCCTATACACATTTACTTGGGAGTAAGTCCCATTTAACTCAATAGGACTTATTTTCAAGTACACAGCAGGCAACTTCTGTGCCAGCTTTTGAACGCTTGCTGAACACCCTGCAACTAAAGTACGTCTTTCCACAATGGTTAATTGATGCCTGTTTTTAACCTTTTTATATGGCGTTTACGGTACAGTTTTATGTTTTATTGTGGCAAACCATTTCAACAGATAAATATTTTTTTAAAATAAATAAGCATGCATAGGACTGGCTGCACGTTACAAATATTTTAAACAGTATTTGTAAATATTTGAACAGAATTTTTGGCATTAACATACATGATAGTTGAGTGTATGCACAGTGTGAAACAGCTGTTCTCGACTTGTAATCTAAGCGATTATTATACTTTCATATCGCAGGGACTTAAGATTGTGTTTGAGAGAGGGGACCAGCAAACACAATTGCCCAAAAATCTGACATCGCTCTCCTCTCTTCAGAACTACTATGATTCTTGCCAAAGTTTCAATAATCTAAACCGAAATTTCTATTAACAGAATCTTCGGAAGATTCCCAATTTGAAATTGCACATGTGAGCATCACTTAAAAATCAGAGCATGCACACAAGCCCCTTTCTGCCATCCATCATCTCAATGGGACCTTAGGGTGGAGCGTGGGTAACAATAATTACAGATGGGGGTCAGGTGGAATTCTACTTGGGCAACAAGGCTTTTCAGCCTCCTCTTTCCTGCTGCAGCCCCTTATGGGCAACCCCCAAAGCTGCCCGGAAGGTCAGCTCCTGCCCCCCTCCCATGGCACGGGATGTGTTAAGAGGATCTTGAACTCCCACAATACAAACAGATCTTGCAGAAGAAATGTTCTGGATTCTGCCTAATATTGATATTAATAAACAGAATCATACAAAATAGGTCTAGTCCTCCGACTCACTATGACATATTCTCACTGAAGTGGCAAACTGCAGGGTCGGGTCTTGAGCAAATGTTCCTTCATACAAAACATTTCCAGCACAAAGAATATTATTTCCAGCACAAAGAACATGTCAGGGAAGACTCTAAACTAGCCTTTTCTCCAACATGCTTGCTTTCCAATCTTATCTGGAAGGGTTTTAAATATCTATCTATCTATCTATCTATCTATCTATCTATGGCACTGAATTAAATCACTTGAGACCTCTAGCAGAGCCCAGACATAACCTTGCCACTTCACTGAAACCTAGGCCTATCCATCTCCTAGTAGACCTTTATGCCACTGAACAAGATGGCCTTTCCTGGGGTTGGAAGACCATACTGCACCAGAAATTATCATCACAATATACCATAATACTAGGAAACTACCACACTAGTGAAACCAACTCCTTTAGCTGCCACGTTTGTTACCTGCGTCCATTTGTGGTTGTCGCTTGTAATGGAATGCACATCACAAATCAAGGTCTAGAAAAATGAGGCAAACCTTTCATTACTTGTGAAGTACAGGATTTCTAAATACGATGCATCAGTATTGTTTTTTTAAAAAATTAAGAGCAACACCAACGCTGAAATACACGAGTTGTTTACCTGCATTGTTGGGCGCAGAAGTATGTACTTGCTTTGGTATGTTGGAGATTTGAGATTACCAGATTGTCTATAGTCACGTATTTCTGTTATGACGCAGCCACAATGGAAAATATTTATCTGTTTAAAAGCAAACAAAAATGTACGTATCAGCAACAGAACTTTATTTATGTATGCTACAACAGCAGCAAGAATACTTATTGCAAAGCATTGGAAGGCACAAGATCTACCCACACTGGAGGAATGGCGGATGAAAATGATGGACTACATGGAATTGGCGGAAATGACTGGCAGAATCCGAGACCAGGGAGAAGAGTCGGTGGAAGAAGATTGGAAGAAATTTAAAGACTACTTACAGAAATATTGTAAAATTAATGAATGTTAGAATGATGTCGGATTGAAGTTAAGTGGTTTCTAGCTGTAATGGTATAAAAGAATATGGAAAAATTGGTTTTTTAATATGTAAAAATTTAATGTTATAATATATCAAGATTAAAGATCAGGATTAAAAAGGAGGGAAAGGAATTGCTGGACTAACAAATTGAATTGGAATACAAAAGAGGGTGGTATGAGGAGGTCCGGGAAACAAGTAAATGTAAGAGAAGTGATGAAAAGATGGAATTGTTTTTAACTGTTTTTTCTTTTTTATTTTGTATTTTGTACTTTTCCTTTTTATTGTTATTTTTCTTATCAATGTAATCTTCTTTTTTTGAAATTTTAATAAATATCATTTTAAAAAAAAATGTACGTATCAGCATTTCCATATATTTATACCCAGAACTAAACAGATCTTTAGATCTCTGGGAATACTTCATCTCTCTTTTTCTAAACTCTATTTATAATATTATTATTATTATTATTATTATTATTATTATTATTAAACTTAACAAGGACAATAACCAAATTCTGTAAAAACTGGTGCTTGTTCTTAAGGGTTAGAAATATTTTTCAAGCGTTGCTCATAAGTTTTGAAATTTTTAATTTTATACTAGTGCTCAGTTTAGACATTATGCCAAACTGTGGTTTGTTGTAACCATAGTTTTAGAACCCAAATTGTAGTTTGGTCTCCAGACAGGATAGCGAATTTGGTCAGTTAGTTGAACATATACTCCTTCTTCTTTGGCGATCCCTCGTAGCTGAGTAAGATTGCCTTCTATAAACATGGTTTTAACAATGAGTCCATAAGTGACTGTGGAGGCCAATTCTGGATCCACACGTCCTTCCACAGTGGGGACATTGGTTTCCGGGCGGGAGTTGATCACTGTGTGGATTTGTCAAGCATGCCTTCCTCTTAGTACGTTTCTCCCTTGCGTCCTGAGTTTGAGTGTCTTCAAAGTCCATGACACCTTTGGGAAAGGCTGTTTTCCAATTGGAGCGCTCGCAGGCCAGTGTTTCCCAGTTGTTGGGGTTTATTATTTTCCCAGTTGTTGGGGTATTATCATTTTTAAAGATTTGCTTTGAGAGAGTCTTTAAACCTCTTCTGTTGACCACCAGCATTACGCTTTCCATTTTTAAGTTCAGAATAGAGTAGTTGCTTTGCAAGACGATAATCAGGCATCCGCACAACATGACCAGTCCAACAAAGTTGATGTTGAAGAATCACTGCTTCAGCACTGAATTTGGTCAGTTAGTTGAACATATACTATATACAGCAGGAATGGGGAACCCTTGGTCCTCCAAAGGCTGCTGAATCACAGCTCCTAGCAGCCTCAGCAAGCATGGCAAGACAAGTTCTGGTTCAGCCACATTGATAGACACCCCCCCACACACACACATACTGTTACTGCTACTTCCACTACCCCTCAACCACTAAAACAAAACCAGAAACACCATTTCAAAGTCTTTCAAACCTGTGATTTCTCCAGGAGATCAACTAAAATAGGAGGCAGCTCTTCTGCATCCAAATATTCAAGCAATTCTCCCTCTTCATAAGGAAGCCGAATGGTTTCTGAATCTGCGTTAAAACCAAAGAATGCATTTGACTACGAATATGCGTGTGAACTATTTGCTTTTACAATTATTCCTTTCTGGCAAAAAGGGGAAAAAATTAACTTACAAAATGGTGATTCTGATACGTAACAAGCTACCTCACACTGAGGAAAGGCTGGTTAAAAATGTTTTAAATGAATAGATGATCTAGAACAGGGGTGGCCGACCTTCATTCTAGTCAAGGCCACACTGTCAACTCTCATGGGGAGGGCATGTCAAAGTGGGCACAGCCAAAATGTTTAAAAGTAGACGCGGCCAGAAAAGGTAAAGGGCATATTTTTAACAGTCTTGGGGACAGTGGTCACAAAAATACTTTTGGCGTCACAACAGGTGTGATCAATACAATTTAATATACAGTGGTGCCTTGCAAGACGAAATTAATTCGTTCTGCGAGTTTTTTCGTCTTGCGAATTTTTCGTCTTGCGAAGCACTGTTTCCCATAGGAATGCATTGAAAATCCAAAAGGAAACAAACTTGCAAGACGTTTTCGTCTTGCGAAGCAAGCCCATAGGGAAATTCGTCTTGTGAAGCAACTCAAAAAACGAAAAACTCTTTTGTCTTGCGAGTTTTTCGTCTTGCGAGGCATTCGTCTTGCAAGGTACCTCTGTATGGATACAAGGGAGCAGTCAGTAATTTTTAAAAAGGATACGTTTCAGAAAGGCCTTGGAGTACTGTACATTGTGGCAGTGGAGGATCCCAAGGAGCAGTCTGTCTGTCTGTCTATCTATCTATCTATCTATCAAAAAATTCTTTTTTCCCAATGACAACTTTGAGGGCATGGTGAGAAAAAACTCAAGGTGGTGGTGAGGAAAAAATCTGGGGATAGGGGCACACTGGTTAGCCACCCCAATCAAGAGAAAGACAGCCATGGTCTTTCTTCTACTAAGTAAAAGAAAATCCAGTAGCTGGAAGAATTCAAACAAATACACAGAGTCCAGAAGATCATATCAGGCTTTAAACAGATTTATTCTCAGCTAAAGACAGGAATAGCACAAAAGAGTTTTTAATAAAACCAGCAACTTGAAGCACTGTTTATTTTAAGGCACAATCAGGAGGTTAACAGCCATTTAGTGTTAACTTTACCTGACCCATTCTTCCCTCTCAGCATCAGCGAATAACCTTCGTTTCCTGGATAGAGGTTCACTACTAGGCATGACAATGTCTCTTGCAAAACCAGCTTCTCCAACAAGTTCACATTTCGCCTCAGCTTCTGTTTCAGAATGGGTGACACTCATGAAAACAACGCATCCAGGAGCTAACACTGTTTACTAACAACATGAAACAATGAACACGGAAACGGGCAGCTATTCACTATAATTACCTTACTAAGTCTACCTCGGTTTCATAAGTACCGTATTTTTCGCCCCATAGGGCGCACCTAGTTTTTTTTTGAGGGGGGGGGAGAAATAAAGAAAAAAAAATTATTTCCCCCCACAGGCGCGGGGTTGGGGAAGCCCGAGCTTCCCCCGACCCCAGTCCCCAGAACAGGCAGCTCTACGCAAGCCGTGGGAGCCCGGCGGGAAGTTGCGCCGGTCTCCCATGGCTTGTGGAGAGCTGCCCGAAGCACTCCGCTGCGCTCCCCGGGCTTCGGGCAGCAGGCTGTTATCCGCAAGCCTAGGGAGCCCTGCGGGAACTCCCGCGGGCTCCCCAGGCTTGAGGATAGCTTCCTGAAGCCTGGAGAGCGAGAGGCTTGTGAAAACCTGCATCCGCCCCATAGGACGCACACACATTTCCCCTTCATTTTTGGAGGGGAAAAAGTGCATCCTATAGAGTGAAAAATACGGTAACATTTCATTCTATGTGCTGAAGAACTAATGGTTGCAGGTAAATAAACAAAAAGGGAAGGGCTTGATCTTTTGGAACATTCTTGAGAAATGCCTAGGGACAAATTATTCACTCTGCTCTCCTGGTGAAGGTAGAGCCAAGAATAGGAGACTTCTCTCCCAAAAGGACAATTTCACCCGCTACTACACTCGTCCTGCCTTCAACCATTCCTATCCACTCCACTTCCCAATAACAAATAATTATGTTTACTGCATCTATTACATGTATATCCTCGCCTCTCTTCCACAGAACTCAAGGCAGTGCCCCCTCGGCTTATTTTTATTCAACAAAGTTGTTGCACCTTCATTCACGTGAAGGTTTTAAGAACTGCTTTGAATCTCTCAAAATAATTTAACACCGCCACTTTCCTGAGTTAATAAAACCATCCACTAAGAAAATGAGGCTTTAGCGTGCGTTTGCTGCAATGCATTTTCATAGAATGTTGCCCTGTCCAGAACTACAATCTCTTGATCGCTTCCCAAAAGTGTGTCTCCATTTCCTTCTTGTTAGTCACCCTTGAACTGCTCCTGCTGAAAAATAAGGGCTGTGGGGTTTTAGATCATCCCTCACAAAGAGGGCTTTCCTCATCACCTTGTATAAGTGGGATGGGGAACCTCTGGTCCTACAACTCCCAACATCTCTGACCATATGCTATGCAGGCTGGGGCTGCTTGGGAGTTCAACAGTTTCCAAACTCAATTCTATAAGGAAGGAGTTGTTTAGCATTGCTCAAGTTCTACCTGCCAACAAATCTGTAGGAAGACCTACATGGCAGGAGCGGTCCTAATCTCACCCAGACATTGTTATCTGCTCTACTCTCAGATCAGATCTAGGAAATAAGTGCTCTTTGCTGTACCACCAAAGCCATGACGGCCAGAACCACCATGCGCCCTTCAATCTAGTAACCTGCCTTTGGGAAGAACTATGTGGAGAAGCACACGTTCTGGCTAGACTCTTATTGCTTTTGGATTTTACTTTCAGGGAGCTTTTTTATTTTTAGAAAGCAGTATAGAAATATAAATTAATTACACAAAATGAAAGCGGGGCTTATCAGAGCTCTAGTGCAGACCACCAGCAAGACAGTAATGGAGCGAGTGCTTGGCAAATAAGTCCCACTTACCTTTATTTCAGGCTCTTTATCGCATTCTTCCAGATACAGTTCATATAATTTTTGAAACACAGATTTTCTAAAATTGTGAAGAGGAAACACAATTCAGTAACCATTTTGTCTGTTGAAGTAAACAAGAGGCACTAAATAATTCTTACCTCCCACTGGATAAATATTTTCGTTTGGGAGGCCTCTGGCGTGCACTTTCAATGATATACTGAAAAAAACAAACCCCACACAAATAAGTTTAGTGGTACATAGATATGCAAACTGCTTTAGGGGATTTAGGAGTGTGTATGTTTACATTAAATTATGTTTACATTAAATTAAACAAAAAATGAGTGATAAATCTCTTTCTCTCCTATTACATTTTCAGTTTATGAAATTTATTTTCTGTACAGTGTTCTGAATAACTGGGGAAACTTTGATACAATGCAGATGATTATTAAATGTAACATTAAATATGTGTGCAATTCATACAATCTACTACTTACCTCAGCACGATCCAGTGCAAGTTCTAAAGCTTGCTGCTGTAAAATGATAAAAAGATCTTTCTTAGAAAGCATATGTTAATATAGATTCTTATACTATATCATCCGATATAAAATAGTATCCAGTGTTAGAAACGCTAGGCACCAAATGGATCCTTAAACCAGGGTTAGTCGCCAAAGCGGAATGCCTAGTTGCCATTTTGGGGGGAAATGGCTCTAAAACCATATTTTTCAATATAACTTTTTGGTTCCTGAAATTCATTCTGATTGTGCAGATAAAATAGAACTGACAGAATTCTACAGGATGGGGTATTAGTGTGTGAAAACAATCAATAATCAATGATCCCCAGGCATGCCCTTCCAGATAGTGGAGATGCCAGATGCCATTCTGACACCTGGGCATCTTCACTTGGTCACAAGGGGTCAATATTCAGGTGTAAAATGCACCTGGCCCCTGGCTAATTTCGAACACCGATAGTATCATATAATATTTATTAATTCTATCATTTTTTCACCAGATAAAGTGTTCTGACCAATTATTACAAATACCTTATTTAATAGTGTAGTTAAGGTAAAGGTAAATGGACCCCTGACCATTAGGCCCAGTCGTGACCGACTCTGGGATTGCGGCACTCATCTCGCTTTATTGGCCGAGGGAGACGTCGTCCAGCTTCCGGGTCATGTGGCCAGCATGACTAAGCTGCTTCTGGCGAACCAGAGCAGCGCACGGAAAGGCCGTTTACCTTCCCGCCGGAGCGGCACCTATTTATCTACTTGCACTTTAAGGTGCTTTTGAACTGCTAGGTTGGCAGGAGCAGGGACCGAGCGATGGGAGCTCACCCCGTCACGGGGATTTGAACCGCCGACCTTCCGATCGGCAAGTCCTAGGCTCCGTGGTTTAACCCACAGCGCCACCCGCGTCCCATTAGTGTAGTTACCTAGAAGCAAATCTCATGAAAATTAATCAGACTTCTGAGTAAATATAATTAGGACTTGAGTGCAAGCAATAACAATCATCAAGTCACAGACAATTAAGACAATATTTGAGACAAGCACAAGTTTGCTTACATTGTGGTTTTTGACAGCAGCAGCTACCTCAAAGCAGATGTATAACTGGCAATGCCTACACTATAGTCTGATGCAGACATATGATTAAGAGACCATGAGCAAGCTGTTCTCTCCCACCTTGACAGCAAATTCTCCAGTTTTTCCTTTAGCAGTTAAGCATGTCAGAACTGTTGTTAAATATGGCTGAACAAGACTTGTTAAACTATGTTTTGAAATTAGGGTTTCAAGACAGAACTAACGCTAATTTCAAATCAGGGTTAAACAGGAAGCCTGGGTATCCTAATCCACAATTAACATTGGTATTAACATTAATGCTTAATCACAATTAAGAATTCACTTCCTAGACAGGAGAACTTGGAAGAAAGGACCATATGGTTTTTTAAATTATAGTAAGATACACAACTGCATGTGCTCCATAAAGCTTGTTAGTACAAGATAAAGAAAATAATCTTAAACTATATTCACAAAAATGGAGATAGTTGTATTAATAACCTCAGGCAATAGTGGAAAAGTTGGTGATGAAATGGGCTGTTCTTGGCTTTTCATCACTTGTCACTAACTAGTAGGACTTAAAAGTAGCTTTCCATCAGATTTGCATCTTGCTTTTTATTTCATCCATCCAAGACTATACTCTATTAGTATAGTGACTGACAGAGGCAAACAGACATGTCAATAGCACTCACACATATCCTGCTATACAGGCAACGGCCATTTTACGCTTGTCCAAAATGTGTGCAATGCATATGTGCATTGGTCTGAATCCAAGAGACCCCAAAAGTCACAAAAAGGGGAAGAACAGGGCAGTGTGGTTGAAGCACATGGAAGTCCAGAACGTAACCAAAATGGGTCACTGCCTGTATGATCTACTGCACAACAATCAGCAAATAACCCTTTCATGCCATCTTGCTTGCAAGTGTTCACTAGAAAAGAGAGGAGCCTCAAGAAAGATCTTAAGAAAGGTTGCTGCTGCACATCTGGCTCCTCTGTTCACTATCCACATTTCACTATCATCCTGAAAAGCCCTGAACTGGTTAGCATGTAGCATTCTTGGTCTAATACACGGTGGTTTAATTTGACCAAGGTCTGAAGACGCCTTATAGCACAATGTTTTGAATCTAATTACAAATAATAAAAAGAGAAGATACAGTTAATTTATTCTCCCCTGTCCCAAGCACACATTTCAGAAACCAGAATCTGACAGCAGAAGAGAGAAAAATCTTACCATCATGACTGGAGCCCAATGACAACAACCAAAAATGATGTTTTTGGAGTTGGGCACAGAAGAGCACTGTCAGTTTCCTGTGTCCATGTTTAAGGCACTCTAGAATTGGTGAGAGAAGAGGAAAAGCACTTTTTGCAAAAATAGATAAGGCGTTCTATTTAAATTCTATGTACTTGTCAAAAATAGGAAAATAAAATCTAAATGGAGGTTGAAGAGGGATTGACTGAGATAGGACTCTAGGGTTTCCCTGCACAAACACACTGGTCATTGAGGCGGCTTACTGATGAAAAAGAAGATGTAGCTAAAGATGTAGGTGCAAATAATAGACTTCTCAAACTTGGGTCTCCAGCAACTGTTGCTGGACTACAACTCCCATCAATCCTTGAGGGGCAGTGTTTCAATACTAGTAGGAAAATGAGAGTACAGTGGTACCTTGGGTTAAGAACTTAATTAGTTCCAGAGGTCTGTTCTTAACCTGAAACTGTTCTTAACCTAAGGTACCACTTTAGCTAATGGGGCCTCCCGCTGCCGTGCGATTTCTGTTCTCATCCTGAAGCAAAGTTCTTAACCCGAGGTACTATTTCTGGGTTAGTGGAGTCTATAACCTGAAGCGTATGTAACCTGAAGCGTCTGTAACCCGAGGTACCACTGTACCCCAAAACATTTTTTTAGGGGGGAAAAAGCACTGATATTAAGTATACCTGCATTTCATTTAATTAGATCAGTGTTTCCCAAGCATGGGTCTCCAGCTGCTTTTCGACTACAACTCCCATCATCCCTAGCTATCAGGACCAGTGATGATGGGAGATGTAGACCAACAAGAGCTGGAGCCCCAAGCTTGAGAAACAAATGCGCACTATGTAACGACGAAAGCAATGACAAACCTAGACAGCATCTTAAAAAGCAGAGACATCACCTTGCCAACAAAGGTCCGTATAGTTAAAGCTATGGTTTTCCCAGTAGTGATGTATGGAAGGGAGAGCTGGACCATAAAGAAGGCTGATTGCCGAAGAATTTATGCTTTTGAATTATGGTGCTGGAAGAGACTCTTGAGAGTCCCATGGACTGCAAGAAGATCAAACCTCTCCATTCTGAAGGAAATCAGCCCTGAGTGCTCACTGGAAGGACAGATCCTGAAGCTGAGGCTCCAATGCTTTGGCCACCTCATGAGAAGAGAAGACTCCCTGGAAAAGACCCTGATGTTGGGAAAGATGGAGGGCACAAGAAGAAAGGGAAGACAGAGGACGAGGTGGTTGGACAGTGTTCTCGAAACTACAAACATGAGTCTGACCAAACTGCTGGAGGCAGTGGAAGACAGGAGTGCCTGGCGTGCTCTGGCCCATGGGGTCACGAAGAGGCGGACATGACTAAACGACTAAACAACAACAACAACAGGAAAATGAGAATATCCCCAAACTTTTTTTTTTTTTAGGAAAAAAACACTGATATTAAGTATACCTGCATTTCATTTAATTAGATCAGTGTTTCCTAAGCTTGGATATCCAGCTGCTTTTGGACTACAACTCCCACCATCCCTAGCTAGCAGGACCAGTGGCGGGAGATGTAGTCCAACAACAGCTGGAGCCCTAAGCTTGAGAAACAAATGCGCACTATGTAACGACGAGGGGAATGGCCACCTATCGTCGAGGGAGCCTCCGGAGCTTCACAATTCCGTGCAAATAACCCCTCCAGAAATGTTCGGGGGGGGGAGGAGAAGAATAAAGAAACAGAAGAGGAAGAAGCAGAGGAAGGAGACCTTATCCCACCCCCATCCTCGATGCAGGGGACACAGGTGTGTGGGGTGGGGGCTACCTATGCTTTGCTGCCCCACCCCACCCCCAGCACGACCCCTCGCTCAGCAACCCCTTTCCTTTACATCCCCCCCCCCCAAAGGCGAACGGGAGACCTACCCGCCTCCGCCTCTGTCCGAGCGGCGCTTCCATCGCCCACTTCCGCCGTAAGTGCTTCCGGGGCCCTTGAGAAAGAGAGACCCGCGCAGGCGCGCTGGGGTGCAGCGGACGCTCGCGGTTGCCACGGAAACGCGGGAAGCGGCCGAGCGCTGCTGCTGCTTGTTGTTGTTGTCGCCGGGAGCTCGTTCAGTTCCAAAGGCCCAGCTTCCATAGACACGTGGCAATCACACGGAGAACCAATTTCAATAAAAATCTTAATTCCCCCCTCCCGCCTGCCCACCCATGTCAAAGAGAACAGCGCATTATCATTACCCTTGGAGGCATCAATGTAAATAATCTCATTTATAGGAGGAGATTGTCCTCAGCATCACTTGATGCTCTTGCTCTCATTTTGAAAAGATTAAAAAATAGATATATTTCGATAGGATACTATGCTGCGCTGCACTGAAATGTTTAAATGTTTCCTTTATTGGCCTTGAATCTTCCCGCCATACTTCCCATCCTTTCCTGCAACACGAACATGGCACCTTTGAGAACCACTGCCCTAACCACTGCCTCATAAGAGAGGAGTTCCATTATCTTCCTTACTTGGCTCTTATTTTGTGCCAATAAAGAAAACAATAAGGCATTTAAAAGCTCAACACAGAGGCATTCAAGTCACTGCACCATGAGGTTTCTTCCATAATAATGTTTGCCTCCCTATCTTCAATCAGGTTATCCCATAAAGTCAATTTATCATTGTAGAGTTGCCATATTTCAATAAGTAAAAACCAGGACACCCCAAATGAGCCTTTTTTTTAAGGAAGACTCCATTTTTATTTTTTACAAAAACGCCCCCAAACCCACATTTTTTTGATTGACTTGCCCAATATCCAGGACAAAGATCCAGGACAAATTACGGAAATCCCCCCTGGACGTCAAGTACATCAAATCCTCATTGATGGTGTGCTCAACCACCAGCTGACTAGTTTGACAAGTTATTGTTCTCCCCACTAGATGTCAGGATTGCATTTTGGTTTGTTCTAATTAATACAAATTTTGTAGGGGATAGTCTTTCACTTGGGACAGAAGGACATGAATCATGCCTCTAGTTCATCTACTTCACTGTCTATCCCTGTGCTGAATGCCAGCAGCTCCCAAGGGTTTCATGCAGGTGTTTTCTCCACCCTTCTGTAACACATTGTTCATGAAATCAGCTGTAAAAGAGCACCACAGCTGAACAATAAAAGCCACCTGAAACAGATTTCTTGAAAGTTTGGAGTTTTGCTGGGCTTCTAGATGTTAAGGGTTTGTTTGTTTTTTCCAGAGACATGGGGCCACCACAGAAGCCCCCTAGCTTTTGCTCTTTCCGATCTCCCTTATTTAGCAGGAGGGCAATAAAGAAAGGCCTCAGGCGTAGCTCTATGTTGCAGATTTTAGAGGGTGGACAGGACTATATGGGTATAGTCCTTTAAATAGCCCAAATCATGTAGGGTTTTGAAAGCACCTTAAATAGGGTCCGGAAGTGCTCTAGAAACCAGTGTAGTAGATGTTACAGTAACAGTACTATATCAGACCCTCCAAGTGTCCCTATTTTCCAGGACCATCCCTGATTTTAGAGGAGCCGTCCCAGTTTCTGATTTGATCCTGGAATGTCCCGCTTTTCCTTAAGATGTCCCTATTTTCTTTGGAGAAATGTTGGAGGGTATGGAGTTATCTAACCCCCGGGCCTTCTGCAGGTAGTAGGGAAATTTTTAAAATGTTTTATTATGTTTTTATATATGTTGGGAGCTGCCCAGAGTGCTGAGGCAACCCAGTAAGATGTGTGGGGTATCAAGAGTAAAATTATCATTATGGAATGAGACGTCCCTATTTTCATCAGAGAAATGTTGGAGGGTATGCCCGTTCACCTAGCACTTGGCAGACCTCTTTGTACATTTCTCTTTATCCCGTCAGCAGCAGTGGTTGTAACATAGCTGGTGCAGGTGAGAAATTGGGATCTCCAAGCCACCTGAGCAGCCTTTTGAAATTCAGCACATAAGCACCCGTGTGGTAGGTTCCATTTTATGATCCCCATGGCATAAGCAAACATGTAATCATAGCTAAAACACATTTCTTCCTTTTTATTTTCCTTTGTGAAAGAGAAGTAAAGCATTAGAATACCATGCTGGTATAATGTTAATTTATTACTGTGCCACAGTGCTATAACACCATAGTAGCAATAATGCATTTTCTTTATGTTACAGCCAGAAGAGTATTCTAGCGATAATTAAAAGATCTATAATAGGAGAATGCTTGACCTGACCTTTCATTTTGATGGAATAAGGCATCAGTCTAGTTTGTGTTGCATTATGGTATCGGCCCTCGGTGACCCTCACCCTTGTTTGTGACATAGAATGCAAAATCAGACTTCTGGCATGAGAGATTGCAAGGAAGGAAGTATGGATAAGCCATCAATGGCATTGGTGTGGACCCTTATGATAAAAGGGGAGTCCATTAGTGGGGAGAGCCTTCCTATTCCATACCATCAAAATTTGTTTTTTCTCTGAATAATTTCCGTCTTAAGAACAGCCACTATTAAGGCAACTATGCATTCAGACCTGTACAGGTTCAGTAGTAGACTGTGTGAAGTGCTTTCAGACCATTTTCTGGAACAGATTATTCAGTTCCTTTGAGAGCCAGAAGCCAAAGACCTGTGCACATCTTCAGATTTTGACCTGGGAGCTAGGAAGGTTAGAAGAGACACAATTAAGACATTCTCAAATCAAAAAATTAAATGTATGCCCTTGACTGTTTGAGAGCTATTTTAATTGACATGGTTATTATATCAACCATGTAGAAAAAGTACAGGTGATGAACATGACCCCCCCAATTAAGCTTGAGAGCCCTGAGGACCATGTGTATGACAAATCTGGTTCTGTCACTTATCGACAGACAACTCCTAACTTTGTTTTATAGTTTGACGATGACAAATTCATAATTTAGCCACCCACCCTTGATCTGAAATGCTGAATAGTACAGCTGTTCGTGATTACAGTCTCTGATCGTTTCCCCTCTTTTTCAAATTGCTATATTTGCTTTGTGTCATGCCTTAGAAAGGGAGCTTAAACTGCACTGACAATGTGTGTGTGTATTAAGCCTTTGAAATCACTCACATATGGAAGCATTCAAAACTGTTGCACTAACTCTTTTGGAATGAAAATAGCACGTAAGATTCCAGCAAGTTAGCTAGTCAGAAAATTGGCAAGGAGGTGTCCTTCAGGATTTTTTATCACAATGAACACGCCAAAGAGTTAAGGTGAGGTGCCATGTGTTCCCTTGTTAGAAAAAACAAGAACAGCATTATGAAGCCAAGGAATGTGTGAACAACGGCTGCACATTGATGTTCCCTTTGGTGTCCATACTAATCTTGAACACACCATTCCAAAGTCTTGGGTCTCATTGAATCAGATGTTGGGCAGTGCACATGAAGAAACTGGTTCAGGTCTGTATTCTGGATTATGACAGCAGTCCTTGTCTCCTGGGTTGCTTTCACACTAAGGCACTCCTGAGTCATTACTTTTCTGCAATCAGCTGGAGGTAGAATCTAACTGGTGTTGCAACATGGCACAATATAGCACTGTAAAACCCAACAATGCTCGTTACTATGGTGAAGATCCTATTACACGTTTTCTGTCCAAGAATCAATGGTTGGGCACACACTCTCGTCTACTCTGGATCCAGTGTGCTCCCACTGCTGAGTTGGGAAACAGTGTACACACACTGTTAGCCACAATCTATCCTGTGTTTATCCTGTAGTTGCTTATGAAATAGGTAAAAGGTAAAGGATCCCTGGATGGTTACGTCCAGTCAAAGGCGACTGTGAGGTTGCAGGCACTCATCTTGCTTTCAGGCCAAGGGAGCCGGCGTTTGCATGTTCAGACCCAGAAACCTCCCCCTAAATAAATTCACACATGACTCAAATTTTGGTTTTGGTTTTTGGCAGAATTTAGGCCACAACTTTAATGATCACAGAAAGTGACTGGTTGCATAGGCTCTGGTTCAACTAGCTCCCTGCCATGCAGGTAGCGCTGACCAAGGGTTCCAGCATAGGTCAGCCAAGGGTGAACACCTGGATAAGCAGAAAGCTGGGAACAGGCTATCTCCGTCACCCAAATGTCTCCCTGGACTCAGGCACAGGCACAACCCCATCACAGGGGTTGACCAAACCATTGAGTCCCTGGATTCCTTTAACGGAATACCCTTCACATAGGGATGGCGAGAGCGTTCTTCCATCCCTATCACCTGAACCAGAGCCTATCCGCAACCTTACAAGTTGTGACGATTTGCTACGTGGCAGGCGAAACCCAAATGGCAACAGCCAATCAGCCAAGTGGGAAAAATTCCTGCCATGCCCCTGTCCCAATGACAGATGACACACGGCGGCATAGCAAGGTCAAAGGCAAAGCCCTAAAAGTAGGGAGAGGTGGGCGGGTGTTCCAAATGCACACGCCAAAAGAGGAATCCCTGGGTCACATGCATGGGTATAAATAGGTCACTCGAACCATTTGGACTGCATCCCATTGGCCAGATTGCATCCAGCCACGAGGGACCTACCAATCGGGTGTTGTGGCTGACCAATCGTACCCACCCACAACACAGGTTGTCAGCTTCCAGGTCTCACCGCAATACGAGCCCTCTTTAAGGAAGGACCAGATTTGTCCACAGACAGCTTTCCGGGTCATGCAGCCAGCATGACTAAACCGCTTCTGGCACAGTGGAACACCGTGAGGGAAGCCAGAGCACATAGAAATGCTGTTTACCTTCTCGCCGTAGCAGTACCTATTTATCTACTTGCACTGTGTGCTTTCGAACTGCTAGGTTGGCAGAAGCTTGGACAGAGCAATGGGAGCTCACCCCGCCGCACAGATTTGAACAGCCAATCATCTGATCGGCAAGCCTAAGAGGCTCAGTGGTTTAGACCACAGCCCCACCCACGTATATGACACCTTATTGTCCTTATGGAAAGGCTAACTTATGATGTACAATAAGTGAGAGGTCAAGTTAAATCTTAGTTATTTGAAAGTGTGGCATATTAACTGT